TCAAAAAATATATTTATTGTGTGTTTTTTTCATCTCTTTCTTAACTTCGTTGATAAATTTTTGTGTTCTTGTTCTTGTTTGTCCTTTTCCAATATTACCCTGCTAAAAAAAGGTGTCCGTTCTGCCTCTCTAGAAAGCGTAAAAAAAAATTGTCACGAATTTGTAAGAAAAGTGAATGGCATTTGGCAGTGCAGACCTTAAAAGGAGGAGGTCAGGGCAAAGACCGGCCATAGCAGAGCATGGCAATTGGTGAATTGCCCATTAACTTAACACACACACACACACTCTCTCTCTCTCTCTCTCTCTCTCTCTTTCTCTCTCATGTGTTGTTACCATATAGTGTGAGTGGATAAGAGAGCTTTGTTTGTCATTGAGCTAGCTGCTGCAAAAGCCACGTGATGAGCACATGGGAGTGGAAGAGAAAACCATCATTTTCCGGGGGTGGAAGGGGAAGGACATTCCAGAGTGGAATCCTTTTAAAAAGTTTGTTTCTGTCTTAGCTCATTTCCTTTTCCAAATTTCTATCCTAATCTATCCCTCTTCCTTCTTTCAAAGGACATGTCCTTCCTCTATGATTTCCATCTATATCCTTTTGTCTACACTATGGTTTTAACCAGGGACCCCCCCTTTTCTTCTATAAATGAGCTCTTTCTCCTCCCTCACTCCATGCACCATATGGCACATGTCTCAACACTCATTTTTATTTTATTTTATTTTATTTTATTTTATTTTGTTAAGTGAATAAGATTTTAGGATACTTACACTTACCTCTCCAATAGATTGCCTAAATAATATGGACTTTTCTTATATTTGCAAAAATAACACTGACTTCCCCGATAACTTACTTTTATTAGCTCAACATATGGACAAAATTGTATTCTCAAGCTTTCTAAGGGTAGTTTTGGATTTCAAGTAAATTTTGAGTATATGACTTTAACAGGTAAGTGTGTCAGATTTTATGACATGAGAAGTCATGTTACTTACGAAGTTAGTGTTATATTTGAAATTAAAGAAAAAATTATGTTATTTAGGCAATTTATATGAGCGGTAGATGTATGTAATCATCCCAAAATTTTATTACTAGAAAAATGATATACAACATTGTTAAAAATACACTTATACTTCAAACCCAAAGAAGAAAAAGGCCTAGTTAACACTCTCACCCACATAAAAATCAAACTTCCTAGGATAAGAAATAACAAATTTGTTTGTGATAGCAAGTTTAAGGACACAAAAAGTTTGCTTGTTAATTCGGCTTCAACTTAATGTAAAATTTAAGAAAAAAGTTTTTAACAAAGTGTGTCCTGGCTAACTTCATACCATTAGATTAGACCAGCCTCTCAATTCAATGCCTAAAAGTGCACGAATCCGATGAAAATGTCCTCATAAATATTCTAGCTTGAAATTTTGTAAGAAGACCTGTATATAAATATTTTCTTGACAAGAAATACTCGCACTTCGTTCTCAAGAGACTTAAATTTCAAAGACTCTAAAATATGATAAACTACATTACGTACAACAAAGGATACAAAGACACCATGATATAAAACATGGCATAGAGACATCAAACGTCTCTAACCTCTAAAGACCATAATAAAATATCTTAGAACTATAATACAATATACATATATATAATTATATATTCACTTGACTATACAAGCCCCTGCAATCCCTCAGAAATAGAAAAAGGGGCAGTGAATAGTGATATTGCTACATTGGAAGTTGGAGCCTAGCATTTTCCAGGAAAATGAAACGACATGTGAGAGGAGGAAACAAAGGTGCTGGTGTTTAAAATGTGTAGGAGAGTTGTAGCTGAAAATGGTAAGGGTACGGATCACGAAATCTAAAGGGAAGCTCAGAAACAGACACAATAATCATATGATGTTTTTTCAGAATTCGCAGTTTGAAGAGTCCAATTCATTCATTGGCATTTGGTAGTAATTGGTTGACTGCTTCCACATACCAAAAAAAAAAAATTTATATATATATATATACACACACTAGCAACAGTACAGAGCATCTCTAACTTTTAGGCTCTCATTCATGTCTCTCTACTTCTTCACGTGCCCCACGTGCCACTGGTTTCTACTGGGTCCCATTATACTTGGAGAGCAACTACTGATCAAATCACCAATTCATCTTTCATGATATGATATGATTCGAGGGAGGCAGAAAGGGAAATGTTTGGTAAGAGAGAAAAGAAAGAATGAGAAATTCCTTCCTTGTAAAAGTGAAAGGAAAGAATCATCTTCCACATGATTAAAATTCCTCTTCCCCATCCCCCTCACAAGTATTATTGGTCCCATCACAACATTGCTTTGGAATTAGGAGTAGAAGTTAGGATTTCAAGTCGAAACACCATGCATTAATATATAACATGACAAATATAAAAGTATAAAAGAAAATTATTCAAATATACATATTAAGAATTAAGTATTAAAAAAAAAAAAAAAAAGAGATAGAAAACTTTGAAAGTAAAAAGTTATCATTGGGAAGAAAATTTGAAAATCTCTCTTCCTCAACCCCATCACAAGTATTATCGGTCCCACCAAGACGTCGTAATGGGACCCACAAAATTTGGAGGATTGATAGTTAAAAAATTATGTGAAGGGAGTGATAGTGTAATTTTTTAATAATTTTAGTGGAGACGATAGCGTAATTTTGTAGGTATATATATAAAAAATGTAAATTAATAGGGTACATTATTAGAATATTATTTTATTTTATTTTATTTTTAATGGGCAATTTGCCCCCACTGGGTTGTGAATGGCTCCGTCCCAAATCACAACTTACATCTAATATCATATATTTATTTTTCACAAGTCAGGTATATTATCTTTTTATTTAGAAAAATGATATATTGGTTTGTATAATTTTTTTCACAAGATATGGTGTGTATCAACAAATGGACTCAACTTGTATGGTTGAATTCTTTTATTTTTCTTATAAAATCATTTAAAAAAAACACAGTAATTTTCCTATAGAGATAACTTTTACATTCCTTCTTCCTTGTACCTTGCCCAGCTCACAGATGATGTATATGGATATCTACTACTTCTACTCTCACCTATAAAAGTGTCCGATGGATGAATGATTAGTACTTGATCATGTTGTTCTCTGTCCTTGCTGGTGGTCCATTTAGACTTTATGCTGCTAACTAATTATCTCATTCATTATATACATGTGATGTGGCATAACCCCACATGCATATATAAACATGCCAGGGTGGTAACCCCTCCTAATTGTCTGCTCAGAGGGCAACTAAAATGTGTGTGTGTGTGTGTGTGTGTGTGTGTGTGGGGAGAGAGAGAGGTGAGATGAGTTTTATAATAGAATTAATAGAGATTCCTCCTCACAAAGTTTGGTTGGATTTGAGTTAAATTTGAATAAGCGAAAACTATATTATATATATGCTTATATGTATATTATTATTGTATAGTGGGAAAGAAGTAGAAAATGCACAAAGCAAATCAGAGACTCAGAACAGTGCTCACACACACACACACCCACATATTGTGTGAATGTTGCAGTGGCAGATTCATCATATATTGTAGTAATTAACCATGTAGATGGGCCATATGCCGGGTCATTTCCTATCATTGTTGAATTTGTTGGAGATGATTTTGGAATTCATCAAAGATGGGCCCATGGTTACCTCTAAGTATGGACAAGTTAAAAGGTTTTCTATTTAGGCCCGCCTACATACATCTACCATTACTTAACTTCATTAGCACTCTTCATATAGTAATATATATATATAAAGTCAAAATTGGTCAATTTTAGCATATGGTGTTAAATGCAAACTAGTGCATGAATCATTCCTCAAGTAGGACCATTTGATGGTGCTTCAGTATTTCTCCTTATAATCAATTAATTGAGAATTATTTTTTAAGTTGTGTCAACCACATGCACCCCATATGTTGAGGGATGCATCCATTACCATTACCAAGAAATGGGATATGCCTTATTATGGGGACAGTAATGACTTCAGAAGAAGAGTCTGAAGAAGGGTGTCCAAGAACTGTTTGCGATGTGCTTTCAAATCAATCGACAATTTAATTTGAACATCAATTACTTTTTCCTTCCAATTTTTATGACCCTTTTGTATACTATAGGTTGATGTAAAGTTAAACCGAACACCAACTTCAAGGGTTCCATACAAAAAAACTTCCTTGCAGCCGGTGCATGGTGCACCTCACTAATACAAGTGCACCGGGTGCAAGAAAGTTTTTCTCGTCCCAGACAGCCGGAAACCAAAATCCCAGCCAATAACTGTTCAGCTCAGGTAGAGAGCTTAATGCAAAGGTTGTATTTGCTACAGAACAGGAATTCACAAATAGCAGAGGTGAAGTGTTTAAGAGGGAAGAGCACGAAGAGGAAGAGGATGGTTGTGACGGAAAGGAGGGAGAGACAGAAAAGGGAAGCAGTTTTCCTCCCCCTCCCATCATATTCCTTTTTGTTCATAGTGGGGAAAAAGAAGAAATCTCTCATTTTGTATGTTACACCCATTTCCTTTCCATCAAACAGAAGGAAGAGCAACAACTTTGTTTCCTCGGGGATGCTATTTTTCTTTCTCCTGCCTTCCCTTCTCTTTTTCCATCCCGTCCCCAAATGGAGCCTATGTAAGGTCTATATATCTATGCAAGGTTAGTACATTAAAATTAGACACTGCCTCCTGCAAATCCTGCGTAAAATCCTGATGAGATAGTTTTGGCCAGTAAAAAAAAAACCGAAGGCAAAAGAACAATCGTGTTTAATTTGGGAGCACCAAATCGGCGCCTTGAAATTGGAGTGGAAGGAACAAGACACAAATTCAGTGCTCCCAAACGCAGCTTTAGTGTATTCTCCAAACATGAAAATAAATTTCAATCAAATAAAAATATATATATATATAAGTTTTAAAAAATAAAAGAACTTCGAACTTCTAAAAGACAAAAATTTGGGAGTGATTATTTGTTACTTAAAACAAAAAAATTTCAAGAATGCTATCATACAAGGAATGAAAATTGAAGTGGGAGATCATCCTCAAAACTAATACTATTTTCTAAGAAAAAAAATTATCAAGAATTCTGTCATACCAGGAATGAAAACTGAAGCGGGAGATCATCCTCAAAACTAACAATATTTCCTAACTTCTGTAACTTCGAGGAAAAAAAAAAAGTGCACGCTGCCGTTAAAATTTTGTTTTTTATATTCTAATTGAGAAAAAAAATAAAAATGATGGCCATAAAAAAACATATACAGAAGCAGCAGAACCAACTTCAAGGAATAGCCCATTCTTCAAAGCACCTTCTGAGATTTACCAGACTTGATGAAATGGGGCAAGAATATCATTCGTCGGATTCTACAGTCGGGCTCTTAGAGCAGATCTCTTTTTTATGAAGTTCCAGTAACTTCTTTTCTGGCTCACATAGCCCTGCCAAACAACAATAAATTGTAATTTTTGTAGCATCTGAAATAAATGTATACCGTCTTTGTGCTGCTATGCATAGGAACATTCTTAATACGTCGATGAACAACATTACTTAAAAAAATTTAATATCACTTATTTATGATTACTCCAACTAACTTTTTTTTTCAATCTACATTCATGTCAAGTTCACAGGCTATTGGGCAACATATCAAACCAGTTTCATCTCTGTGGGATGTGCATATGCCTCATCAAAATTTTCACCTAATGATCTCTCTCTGCATCAAGCAGGCAATATTAACGACCCCATAAAAGGTCTTAAAAAATCTTTTCTTCTTTTTCAATTAAAAGGAGTAGATTATACGTAAGATTAGTAACTAGTTTCTAGAAAACTATATTTGAAATACAAGAACAATTGCCAACCTGAACACTTGGGAATATCCCACACAGCAATAGACGAGGAAGTACATTCTGCTTCACATATTTGTCGATTGTCCTCGTGGTCGACATTCATTGCAAGCATCCATGCACCGATTGTGACATCCTCATTGCTGAACATCCGGAAACTGTATATCCAAATAAAATTGAACGCTTTATAAAAGTATGAACTCCAATAGGAGTATCAGATGAAGATGAGAAACTTTATCATCTTCTCCTGCATATGTTAGTTAACACAAGAAACTGGCAAAACACTCCCCACCGTATATTCCCCCAGACAGTGCTTCCAGGACTGGCATTTCTGCCACACATACTGAAGAAGGCACTCCTTAGATGCTACTGATTTGATCTTTAAATGTTTATAACTGAGCGTAGTAATAAAAAAGACATTAAAATGGGCCACAACTCTATCACTGGATTCAACATCAAGAAGTTTTGCCAGGCAGGAATATGCATAACTTGTGCAAAAATTCAATACTAAATTCTTTTCATGGTCGGGAGATAGTATGGTAAATGAACCAGGATGAAGTGGGCATCAGATAACTGGTGAGTGTTACACCTGTGGCAGTGAAACGATGCTGAAATAAGTCAGCTAACAAATGTAGTACCAAGCATTTGATACAATGGTTTCGCCACATCTAACAAATAAAGCAATGACCTTATATTTTTACACCAGTGTTGATTAAAGAAGTTGGCACATACCTAAATGTAAATCACTTGTAATGGAAAAGGAAAGGTGAGCCATCAGAGCGTTTGACGAGAATGAGATAGACTAAAAGCACGTCACAATCAAAATATATATATATTTGAGAGGGAAACAAATATCTTTCACCACCAAGCCTTTGGCTCAAGCGGTATCTCCTCTTTCTTCTCATATGGGAGATTGAGGGTTCAAGTCCCTATTTGGCTCAAGCAGTATCTTTCAGGAGGAATTTGTCTTTCTGGTTGACAAAAAGAACATTCCTCAAGGCCAAATATGCTCAAGAGGTAACCAGACCCAACATAGCCACCAATGGTAAAAAATTTCACACTAAATTCTCATCTCATTGTATTTTCATGATTGTCTTGAACCAAACAGCCCAATTTTGCTTTCCTCAACACCTACAATATAGAAAAGTGATGGGAATATCCAAGCCTGTTTCATGCACAATAAGGAACACTTCACGTATTATCATCTGAACTACTAAAAGAGTCCTTTAGGAAATGAATGTATCGTTCTTCTTAGTAGCCTCTGAATCATCAATAAGCTCACACAAGTGTTTTGGTTAACATACAATATACTGTTTATAATTATTTGAAATGGGTGGCCAATGCCGTCGTAACACAATAGTTTAAGTTCTGCCATGGCATCTATAGGTGAGGAAGGAGGTCACGGATTCAATTCTCGCCTTTATCTACTTATCCCAAAAACAAAATCCTGCCTTTATCCCATATGAGGGAATAAAACCCACCAACCAACTGTATCAACAAGAAGTGACAAAAATAAAAATGATAAACCACTTGATCAGGGGATCTTTGGTATCTAAAAATAAATATTACTTGAAACTGAGAATCTGGTGATCAGTTTAAAATATTGCTAAGAATCAACCCACACATTCATATCTGTATGAATTGATTCGTACTGATCTATAGATGCATTGAGCTTGGGTTCAAAAGTCATGCCAAAATCTGAGTTTGGCTTTAGCTTGGTTTGCCTGGTCTCAGAAAACTAATTGCAGTTTGTTTGGGGAAAGCTCTTTATAAATCATATACTTGTATTTTTCAAATCACAAATATTACTCTGTCTGAGGCTCTGAGCAGCAACACAATCACCAAGAGACATGAGCATTGAGGGGGAATAATATCCTCTATACAATACTTTAAAAAGTTAGTCTGGAGCATCTGTAATAGTAACAAAATGGCTATACCATCAGCCCCAAAAGCCTTACAACCCAACACCACATTGTTAACAGATCCCAAATGTAATCCAGTTATGAATCCCAACAAATTCCCCTCTACGAATAAATTTTGATTAAATTACGTTCAATTAAAAAAATAAGAAAATTTGTACCAATTAGCAAATGAAGAAAGGTATGTGCAGCTGTTGTCACCAAGAAAATGAACTTGCCTGTTGTTTTTTAAAGCAACCAAGCTTGCTACAACATCGGCAGAAAGAGCATATATTGGACCATAAGCATGCTCGAAGTACTCATTCCCAAGCAAAGATGATAGTGGTTCATACCTGCACAAATTTAACTGATCTGATCACATCATAACAGCAACTGGAAAGTTAATGCCAATTTCAGGTCTGCAGTTCACCCAGCTCACTCTCGTCTCAATCTCACATAATGAACTTGAAAAAAGTAATTTTATTTTTTTTCTTAAAGCCTGCTTGATGGCTAAAGAAAATAATAAATAATATAGTACAGTAACACCAAATACAAATATCAGTATAAACACTCTGTTCTGTCTCCTTTGTTCTTTTTTTTTCTCGACTTTTTGGTGCTTCTTTCATTCACAGAATTAAAGCAACCAGCTCATTTTTCCAAATATTATATATATATATATATTTAACACACATTTGATTCTCAAAGCTTCAGTTATAAAGGTTTGGCATCAGCACATGTGAAGGTATAACACAGTATAAATAGTCCGAAATGGGACCATATTGACAAGTTCATTTTCATCTCTTCACAAGTAAAGTACTCTCTCCCTTTTGCAACCTCTCTTTTAACTTCTGTCTAGTATCATATTTTGAGTAATTAATATATATTAATATATGGCAAAGCAGAGCCTCACAAAAGTCAAAATAATTTTTACAACTATGACTAAGCTAAAATGGCAAATCATCTCCCCTCTTTGATTTTTTAGTTTTCAATGGCATAACAGAGAGGCATAAAGTAAATGGATATTATATGATCACCAGAAATTTTTTGAATGTAGAGTCAAAGGCGGCAAAATAAAAAAATCACATAAATCAAGGATTACGTATGAACAAACATAATGTGACTAACCATTTGAGGTGCGGGTCAGTGAAAACTGGACCCTTCTTCATGCATCCAATGTAAGTTTGAGGATGAGAACGCTCTTTAGCCAAAAGCAGTGAGAGGCGATCTGGATATCAATGAAACAAGTCAGTAAAGAGATTGCATATAAAAAGAGACAGATTCTTAATAATAAGCCTGTAAAAATACAGAGCATGGATAAGCTTCCGAAAAAATTCAACTGGCCTCAAATATATATATATATATATATTTGAGAATGGTACCTGGCCTCAAATAAATATCATCATCAACTTTAACATAAAACTCGGAATCAAAAATGGCATAAGCAGCTTTGAAGAAAGCTAACCTGTTACAGAGACACAGATTAGTGTGTATTCAACAGGAACAAATTATAGGCATTGAAGATAAATATTATTACTGTCAGCACTAACGTTTTGTATGGGAGCTTACTATACTCCTCCTCGATGTCTAACAACAGAAAATCGTCGTACATTGCCACCTCCTTTCTGAGCTCTGACATCTTTGATTTATCCCTAGTTCTACCAATAATAAATCTGAAAGCCAAGCCAGTGGCTTCTTCCAAACTGCAAGCCATGAATAAATTCCAAATGAGTGTGCTGGGGTAATATTGTAATTAGTAATTAGTAATTAGATGCAGGGTCATCTTGTAAATATATATATATAACACAATATTTTAGGGTTCTCTGCGATTGTGAGAATACCCCCAAATTGATTTCTTCTCTCTGTGTGACTCTCATCTCTCAACATGGTATCAGAGCCATTTGAACCCTTACTCTTCATTGAGGAGAGTTGCTGTCAGCATGTGGTAGCCATCGTTGTGGCCACTATCGCTGTCCGTCTGCTAATCCGGTGTGTCATGAGAGGACTAAACATATAGAGGTAGATTGTCACTTTGTGAGAGACTTGGTGATGAGTAGAAGGATAGTTGCTTCTTATGTAAGATCCAAAGATCAATTAGGAGATGTATTTACCAAGGCATTGGGAAAACATCATTTTTCAGAATTATGTATCAAGCTAGGCATGATAGATATCTATGCTCCAGCTTGAGGGGCGTGTTGGATAATAATTAGCAATTAGATGCAGGGTCATCTTGTAAATATATATATAATAATATTTTAGGGGTCTTTGTGATTGTTAGAATACCCCCAAATTGATTTCTTCTCTCTCTGTGACTCTCATCTCTCAACATAGTGGTTAGCAGAAAAGCACTCAGATAAATAATGGACTAAGATGGCTAAAAGCAATCTGCTAAACATATAGGTGTTACATTTAGTAGATCTGGGAAAGAATTGCAATAGTCATAAAAAATCATAATAAAATTATTGCACTTCTGCAGAATGCAAGACCACGTCCAGTGTTAGAAAAGCAAATGAACCACCCTAAAATTATTATGGGGAGAGGCCTTTTTTTATTACATTTTATGCATTTATCCTTCTGCAGGCATAGTTCTTCAATGACCAATTATTATGACTAAAGAACCATTAGTAAAATTAAAAATAAAACTACCCCTCTATTCCCCAATATATATATATATATATATATATATATATATATATATATATATATTCCTGTTCCTCGCTATGTTTGACCAACTACAACAGACACTAACTGCAATAATGAGTCCCAATTGCAAGGCTTGTTGTCTTAAGGCCACTTCTAGGGACATTGTAATGTTGTGATATATATGTATATATATTTAATGTTAAAAGAAAAAGAAATAAAGTTGGTGGGCCCCACCAATATATTAAACATAACAAAAGGCCTTATGGCCATTACGCAAACCATTTATTCTCTCTCTGTGCATCTCTCTCTCTCGTCCGAATTCCAGTAACTTCCCTTTTCTTTTCTCTTTTTTCTTTTCTAATTTCAAGCTTTGATTCCTCCTTCCATACTTGAAATTTTTGAGTGCCATTTGCGGCAAATCGAAGAGCACAGCGAGATCTACGTGTGAGTACCAACAATTTCAGTTTTGGTGCACCCTAGGGAGTTCGAAATTCCAGGGTTCTTGGGCTCAAATTGGGGTTTTTCTCAAATTTGAGGTAGGGGTGTTCTAATCTACAACTTCTTAGTTTTTTTGTGAATTTTCCCCTTAAATTTGATCCTAAGCATGCTAATTTTGATTACCTAGTTTGTGGTTGTTGTAAGTATGATTAACTAAAATGATAGATGTGTTCCATGTGTTATTTGAAATCATATATATGACTAGATTTATTACGGTGAATGAGCATGCTTAGTGTTGACATATTGTATACCCTAAGATTATGTATTTATTTATTTATTGCTTTGAAAAATTGATGTTATGGTCAATAAATAAATAAAAGAAATGAATGTTTAGAAATTTTCATTAAATTGTGATGATGATGTAAATGGAAATGTGTGAAATCATATAGTTAAATTGATGATTTGAAGCATGAAGCATTCATGCATCCATTGGGAAAGAGAAAGGGGGAAAAATATTTGTTAGAACAAGTAAAATTGTTTTGGGAAAAATATTTTCTAAAAGTGTTGCAAAAACCGGACGCCTAGGAGGCGCCTAGTGGTCCGTGATGTTGGTGTAGTCTAGAAGGGAATGTAGTTGAGTTAACTAGACCGGATGCGACGCCTTGGAGGTGCCTTGTGGTCGTGGATAGTTAACCAACCTTCCTTTCGTGACGCCATGGAGGTGCCTTGGGTCGGACTACACTAACGGTTTGGTTGTTGAAACGGAATTGTTTCGGAAATGGGGAGTGACATTTGCATAACATTGCACTTCATGACATCGTGGTAAATTTGTGATTGGTTGATATTTGTTACATATTTGTTATTGTGGTTGAGAATGTGTGTTTCCCGATGGCATGATCCCGTTCACTTTTTATCTATTCATTGTATGGATTCACGGAGACATAAGAAGTGTGTCTTAGACACTTCCTACTGAGCTTATGCTCACCCCATTATTTTTAACATTTTTCAGGATATGGAAAAGAGGTGGCGGATGACGATCCACCACAAGTTTAGACGAGTTTGGGGATCTATTTTATTTTTGCTATCTTTTGTATTAGAACTCTAATATTTTGTAAATGTAATATTAATTATTTTGTGAGACTTTAGTCTAATTAGTATAATGTTGTAAGCTATGGACTTTTAAATTCTAACTACATTTTTGGACTGTAAATTGATGTAACTAAAGTGTGTTCCTTGTTTCGATGAGATGGAGGAACGGGGCTTTTGTATGTATGTAACCATTTTGGGAATGTAATATAATATCTGTATTGTGCGTTGGGACATGATATGTTAGATTTAAGGCCCAGTGAGGCCATTGCATTTATTTTTTGTATTTCAACAGGTCGTAGAAGGACTTTTTCTGCGGAGGTCATGCCGAAATTTCTTTTTTTTTTTTTATTATTATTATTTTGGTATCCTTTTGGGGCGTTACAGACATGAAGCTACATGATATTGTCACTCGAAGTTCTCCCCTCTTGGAGTGTTTTCTCCTTGTTTTTCTCTTCCCACCAAAAGTACCAAAGTGACTGTGACAATACCCCTTTCCCTCCATATTCCATGTTGCCTGCCCATTCCTGATGTTAAGCTCTTAGTTCATTTTACCTTAGTGCAGCACAAGCATTAGTCTTTTTGAAACTCGCTCCTCTACACAACCAAGGATTCCCAAGCCAGGTGGTAGTGGTATTACTGCCATTTTGGCTGCCTCTGTCAACCTCACTACACTGCTCATCTATCACCTGCACCAGACCCCAGGATGCTTTCTTGGCCTTGTCACAACATGCATAGTTTGCAAGTTGCCCAATGCCCACTGTCATCTGCATATAAGATGGTACTTAAGTTTGTAATACGGGAAGAAAACCCTTTGGCTTGATAAAGAGTTAGCAGAAGGTTTGTCAACTAGTCCTAGGTGTTGTAGATTGTTTTAACTAATTTTCATATTTTAACTAAATTATTAATTATTTGAAACTTATATTAGTGCAAAATAATGAAAATCTTTCAATTCATCATGCCATCAACATATTCCACCGAGTCATATATTATAAAATAAAGCAATAAAATGCATGCACAATGGGCGCAAAGACTTTTACATGGAAACCTCAAGGGAAAAAAATCACAGAATCTATTCCAGCCAGATCAAATGCACTATATGAATAATATATTACAGTAGGTCCACAACTCAAAACTCCAAAACCCCTAGTTACCTATTGACACATGTTGATCCACCAAACTCACACTTAAAGAGTCTCCCGGCATACATTCGTTCAAGCTCTTTGATATCCAGAGCAGTCATCCAAACCAATCTCAAATGAGTTGATTGATCGTGGACAACACAATACATTGTCAACACATGTATGATCACTAACCAATCTAATGCAGAATGATGAATGAAAAACATAAGCTATATGTATTCTAACTTCACAATATAATGCTCTATTGTATGTCTCTCTCTATTTTGAGGTTTTTTGACGCAATGATGTACATGAGTACAGAATATAGTAGTAGAGAGATTACAGTTTTAGTGTTTTAACTTTAAAAAGAAAACTGTTTTCCAAATGGTGCGATTGATCAAAGGGTCATGTACTATACTTAGAAATTTTCAAAAACCAAAGTTTCCTGAAATTTGCAACAGCTCACCCCTTTTGCGCTTGACTCTCGCTACTTATAGGACCAGACCCACGTTGTGGTTAGGATGTGCAACTGACCTTCACTTTACTTTGTTCCATATCAAAAAGAATATTTTCAAACCAAAACATTAATATAATGAAAACCTAATTTAAGAATGCATAAACTCTAATTTGGTGAGTGCATAAATGGCTGTCAAATTACCTTTGTACCCTTGGCTTTGAAGATTACCTTTTGCTTTTGGTTGTAACTTGACTTCCAATTATGCCCTTGGACAAGAAATAACTAACTTGGCACCAGCTAACTTTCAAAAATCTAACTAAAAACAAAAATAAAAATTACAGACTGTTGTTTTGATCACTAAATATGCCAACCTAATTCCTATTGGCCTAACAAGTACGAATATAAATGAAATGCAATTTGATATAAATGAACACAGGATCAGACTTATAACACAATTCATTAGTAATGGCACACATTTTTCTAATGGTTTAAACGCTTCCATCGTCACACTCTTTAGCATAATATACTTTTCAAAGACAAACCGACTTCGTGGTTCAATCAAATATAACATCTCCTATGCATGGAAGGCAAACATCTTGAACAGATTATGAACATGACATGAACAAGCATGTGTTGGCATGGAAAACTAAGAAAAGGATAAAAGTAGAATATAGACACAAGAAAACATAAAATGCACACACACATATATATATATATAATACACACATACACATACAATGATACGAATAATATATACTTGTGTTTAAATTTTAATATTAACAGTTGCATAACACAGAAGATAAAACCTACTAAGTATCGTGTGCATAAATATAGTATGAAAACAACACCTACTACTTTCTGATTATATTTCTTTTCAACGACTTCATTTTTCCTACTGCATGTGTGAGTTAGAAACAGTGATAATGCTAGGAGAAGGGAAAGACCAATGTTTCCGTCGATAGAGTTAGGAAGGAAGTATATGATAACATGTGGTTTAATAGAGGCTATGTGTGACGACCTTTATGTCGGGTGTGATGTGGGCAGGTGTGAGACATTGGACGAGCTACCACACTGGTAGACTACAGGTGTCATGATCCCACATCACCTGGGAAAGGTGAAGGTGAAGGTGAAGTGTTATATGTAGGTTCAACACCCTTTCATAACATAACACGTTCTAAATCCATAAAAGCCGTGAACTCATCAGAACTCTGCAGTTAAGCGTGCTTATGCTGGAATAGTATCAGGATGGGTGACCTCCTATTGGTCTGAGGGAGCCAAAAACGGACAATATTGTGTCGGTTAGGGTGAGGGCTATTACACTATGATTTTGGTAAAATGGAAAAAAGGCTTAGTTTAGTTGAGTTTATTCTATTTTTTCTATTGCATGCTCGACTTATGTTGGAAAATATGTTGTAGAGTGATTGTGCCAACGCATGTTTCAAAATATAAAATTAATTTGAAAAAATAAAAAGAATGCATCCGAAAAGTGTCACACGCATCTCAAAAGTGTTTAGCAGTGTTGGTATCCAATATGTGCATTATTGTCACCAATTCTGAAGAATGCAAGTACCACTTAATATTCATAACTGTCTAACATATAATAAGCTAAGCCATTGAGACTTAATAAGCTTGTCAAATCGAACCACTCAATTTTTTACATTGCCATTTCCACGATCACAAGCCAAAGGCATCCATCAGCTGTTCAACACAAGTAATTTCACTTTGCATCACCCAGAAACTCAACTTCTTCACCATATCATCAAAAGTAACATTACTATAAATACTTTGAAATCCATTGACGAAATGAGACATCATGATGCAAAACCAAGATGGCAACAGCATATTTTTCCATATCCATTTGTTTGTAAATGAAATTCAGTTTACATTAATCACACATATAGATATATAATATAACTGGCAAAAGAGATTATACCGTCGAAGCTCTTGCGGATTGGATGGCATCCAAGTCTGCCGCAAAGATCGCCGCCTACCACCCGATCCAAACCCAGTTTGAATCCCCACAAATCCCATAACCTTATGCCTCTTCTGATCCCCATTGGAAGAAGACCCACCATTCCTATCTTCACCGTCACCATGTCTCTCCCAAACCACAGAGACCGTTCTCGGTTCTCTGTTCTTACACTTGTACCCCAATGCCGGACTCAAGATTGAGACGATCCCTATCAGAAACCCTACCAGTCCGATCAGTAGACAGAAGATCAGGACTATTGATCTGCGATTGTATGAAGAAGCTCGAGCATTGAAGTACTTTGGAGAGGAAGGCATCTCGAGCTGGGACTGTTTGGGCACTCCAAAAAACCCTACAAGTCTAGGGCTTTATTGAAAAGATTGGGGGAGGTTTCATAGATGTCTGGGGTTGTTATTGAGATGAGAAATCTGGGAAACATTCATGGAAGGTTTATTGGGAGTGAAGCAATAAAAGTTCAGGAGAGAGAGAGAGAGTGCGAGCGAGCGCCGGATCAATGGGCGTTTCACTTCGTAGAGGTTTCTGTTGAGTTTTATTTACTGTTTTTTCCGTTAACATTTCCTTTTTCGCGTATGTGTTTTTTTCTGTGTCAATTAAATCTGTTTTTTTTTTTTTTTTTTTTTTTTTTAAAAGGGAAATGTAACAGGCAGAAATGGATTGGACAATACTAAGAGTTTATCTTTTTTTGTTTGGATTACCAAACACTCGGGTCATATTGTTGATTCATGCCATATCAAACACCTAGTCAGGAAGAGTCCGAGTATGCCTTTTCAACTAGATAAGGTGGTCCGTCTGCAACAGTGTTACGAGTTTGATTAAGACACCTTATCCTTTTGGATCAGTACGCGTCCGTTGCTGAAAAAAGAAATTCAGATGTAACATTTGGAATAAGCAAGGTGAACTAACTGTTATTAGATTAAAGCGCCCAATTCATAATTGGTGAATTCTGATTCAAAATCGTAGTGTAACGTGTATTGTTGAACCGTCCCTAAAAAAAGAAATTCAGGTGTAACATGTGGAATAAGCAAGGTGAACTAACCGTTATTCGATTAAAGCGCCTAATTCATAATTGACGAATTCTGATTCAAAATCATAGTGTAACGTATATTGTTGAGCCGCCCCTACTTTTATTGATTACACTGGTACTTTTATTTGACACTACATGGCTAACACGTCCATCGATGTTAGTAACATTTGTTTAATATTTTTTTATTATTATTTTTTTTCGACAAAAAAACTTACACATTACGATTCTTGTTGCCCGATTGAAATTTAGTATTAAAAAGATAATAATAAAAGAATTTGAAAAATAAAGATACCCGACAAAAAAAACACTTACACATTACGATTCTTTATGCCATGTCTGCACACACCCTATAATAACTCGAGCTTCAACTACAGTGTCTCGAGAAACATCCACTGCTGCAGCTAGCTACACACGTCCACACAGAATAAAATGGCCTTGCGCCACCTCACTCCTCTCTCCCCATTAAGAGCTCTCACGCGGCGCGCACACTCTCTCTCTCCTCTTTCGCTCTCTACTTCTCGCAAGAAGTGCTTCTCTGGTTCGGTAATGGCTTCCGCTGTTAAGAAGGTAATCGGGCCACTTTTCAACGAAAATAACTTTCTCGATTGTATTTTGCGTAATCGACACACAGTGTGCGAGGAAACTTGAATTGTTGTTGTTTGGATTCGTTTAGGTTTTGGTTCCCATTGCGAATGGCACAGAGCCGCTGGAGGCGGTGATCACCATCGACATACTGCGAAGGGCTGGTGCTGATGTCACCGTGGCTTCTGTGGAGAAGCAGCTTCGCGTCGATGCGTGTCATGGAGTGAAGATCGTCGCCGATGCCCTAATTTCTGACTGTGCTCAAAGCGCATTTGATCTCATCTCTCTACCCGTATGCTATCTCTCTTCATCTCTCTCTATATATATGCATATGTTGGGCTCTTATCTACCTCTCTCATAGTTGAAAGTTTTTTAGTACTACCTTAGTGAAATTCGTCTCTGATCGTATAAGTTTTGACTGTGCCATGGATTTTTGAGCTCACAATTGAATATTTCCGTAATTCCCCAAATATTTGAACTTGCTGAATTAACTTCACCCTCTGCGAGCAGAATTTCCTTTGTTATTTGTTAGTGTTGTTTAAATGTTGTTGTGTACTGCAATTTGATTGGGTAGTTCAGCTTGAAAATTTGGTATGTTACTGTACTGTGGTACTCGCGATCAATTGTATGTGTGTGTATGTAAATATTATAAGGTGCTGTGTGTGTGTATATATTGTAATGTGCTGTGTGTATTATTGATCTCATTGCTGCTACTTTTCTTTATGTCAATGTCTATTACTGCTTCTATCGACTCTTGTTGGATATTGTGTCTAAATTAGCTCTTGGAGTAGCAAAGCTCATCATGGAAGTTCTTATTTGTGACCTTGTGTTTCTGATCTTATACATTTTCCACAAAGTTGAGTATTGCTCCTTAGGTTGAAAACTTTGTTGTTGTTATGGTACAGGGAGGAATGCCGGGTTCTGCTGCTCTGAGAGATAGTGAGATTTTGGAAAGCATGGTGAAAAAGCAGGCCACAGATGGACAATTTTATGCTGCAATATGTGCAGCTCCTGCTGTTGCACTCGGTTCATGGGGTGTGCTGAAAGGGCTGAAGGTAAGAATCGATGCAATGATTTTTGTTACTGTTTAGTTCCTGGATTTTGCAGTGTAATGTGGTTGTTGATGATGATCATTTACAGTTACTGATATGTTGGTTTTTGACAGGCGACTTGTTATCCTTCATTCATGGAGCAATTGTCATCTTCTGCAGCCACGGTCGAATCAAGAGTCCATCAGGATGGAAAGGTTGTGACTAGTCGTGGACCTGGCACTGCCATGGAGTACTCCATTGCTTTAGTTGAGCAATTATTTGGGAAAGAGAAAGCTGATGAAGTTTCTGGGCCATTGGTATTTGTTTCTCTTTTTGGTTGTATTTTCTTTCATTGCATGGAATATTGTGAGATGTCCTTTTTCAATTTAGGTCCATAGATGTACAGGATTAGTTGTAAATGATCGAAGAGAACTTTGACTGCACAAACATCTTCACATTCAAGAAGTTAATGAAAGCAGGAATTTGAAAGCAGAGAGAGCAATTTTTTTTCTTTTGTTATTTTTTTAGAGGAATGTAGTGAATTTAATCTTCTTATGTCTTATAAGAACAAAGGTTATGATCCATTTTATCCAATTTCTTTCACCTCAAATCATCATCTGAATCTTTCTTAGAAGTTAGAATAAAATTTCAAGTGCCCAGTGGTTGAAATCTGCATACATGGTGTCAATTCTCAAATGATAACATAAAGTGTTTCCATCTTATTAATGCTTAGTAATTGAATTCATATTGTTTAAGCAAATATATTTGTTGTATGATTCGCTAGCACTTCTTCGCAGACTCTCCTGTGTCACTTAACATACTCGTATCAATACGACATTAATATGGATATGGAACATGTGTCCAACACATGAACCACAGGATACCCTGATTCTTCACATGTAACGAGTTAAGAAGTGAAAACGCAAATTAGATATCTCATAAGAATTATCTATTTCTAAGATGGATTGAAACTCCATTATTTATTTATTTATAAACCCACTTAATCTAAATCATAATTAAGTATATTTCTAAAGAGCCACACCATACGTTACACTATTTATATAACCTAGAATGTATTTAAATTAGTCCTTGTCTACATACCTGTATCCAACTTTTGGACACATTTCCCCATGTATTAAAATTTGGGAGGTCCGACACACACCAACCAGCTCTGTATACTGGTATCTGGATCCATGTAATATAGTTCTTCTATGTATTTGTTGTACTTCAGGTCTTTGCTAGTTTAGCTATTCTATTATTTTGTTTGTTCTTGTCTTTTTGCATTATAATGTTTTCTTACAGTAAAAAAATCTGACGCTTGTTGTTACTTTTATTCTAGGTAATGCGTTCCAATCATGGAGATGAGTATACAATGGTAGAGCTGAACCCAATGGAGTGGACATACGTTAATTGTCCTCGGGTGAGATTGTATTTCTTGAAGTTAGTTTCTTAATTTTTTTTTTCGTAGGCAGAAGTGTCATCACAAGTCAAAATTTCCAGAGATGCAAAAGTAAAAGGATAAAAATGAAAATAATTTCAGTCTGTCTTTTTCTCTCTCTCTCTCTCTCTCTGTGTCTGGTGGAAACTAAGCTGGATTATTTTTTTATAATTGAAATGTTGTATTGTCCTAAAATTAGTTGATAAATTTAGTGTGATGCAGGGGCGGAGCCAGCATGGGCCCTTGGGGGGGGGGGGGGGGGGGGGGTGGGGGGGGGTGGGGTGGTTGCAGCTGCCCCTTTAGTTTTTTATTATTTTTTTATGCATATACTCTATGAAATATATAAAAGCCCCCCTCAAAAAAAAAAAATTTAATTTTTCTAAAAATATCTTTATTTATTTAATTCTTTTCATTCTTATTCTTCTTCTTCAAATTTCGTTTTGTTTCATTTTTTCAATCAAAACCTTTTTTTTTTTTTTTACCCTTTCAGGTTCTCTAATATTTTTTCCTTTTACTTTTTTCTTCTTAAAAGTTTTCTTTTTCTTGCACTCATGTGTGATTTATGTGCCGTAACCTTTTTTTCTCTCTCTTCTTATTAATTTTTTATTCACTTATTCTTTAAATTTATTATTGAAATTATATACACTTGGGGCATGTTTGACAATCGTTTTCTGTTTTGTTTTCATTGGCAAATTGCTGAAAAAGATAAACAAATCACGAAAACACATTAATGCTTGTTTTACACTATTAATTTTCAGCTTCTTGTCTTATTGCTAGTTGATTTTTTTTATATTTTTTGTCATGCTTAACATGCTGCCCGCCGGCAAACCAAATTCCTGGCTCCGTCCCTGGTATGAACTATGATGATGATCTATCTTGACTTCTGATTGTGGGAATCTAACTTAATTCCTTCAAGAATAGAAATGTAGGATTTGGGCTGTAAACTAACCAAGTAGCTAGCTTAGCTCCAGCTCAATTTACAGAAAACTCAATGTATGTCACTCTAGCTCATTCATAAAGTTAGTCTAGCAGGAGCAGAAGATCTTAAGTTGGTCCAACAGTTAACATAGCTTGAGTAAGAGCAGGCTTAACTTGCTGGGGCTCAATTTGATGACACATTAAAATTTCATACATTTTATGTGGTTGGTGAAGCAAAACTTGGGAACTTTAAAAGGATTGAATCTGGCTGGGAAGATTGCTTGATGCCAGGAGTCATCTGAAATGTCACATGTGATTGACCAATTTATTGAAGTACAATGAAACTTTAGTTTAACTTCAGCTATTTTTAGTTATAACTGTTTAATTGATCAAATTGGTGGGTGAAAGTTTGGAAAGTGACACATAATCCATTGACTTCAAATTTGGAAGCCTCGGTCATGTCGTTAATGTGAGTATACGGTAATATCAAGTTATCAACTTAGTTATTTCATTTATATGACACATAATCCATTGACTTCAGATTGGGAAGCCTCAGTCATGTCACTAATGCGAGTATATGGTAATATCAACTTAGTTATTTTATTAAAATGAAAATTCTTTACTCTGAACATGCTTCTTTATGTTTCTATGTAGAAAATGGAGTATTGTTTTTTTTACTTCTGTGCCCAGTGTTTTTTCAACATCCAATACGTGAAATAGATTAGTTGCATCAAATCAGGATTTTCTGAGTACATCTCAAGATAACCCCAAGGAGATAGCCTAATGGCGGCAAAGATTGTCCAGTACTCTGGGTTAGCCCGACTCATCTATAATTACATGGGATAGATGGAATAGCTCCTTGTAGTATACTGATGCAGATCAGCAGAGGGCCAGAGACAATTTGATTTTTGGACCTTTGGTGCTTGATCCTATCTGCAGCTAGGGTTTAGATTGTCTACACTGGTATCTTCTTGCCACATAACTCGTCTTGGATCACGGCATCTTTAAAATCTTGGTATTACCAACTGTTCCCATATATTCTAAAGCCTTCCTCCTCCACTTGGTTATAACATTTGGTGCTATAATTGATTTCAAATATCACATTAATATTATTTGATCATTGAGATAATAAGATTTGTCTTTGAAATTATATTTTTTTAAGTACAGAAATTAACATCCTACACATGGAATTTTTGGCGATGAGATTCAATGATAATTGAGAAGTCAGACACATGATGTGCATTTTAATTTATTAGACAGATGAGAATAGCTAGATTTATGGGGTCATTAAAGTCCCTTGTCCAAAAGATTTTTGTGGTCAAATAAGTGTTAGACTTGGATCAAGAAAGGCACAACGAACCAAGGTGAAAGAGAGTTCTAGGGAGAGAGAATCCAGTAGATAGTGCTTTAGTTTTATTACATAAGACACACATACACCCACAGTGAGAGAGTGAGAGAGAGAGAGAGGAATAGGAGCGATGTTCAAATTCTCAGTTGATAAAACTCGTTTTCCATTTTCATTGGTATACTGTTGGAAGAACTATACAGCCACTTTTTTTTTTGTTTATTCTCTCTCTAATTACTATTAAAAAAATATTTTGAATAGATACATTGTAGGTTTGGGGAGATTGGACTTTTGATGTCTAAAAGAGCGTTTTTATCCCTTGAAGATGCCAAATCAAATACAGTAGTAGGAACTGATCTTGTATCACTAGCAAGATTCCGACATTAAAATATTTTTTGGTCTGGTTGGGTTGGATCTAGATTCCTGAAGCCTTAGCCTAAGTGTGACTTGAATTGAAGTCAAATGCAGCCTTTTTGGATTAATCATTGGCTGATATTTGATAAAGACTATTAAGGTCTGTCCATGGTTTAGCTTGGGCTTGGGTTGAGCCGGATTGACTTGCAGTTGTATGTGCTTCAACATACAATGGAGATATTTTATTTCTCGTTCAAGTGTTGAATTTGGTTTTTTACTCTCAGTTGAGACGCCACAAATTTTTGCTGAACTGTAGATTTATTGTATTGCTTCCTTCCAGATTCTTGTACCCATTGCTGATGGCACAGAGGAAATGGAAGCTACTATAATTATCGACTTTCTTAGACGAGCGCAAGTGGAAGTTGTGGTGGCCTCTGTAGGGGATAAACTTGAAATTGTTGCTTCTCGAAAAGTGAAACTGGAGGCAGATATGCTCCTTGAAGCTGCTGCTAAGCTTTCATATGACCTTATTGTCTTGCCAGTAAGTTCGGCATTATTATTACTATTATTATAACAATCATTACTAATTGATTAGTCAAGTGCTTAACAACATTCTGCATAAATGCAGGGTGGTCTTGGTGGTGCCCAAGCATTTGCAAACTCCGAGAAGCTAGTTGATTTGCTAAAGAGGCAGAAAGAAGCAAATAAACCCTATGGAGCAATATGTGCATCCCCTGCTTTAGTCCTCGAGCCCCACGGCTTACTTAAGGTATCAACTTTACCATGACCGCACCAATCATGTATACTCTCAATAGGACCTGTTTTACGATATTATGTTCTAAAGGAAAATGATTGCGCAGCCTTTATTATTATCTATTATCCTATAATGATGACTTATTGCAAACTTGTGAACCATCACAATTTACATTGCTTATCAACGTTCTCCTTAGACTCCTACCGCTTATCCCCCTTGACTATGTCCTCCAATTTTGAGAACATTTTTTTCCGAATATTTTCATTTTGAATAACTCCTGGCACCACCAGTTTCTATCCTAAATATAAAATGCGTTCATATCTTCAGGTTCTTATAGTCAGTTCTTTTACATACAAGTGAGGTATATATCTATCTCTGTTCTGTATTCAGGGTAAGAAGGCCACTGCCTTTCCTCCGATGTGCAACAAGCTGTCTGATCAGAGCGAAGCTGAAAACAGGGTTGTGGTGGACGGTAATCTCATCACCAGCAGAGGCCCAGGAACCACCATGGAATTTTCACTGGCAATTGTGGAGAAGCTGTTCGGCCGCAAAAAGGCACTTGAGCTTGCGAAGACTACGCTTGTTGTACATTAGTAGGTAGAGTTCGTAAGAGTTTCTCCACTACTTGTATGGAAAACTTGCGACACGAATAAGTATGAAACTCTGAGAAATATGGAATCAAGTTTGCAGTCGTCATGTGTAGAAGTTCATATATAAATAAGTAACTTTCCTGGACTGATTTGCTTCTCTTCTCGTCTCACTCATAATGACATGTTTTTGAGAGTTTCACTTCTCATATTTATGAATTACTTTTTTGTAATTTTCTAAATAAATTATTAAAATGAGAAGGAAAATCATTTAGAGTTGGACAGCTGACATTAGTGGTTGGTTGGTCCATAATCCCACTCTATTATGACATTAAGGTATGTTCTCTGCTTCTGTTTCACACTGGATGTATATTAAGCATTCAATTGCGGCAGAAGGATTAGGGTTAGAGAACAAGGAAGAAAGGAATGAAACTAATAATTGAGTGGGAACAAGTATGCAAGAAAGGTGTCCAACAACAATTCGTCAAAAAAGAGTGGTTGCCGAAGTTTCAAGGCACAGGAAAGTTCTCGTATGATTACGACAATTTAGAGAAAATAATGGTATATAAATTGAGTTGACATTAGTTTGATCTTTTTTGCAAGAAGATAGTGGGGTTTCACTGTTCTCTAAGTAAAGAGAGTGACTTATCTCACCTCGATCCACGGGGAATCATCCTCTTTAGAAAAAGTCAAGAAGTAACCAAATAATCATGACTAATTGTCAAGATATTACATATTTTTATTTAAATTGTGTAATGTGTGTGGGAATTTGTTGGCTTTAACAATTGGTGTTGAATTGTATAAGCGACTTGCATGGTAGATGGGGATTACTGTCTAAACAAATCATTTTCCTTTTCTTTTTCTTTTTCATTTATTTTTATTTTTATTTTATAAAAAAATTTAGATACAACTATGTATGTCAAAAATACTTCAAATTTGCTATAGAGGGACTTGAAAGGATAAAATTTATTTCACCATTACTCATATCTTCTCCGTCTATGAACACCCATCATGTATAAAATATAGGGTAAATTACACTGACCTCCTCTAAAGTTTTGTCAACATACACATACCTCCCCTCTTGTTTGCAACATTACGATGATTAAAGTTTGTATCTTAGTAACACTTTGTTCCTTTCTATTAATGGTTGTTAGTGGTCAACCAATCAACAATGATGTAAACATTTTTTTTTTATCGAAAGTTACAATAGTGCCCTTTTCATTACCCTTCTTGACAACTATATCCTCACTTACTCAAATAGAATTACACCAATACCGTCCGACATTAAAATTAAATTATTACTGTTTGTTGTCGTTCCTTGTTAAATAAAAGAGTGAATATCAAAAGATATATATATATATATATATATATATATATATATATATATAATAACAATTTTGGGCAAAAGATAAATACAAGAAATTTAGCAGAAGATAAAAAAAACGAACATTTAGTCACATACTTATTTGTCGTGATGATAGGCTACCAGAAACCCTAAATCATCCTCTAACAAGTAGCAAGACATGGGGAAGTGAGAAGAAATGGAGATGGAGAGTAGTAGTTAATGAGATTTAATGGTTGGTAAAAAGTAATTTTTTTTTATTTTTTTATTTTTTCCATGACTTAAAAGTAATAATAAAATACATATGGGCATTTTGGTCTTTAAAATTTTGAAATAAAATATAATATGTATAATAAGGACAGAATTGTAATTACACAATAATAGTTAACATCATCCAATCACAGGAGAGGTCGGTGTAATTTGACAAATAAAATAAGAAGTTGTGTATATTAACCAACCTCATAAGAAATTAGTGTAATTTACCCTAAAATATATAATTGAAACTCATTGTCAACAAATTACCTCTATTAGAATATCCAACCATGTTAAGGCGCATCGTTAAAATGTTTTGCATTTCCTTATTTATTTATTTATTTAATTTGTCAACATGTCACATGTAAAAGCACCACATTATGTGCCTGCCAAGTAAAAACTCCTTCCCTGCCACAATTCAAAAGAGTCAATAATGCTTACGACTTGGGGTATGAAAAATATGTCTTTTGTCAAAAAAAGTAAATACTCTTTCCCTGCCACAACTCAAAAGAGTCAATAATGCTTACGACTTGGGGTATGAAAAATAAATTTCCGAACAAACAAACAAAAATAAATTTTTTAAAGGAAAAAAGACAATCAAGATTTTACAACAACTTATGAAGAGAATTTTCAACCAAAGAATTTCATAAAACCATCATCGTCACGTGTATTTTTGGTCAAGATAATTAGTTGACTATATTTAATTTATACGTAGAGATTATATGTATATATAAAGAATCACATCCATTATAGAAGTTAATGAGCTCTAACCTAAATAATATAATATCCCCCTTCTACAATAGGTTGAGTTTGAGTATTCGAGTGAAAGTATAATATACGTACATAATAGCCTAAAAGGTGTGTGTTCAAATCATACGTATAAAATATTCAATTCTAATTTCGTAAAAAATCTAACTGAACTCTTATTGGATTTGGTTCCGGTTGAAGTTGCACCCCTACTATTTAATTACTCGTTGCCGCATGAGTCGCATCTTGTGGGTCATGCAATTCATCCATATATGATTTATTTTAATTAATTAATTTAATAAAAATGATAAAAGTTCCCTTCCATTGTTATTGATAACAACAGTAGTGCCATAATGCCACGCATTCTTATGTTACTGACAAGAAGAGTCGTCAATGAACGCTGTAAAAAAACAAAAACCATTCAGGTTATTGGGTCGGAGACAAAAACCGATCTACTGATGTATCAAAAAGAGATTTAATGGGTCTTTACGAACCCGCCGCGTGTTAAGACCGGCGCGCAAGACTGGAGACCTTTATGTCAACGAGCAGCCCTTCACTTCTCTCTCTACAAGCGGCTCTTTCTCTCTCTAGACATTTGCTGCAGATACATACCGTACAAGGTGAACTTTCACATTTGGGTTTCTTCATTCTTCAACTCTCTCGTGTTCTGTTATTTTGTTAATTGCGAGATCAGAATCCTGAAATACTGGCAGAGTGATTTTCACTGGATATGTTTTAGATTTTGTAATTTCAACTTCTTTCTTTTTTTGTTTATTTTTTCTTGTATTTTTTGCAATTTAGTTTCAGATTTGCTGCTTTCTTGGAACAACAGACCAAAGGTTCTATTTGCAAGTATAGCAGAATCCATTAAACTCATGGACAACCCTCATATCATTTTAGATTAATTCTAGAATTTGCAATCTTTGTTCTGTTTGCTGTTTGTTATTATCATTTCTATATCAATTTTTTATTTATTTATTTATTTATTTTATTTTTTTTGCTGTCTGAGACTTGAACCGTACCTCCTTTGGAAAGTAAGATGTTGATACCGCTAGGCCACTGGCCCGTTGGTATTTCTATATCAATTTGGTTCCTTTTGGATCAAGATGTGGAGGGGGTAAAATGAACAATTGAAGTGATGCTCCATCACCAATATGTGTAATTCTTCTAATTATGAATCAACTTGAATCGCTGCTGATTTTGCCAATAAAACTTTTTATTTCTCATATTTTTGGAATTAAGAAATGAATTTTTCGGCCATCAGGTAGTGGCCTAGTTGGTAGAGCACCCAGCTCTCAAGTCCCCTAGTTTGCCAGGTTAAGAGGGAAATTTTCAGTTTGTCCTCGTGAAGTTGGACATTTTGAAGATAATGTGTTTCCAAAGACCCCCTCAAAGTATAACTTTGTAGATCAAAAGACCAAGGAATTGGCTTGGAGTGATTTGTGTCGGATGTAGCCTCTTCATTCTATAAGTTAGTACCTCTAGAATGCTCTTTTCATTAAGTCGCAATGGAATATAAATACAAAACATCCTATGATTGTAATTTTTAATATTATCCTTTCTTTCTTTTTTAGTGTGGGTGGATGTTGGAGGGTTAATTTAGATCATCTTTTTGATGAGTTCTTAAGGGATGTTGGCAAAAGCCTCTCAATTTGACAATACTGATAAGATTATATGTAAATGGGATCTTTAGCTTTCGAGACATTCTCAGTATATGAACTTCAATAGGCTAGCTTATGTGTAAGGATTGCCATATCGTGAGGAATTTACACTCTAATTGGCATTTGGGTTTTACTAGAATCAAGTTAAAATGGGAAGTTCTTCAATGGTTGTCAAAGTAATTTCTTCTCCCGCCGGGAATTTTCAGCCATTTTGATCTAATAAAGTACCTTTCCTTTCCTTCTTTCACGTCTCTTCTTGTACTTAACGTTATTTTCTTTTTTCCTGTCGAGGATATTAACACCTCCTTGTACATACTTGCTTTCTTTCAATATGTTGATATATGCCATTTCTTGGGGTACAAGAACAAATGTTAAGTTCTGCGCATGAATAAACTTTTCATGCTAACTAAAACTGTCTTTCTTCCTGAAATATTGGATTATTAATTCAGGAAACATGTAACTATAGTTACTCTAGAAGATATTATTAAGAAATATTTTGGACCAGTCCCGTTGCACAAAGTGGAGAGGAATCGTTTTTCTTTCCTTATTATGTCAGATAAACAAATAATAAATGGTCTCGAGTCCAAAACAGAAAGTTGTCAAACCAATATTGTAACAAAATTAACTTCTTCTTATACTAGTATTGTAGTTGTTGCTACTGCCAATGTTTTAATTTATAACAATTATTACGGTTTTATTTCCCCCGACAAGTTGTAACTATTATTATGTTATTATCATTAGTACATGGGTACAGTGTTTTTTTTTTTTTTTTTTTTTTTCTTTCCTCTTTTGACTGGATTTCGCATTGTAATTCAGTTGCAAATAAAATAATTTGGAACTCCTTTCAGTGAAATTACATTCAACATGTTCATGTCTAATGGTTTAATTTGGCTGGGCAGGGGTTTGACGTGATCCATGGTATTGGTGGAAAGTAGCAGACTTCTCTCATGACTTGTTTTACTTTCTGTTTCAGAAAGAAGGAAGCTTACCCAACTAAACGAACGATAGACATCAAAGAAGGTACATGGCTAAATGTTGTTTAAAACCAAGCAAGTTTCTGATATCATGTAACCACAACCTTCTTTACATTCTTTGAAGCATAAACATTTTTTTCAGTTTGCATGCATATCTAGGCATCATGAATGCTACTGTAGTAGGCTTTATATGTGCATAAAAAGCTTCTAACAAGGTTTAGTATGCTACAGAGGTTTCAGGCATTCAGAATGTTATACTGTACACTCATAAAGAAATGCGAATAGCAACTGAAGATTTTAGTCCGGCTAATAAAATTGGGGAGGGAGGTTTTGGTTCTGTCTACAAGGTAATTGTAAGTTTTGTGATTTTATCTGCATCAATGGAATATCGGTCATGCTGTTCAAGTATATATTATTGAACTATTTTTCCAATTTTCAGGGAAAGCTCAAAGATGGCACTGTGGTTGCTTTAAAGGTGCTTTCTGCTGAGTCAAGGCAGGGGTCACGGGAGTTCTTAACAGAGGTTAATGTGATCTCAAATGTTGAGCATGAAAATCTGGTGAAATTGTATGGTTGTTGTGTGGAAGGGAGTCACAGAATTTTGGTATATGGCTATCTAGAAAACAATAGCCTCGATCAAATTCTTCATGGTAATTCAAAGTCCCTCTTCTATATTTAAGCTTAATCATTTAATTTTCCAGAATACATTTAGTTATCTTTACTTTTAGGAGGAAGCCACAGTAGCATTCAGTTTAGCTGGAAAACGCGGTGTAAAATTTGCACTGGGGTTGCTCGGGGGCTTGCATTTCTTCACGAGGAGGTTCGGCCACATATTGTTCATAGAGACATTAAAGCAAGCAATGTCCTCCTTGACCAAGACCTCACACCCAAGATTTCAGATTTCGGTCTCGCAAAGCTTTTCCCGGACAACCAGACTCATATAAGTACACGTGTTGCAGGAACTTTGTAAGCCTATACATTCCAATTATACTGTCTTCCATCATAGAAATAATCTATTTAGTGAGTCTCAAATATCTGAGATGAAACACATTGTTTTGGAATGACACCCCAAAAATCTTATTTTGAACTAATGTTATAAACTATTGTTTAGTATGGGCCATAATGCCATAGTGTTTTAGGCATGTGCTCTGCAGGCACTAGTCAGATAGGATGAACTGATTAATGGTTCCACCTAAGAGGTCTACTACCTATATCAACCCTATCAATTTAACTCAACCATCTCAACTTTGATAATTTTTTAGAATAAATGGTTCCCTTTTCTAAAGCTGTTGCTTTTTCATGAGGGTATTCTTCTAAGGTTTTGTCCATTCAGTTGATGACTAATCTCTTGAATATGAAGCATGCATCCACTTTATCAGAGTCTTAAATCTATTTAAGTGGCTCAATCTAGCCAGTTCATAATTGGACCCATTAAACATGCTGCCTCCAAATTAGAGACACTGTGTCACATCTTGCATTTCAACTCGTTGAAACTATATGGCTCTTCCAAGACATTTTTGATATTATATTATTAAAAAGGAATAAAGCTCGGCTACCTAGGAGTTGCAAATATGCATGCAAGCAATTCAGTATTGTTCTCTCTCTCTCTCTCTCTCTCTCTCTCTCTCTCTCTCTTTCTTGGGGTGCATGTGTGTGTAAACTTACCTCATTTCTTTCAGCGGTTTAAAATTCGGTGCCTATCTTTATTATTGTAGTGGTTATTTGGCTCCTGAGTATGCGCTACGAGGCCAGTTGACGAAGAAAGCAGATATTTACAGTTTTGGTGTTCTCCTCTTGGAAATTGTCAGTGGGAGATGCAACACAAACAAGCGGTTACCTGTTGAAGAACAATATCTTCTTGAAAGGGTGTGGTATTCTTGAACTTATAGTTTCTTTTCGCTGAATTTCTATGAATTAATTATACTCTTGGCTTTTCTGTAGAACAGATAAATAGAAAAGTGCTTCATATGGAACATGCACAGTAGGTCAGGAGTAACCCCTTGTGGAATGTAACCTATAAGCTAGTTATGTAAAAAAAACCCTTGGATTGTCACATTAGCATGACCATTGGAATATTTTAATGTAACAACAACATTTTCAGCAGCATTCTCTCGATGATGCTTCCAACAATCTTCCCATTTTCTTGGAAGCACCTGTTGTTGACTTGTGCAATGCACAGCATACGAACAGTGTATAGGATAAATATTGAAAACATGAAAACAATGAAAAATAAATGAAGCTCCAAAAGAAAGTACTCATCGACATCATCATATTTGCTGTAATCTCATTTGAATGGGATCAGGCACTTGAATTTTGTTTCTTCGTTCTTTTATGTTACAAGTCATTTCTCCTATTATATTTAACTTTTAAAAATCTTTTATAATAAATCCATCCCATGTTAGTTGTGGTCAACCTCTGTCTCTTATCATTTATGCAAACTAATCTTCCTCTTCTTATTGATGCATCTATAAGTCTTCGTTGTTCCAAAGCATCTATAATCATTTGGGAGAAAGATTAAAAAATATCTAAGGAGGATAATTATGGAAAGTATTCTAGAATTAGCAAAATAGTGATTTGATGGTGTAAAATCAATTTTGGAGGAAATATTGGAATTAACAAAAATAAAGGAAACATACAAATTTATGGAAAAAAAAATGATAAAAACAAGTAAAAGTTAAAATTTGAAGATGCTTCCCGAGTCAGCACCCATGTTAACTTTCTCTTGAATAACATTTTCACTTAAATATATAAAACATATATTTGTAAGATGAGTATGAAGCTGTTTTCTGAAATCAGAAGCATTTCAAATTTCATATGGACCGGAAGGAATTGAATCATAAATTTCACTTCTAACCTTGTTGTCATTTGGGCTGAGTTCCTTATTATAATGTAAACTTTTTGTTTGCTAATAAAGTTATAATGAAGATGAGTTAGTTTAGTTGTTTTGTTTTGTTGTCAGAATGTTGACTCTGGAGAATTATGTGCTCGTCCTGTTACTTATCATTGGAACAATATTAGAGTTGACTACAAGTTTGTGAAAGTTGGTTGGTAGGTAATACTGGTTAGATTGAAAATTAGCTTTTTACGTAAGGGGCAGCGGAACACATGCCTTACGAAACAAATTTATTTTCTGGAAGAAATGGCTAGAATAGCAATTGACACAAGAAGTTTCATTATATTCGACCAAATTGCATTTTGTACTCCAATGTGTTATTAGAAGCCATCATTTCTTTGTTGTGGCCTATAATAAAAAATTATATATCTTTTTGTGTCCTTCTCTCTCTCTAAAAAGGTTCTATTGAAAACCTTGTTGAATAGCATATACATTTTGCAGATATGGGAACTGCACGAGCAAGGAGAGCTGCTGGCGATGGTGGACACGTCATTGGAAGGGGATTTCGATGACAATGAGGCTTTAAGATTCTTGAAGATTGGTCTCCTTTGCACCCAAGATATGCCAAAGCTCCGGCCGTCGATGTCTACTGTGGTGAAGATGCTTACAGGTGAGATGGATGTGGACAAGCAGAAGATATCAAGACCAGGCCTAATGTCTGATTTAATGGGTCTCAGAAAAAATAAGAATACATCGGACACATTATTTGGTAACTCAAGCAAACAGGATAATATGTCATCACCCGAGAACACGACTGGGTCATGTGCTACCATGACCTTCACTTCAATAGATGAGCGAAGTGTTTGACCAGTCCCATGGTAAAATATCTATTTCTCTTTTTATTTTTGCAATTTTTCAATTAATAATTTAATTTACTTTGTGTGGGCATGTCTGACATCCTATGAAATTTCATGATTGGCTTCATTGTGTTCCGCAGAGAGGTTCTTGCCCAAATCTATCATCTCTACTGGAGTGCAACACTCAAGCTGGTTGTGTAAGATCATTTCAATGTTTATGTAAAATGAATTCAATTTTTCCCCATCTCATTTGTTGTTCCAGCTGTCATTATTGTTAATTGTTGCATTCAAGATAATGGAATTGTGCAGAATATGATCCCTTTACAGAATGGGACAATATAATTGACACTGGAAAGTACCTGATTATATACGCATAGTTTATGCATACAAAGCTTAATCATTACAAAATCACCTATGGATGTCATATCTCAAATGAGTTTGAAGCTGGCTGACTTGCACTATGAAGGAGAGTGTATTACAATGCAAAGTTCAGTAAAGGCATAATTTTTCTGTTTAATAGAGTTTTAATTAATATAAAACATAGGAGGTCATGGAAAAATATCATCTATCCTTTTGAACTAATAACATATGTGTGTATTATTATTCATCAATATTATATATTTTTCATTTTTTTGGTGAAATAGATAGAAACAAACCAAAAACTAGATACAAGTTGTTGCTCCCATCATCTGCTGCAAGAAGATGGCAGAGGCCATTGGGACCAATTGTCAAGGATTCAGACACAACCTGTAATAGTATGGTCTTCATTTGCTGGGTAGTCAGCAAAATTTGTTTCCTCTTGCATAGTAAGCTGCATTCTATATTCCCATGGCTTTTTGAGTAGCATTCTGTAATCTTCAATGATTCCCAAAAGGAGACGTTTAACAGGGTTGCTTGCCCTTGTACTTTTTGGGTAATATTCACAATCTTCTTTTTTTTGGCACTGTTTAAAAGATATGTGCATATCTGTATATAGGTCTTGCTTTTCGCATCCATCTGGCAATCAAGTTATTCCTGAGAAACTGCAGTGTCTGAAATTGAGAATCCTCTTTACCAAGTTGTGTTATTCCTGTTTGTTCAATTGAAATGGTCAGTGTGTTTCATCTGTGATAATTGTATGGCATGTTTATCAATGTTTTCGTGTAGCTCTTATTAGATATGAGGGATATCTTGATTTTGGGGTCTGACTATGGAGGCTCCAACCATGTAATAATGCCTGCAGTTTTGGATGTAGAGCGTATCTTCTCTGTTATTGATCTGTATTGCGGTGATCTGTTTTGTCCATAGCCTATATGTCGAATTGGTTTATACTTTGAACTGCTTTGTGTTCCTTGTTTGTTGGAGACGGCCAAAACAAACATTAGTATAAGAATAGATTTACCACTGTTTTGGTCCAGTGTAAAAATTCTGTATAATGCCAAACTAAGATGAATTCACATTAATAGAAGCCAAAATGTACTTCATATTTCACTTTTTTCCCATTTGTTTATAGGATCATGCTTTAGATGGATGATTTTATATTTTGGAAAAAAAAAAAAAAAAACAATTTCATTTCTGAAGGTATAGCATAGAAAGCAAAATGTTGCAGGGTTGGGGGAACATGGCATCATAGAGGAGAAGGCAACTAGCAGTGGCCACTGAGGAGTGACAGTTGCCTCAGTTGCTACTGTCTCTGGCATAATTCTGCAGTGGATATGAGTCAAGTAAGTCTACCCCTTATGCTGGTATCAGTACTCAAGTGAAAGTAAAACCTGTCCAAAAGGAAAGCACAAGAAAATAATTTTTTTCTTGATACATATATAAATAAATAAATAAGCATTGTATAATATATAATATTGAAGTAATGTTTCACCCAGTTTATAAGTAACTGCCAATAAATTGATGTCTTGCCGGACCTAAGGATTTAAATTACATTGTGTATCAAAAGCAAAACCTGCTATATGATTTAAATTACGTAGTGTATCATAGAGAGCAGAGAAAACAGTTAAGAAATTAGAATGCATCAAGGTTAAAACACGAATAAAATAATTCTTCTTCTTTTGGCTAAGCAAAGAAAAGAGAAAATCTAGTTTCTGATTCTGTAACATCTATACGATAAAATCAGAAAACAGATCACTCTGTAACCAGTGATGAAGCCCAACATCACAGATAAATTGCTCCATTTCTGTGAATCCTTGAGATCTTGCTGCCTCAAGAACCCTTCACCGTGCAACTTGCAATCACCTCCTTCAACTTGTATACATCTTCTCCTCCCTTCACCCCATATTCATTTATCATGAAACACTCAAATGGGTACTTGAACAAGCTCAAGTAATGCATGAAAATCCAGTAATTGGGAATGTTTGACGACGACATGAAGTACCCGGAAAACAGGAAGAAAGAACCCATCAACCTGGCGACACTGATGTCCCCATGACGAAGTTTGGCACCAGAGCTCTGAAACACGCCGTGAATGAATTCGACATCAGGACAACCATCCAAACCACCAGAGCAAAGTAGAGGAAGCCATTGAAATCGCGCCTCAGACCAACTAGCCGGTAAACTGGTGTAGTGTAGAGAAGATTAACCATCAATAGAAAAGGTAAGAAGACAAGGGTGTTTGCCATAACATAAGAACATACTCTGTAAGCTCCTCTTGAGATCTCCCTCATTAGGATTCTTCTCTCTTGCAGGAATATGGGCAGGCCTTCGGTTGTGGAAGATAGCAAGAAGGTGAGGCTGAAAGCGAAGAACCCGGTCCGGTTTTGTAAAGCCACCTGCCCATTTGTCATCACCAACATTCATGAATATGGTTCCAAGTATTATCCAGCTACTGTGGCTTGTATAATCCTCGTCGCGAAAAGTTGCTAAGTTCTGAATACATTTTTGCAGAAACTTTGTCCTGGTACCAAGACCTCCTCCAAAGGAGAGTTTTTGTAGGAGACAAGCTTGTCTTCAATTCTGTGATCTTCTTCATTGTTTCTTGAGTAAAGACTGGTTGTTGGGAGTGTCTGAAGTTTGTATGATCAAGCTTCCTGTGACATCAATGGCGAATTCTAATTTGCTATAGAGTGACTTGAAAAAATAAATTTATTTCATCATTATTCATCTCTTCTCCGCCTATGAACACCCATCATGTATAAAATATTCACCCATCTCTCAAAATATAGTAATTGAAACTCATTGTCAACAAAGTGCCTCTATTAGAAGATACAACCATGTAAGCACATCTTTAAAATGTTTTGTATTTACTTATTTATTTATTTAATTAATTTGTCAACATGTCAAATGTAAAAGCACCACATGATGTGCTGCCAAAATATTCCCACAAATGTACAAGTTAAAACTCTTTCCCTGCCACAACTCAAAAGAGCCAATAATGCTTACAACTTGGGGCAGGAAAAAGAAATTTCTGAACCAACAAACAAAAATAAATTTTTTAAAGGAGAAAAGACAATCAAGGTTTCACAATAAGAAGATGGACTGTTTGGCTAGGCACAAAACGGGTATTAAGTCTAGAAAGTCTTTTTTCAATAATAAAGAGCATTTGGTAAATTCTTTATAAATGAACTTTTAAAAAGTTTAAGTGATTTAGAAACCTATTGACCAAAGCCTGTTTCCTGCTTGACTTCCCGCAAGATATACACTTTTAAGTAATAAATACAAAATTCCTATATTGTCCATTATTTAAATTATTTCCATTTCTGAATTTCATTACAAACTTTTGTCTCTCTCTTTCTGAATCATCTTCTTCGTTAGTTTTCTACTAAAAAAATTAAAAAATAACGCTGAGCAAAATTTCACAGAATTTTATTAAAAAATATATTGTTGAAAAAAGATTCAACAAGAAAGAACAAAAAGATTGATGAGTTGCAGGAAAAATTACTATTTGACTTTAAAGTTTGAAGAGTTCAAAGATTTATGAACTTTTATTCAAAATTTAATCATACGTAGAATTCTAAATAACTTTTCTCTTTTCAATATATATATATATATATATACACACACACACAATATATATATAATTTTTTTCTTCCTTTTTTGAAGGCTACATGTTAAAGTGATTTATAGTTATAAATAAGAATAAAAATGGGAAATTTTTGCTGCCATCACTCTCTTTTTGTTTTCTTTTTCTTTTATTTTCTTTTTTCATCTCTTTCAACTTCTATCATGTACTTAAGAAAATTAAAAGAAAAAAAAAAAATTCTAGCATATAGATTGGGTTGGGATAAATTTGTATACCAAATCTTCACTATGCCAATTAAAAGTTGCTGCATCATTGTCGATTTCACTCCATCACTTTAATTATGGTTTCATACTTTATGAAGAGAATTTTCTAACCGAAGGATTTCATAAAACCATCATCCTGTATTTTTGGTCAAGATGATTAGCTAACTATATATAATCTATACGTAGAGATCATATGTATATATAAAGAATCTCATCCATTATAGAAATTAACGATTCCTAACCTAATTGGTAAAGTCTATTCTTTTCTATATAATACAAAATATGAGTAGGAATATAACTCGACCAGTTGAAGTTACAAATCCAACCCCACATATAAAATATTGGATTCTAATTTCAATCTTAATTATAAAATTAATTGTTCCCAGTAAAAATTTTACCTGAACCCTTATTGAATTTGATTCTAGTTCAAGTTGCGCCACTACTTAAATTACCCATTGCCGCATCAGTCGCATTTTTTGGGTCATGCAATTCATCCATATATGATTTATTTTAATTAATTAATTTAATAAAAATTATAAAAGTTCCCATCCATCGTTATTGATATCAATTATTGTGCCATAATGCCATTTCCGTTGATATAAACACGCCCTCTTATATTACTGACAAGAAGAGTCGTCGTTGACATTGTAGTAAAAAAAAGAAAAATTCTTGTTATTGGGTCGAAGACAAAAACCGATCTGTTGATGTACTATCAAATAGAGATTTAATGCGGTTTTATTTCACATAGAGCAGACAAAGAATTTCATTTATAAGCGGCGCTCCATGAATTTAGTAGATCCTTTTAGGAAGCCCTAATGACCATAGATCGAACCAGTCCAATTTTTACAGTGCAATGGTTGGTTGTTCACGGACTAGCGGTCCCCACCGTTATGTTTTTGGGGGTAAATATCAGCAATGCAGTTCAATCGAACCCGCCGCGTGTTAAGACCGGCGTGTAAGACTGAAGACCTGCAGCAAATCGGCAACTGCATTAATTTCCATACTCAAATTCCTCGTCAACGGGCAACCCCTCACTTCTCTCTCTACAATCGGATCTCTCTCTCTAGATATTTGCTGCAGATACATACCGTACAAGGTGAACTTTCACATTTGGGTTTCTTCATTCTTCAAACTCTCTCGTGTTCTGTTATTTTGTTAATTGCGAGATCAGAGTCCTGAAATACTTGGAGAGTGATTTTCACGGGGTATGTTTTAGATTTTTGTAATTTCAGCTTCTTTCTTTTTTTTTTGTTTATTTTTTCTTGTATTTTTTGCAATTTAGTTTCAGATTTGCTGCTTTCTTGGAACAACAAACCAAAGGTTCAATTTTGTTATTGCAAGTATAGCAGAATCCATTAAACTCATGGACAACCCTCATATCATTTTAGATTAATTCTAGAATTTGCAATCTTTGTTCTGTTTGCTGTTTGTTGTTGTCATTTCTATATCAATTTGGTTCCTTTTGGATCAAGATGTGGAGGGGGTAAAATGAACAATTGAAGTGATGCTCCATCACCAATATGTGTAATTCTTCTAATATGAATCAACTTGAATCGCTGCTGATTTTGCCAATAAAACTTTTTATTTCTCATATTTTTAGAATTAAGAAATGAATTTTTCCGCCATCACCGAGTGGCCTAGTTGGTAGAGCACTCAGCTCTCAAGTCCCCTAGTTTGCCAGGATAAGAGGGAAATTTTCAGTTTGTCCTCGTAAAGCTGGACATTTTGAAGATAATGTGTTTCCAAACACCCCCTCAAAGTAGAACTTTGTCTATCAAAAGACCAAGGAATTGGCTCGGAGTGATTTGTGTCCGATGTAGCCTCTTGATTCTATAAGTTGGTACTTCTAGACTGCTCTTTTCATTAAGTCGCAATGGAATATAAATACAAAACATCCTATGATTGTAATTTTTAATCTTATCCTTTCTTTCTTTTTTAGTGTGGGTGGGTGTTGGAGGGTTAATTTAGAACATCTTTTTGATGATTTCTTATGGGATGTTGTCAAAAGCCTCTCAATTTGACAATACTGATGAGATTATATGTAAATGGGATCTTTAGCTTTCAATACATTTGCTGTATTTGAACTTCAATAGGCTAAGCTTATGTGTAAGGAATGCCATATCGTGAGGAATTTACACTCTAATTGGCTTTTGGCTTTTACTAGAATCAAGTTAAAATGGAAAGTTCTTCAATGGTTGTCAAAGTAATTTCTTCTCCTGCCAGGAATTTTCAGCCATTTGATCTAATAAAGTACCTTTCCTTTCCATCTTTCACGTCTCTTCTTGTACTTAACGGTATTTTCTTTTTTCTTGTCGAGGATATTAACACCTCCTTGTACATACTTGCTTTCTTTCAATATGTTGATATATGCCATTTCTCGGGGTACAAGAACAAACGTTAAGTTCTGCTCATGAATAAACTTTTCATGCTAACTAAAACTGTCTTTCTTCCTGAAATGTTGGATTATTAATTCAGGAAACATGTAAATATAGTGCATCTAGAAGATATTATTAAGAAATATTTTGGACCAGTCCCATTGCACAAAGTGGAGAGGAATTGTTTTTCTTTCCTTATTATGTCAGATAAACAAATAATAAATGGTCTCGAATCCAAAACAGAAAGTTGTCAAACCAATATTGTAACAAAATTAACAACTTCTTATACTAGTATTGTAGTTGTTGCTACTGCCAATGTTTTAATTTATAACAATTATTACGGTTTTATTTCCCCCGGCAAGTTGTAACTATTATTATGTTATTATCATTAGTACATGGGTACAGTTTTTTTTTCTTTCTTTTGACTAGATTTTTTTATTCTGTTGCAAATAAAATAATTTGGAACTCCTTTTAGTGAACTTACATTCAACATGTTCATGTCTAATGGTTTAACTTGGCTGGGCAGGGGTTTGATGTGATCCATGGTATTGGTGAAAAGTAGCAGACTTCTCTCATGACTTGTTTTACTTTCTGTTTCAGAAAGAAGGTAGCTTACCCAACTAAACAAACGATAGATATCAAAGAAGGTACATGGCTAGACAGTCTCAGCTCCCACTTCAACCTAAATGTTGTTTAAAACCAAGCAAGTTTCTGATATCATGTAACCCCAACCTTCTTTACATTCTTTGAAGCATAAACATTTTTTTTAGTTTGCATGCATATCTAGGCAACATGAATGCTACTATAGTAGGCTTTATATGTGCATAAAAGCTTCTAACAAGGTTTAGTATGCTACAGAGGTTTCAGGCATTCAGAATGTTATAGTGTACACTTATGAAGAAATGCGAATAGCAACTGAAGATTTTAGTCCAGCTAATAAAATTGGGAAGGGTGGTTTTGGTTCTGTCTACAAGGTAATTGTAAGTTTTTATCTGCATCAATGGAATCTCGGTCATGCTGTTCAAGTATATATTATTGAACTATTTTTCCAATTGTCAGGGAAAGCTCAAAGATGGCACTGTGGTTGCTTTAAAGGTGCTTTCTGCTGAGTCAAGGCAGGGGTCACGGGAGTTCTTAACAGAGGTTAATGTGATCTCAAATGTAGAGCATGAAAATCTAGTGAAATTGTATGGTTGTTGTATGGAAGGGAGTCACAGAATTTTGGTATATGGCTATCTAGAAAACAATAGCCTCGATCAAATTCTTCATGGTAATTCAAAGTCCCTCTTCTATATTTAAGCTTAATCATTTAATTTTCCAGAATACATTTAGTTATCTTTACTTTTAGGAGGAAGCCACAGTAGCATTCAGTTTAGCTGGAAAATGCGGTGTAAAATTTGCACTGGGGTTGCTCGGGGGCTTGCATTTCTTCATGAGGAGGTTCGGCCACATATTGTTCATAGAGACATTAAAGCAAGCAATGTCCTCCTTGACCAAGACCTCACACCCAAGATTTCAGATTTCGGTCTCGCAAAGTTTTTCCCGGACAACCAGACTCACATAAGTACACGTGTTGCAGGAACTATGTAAGCCTATACATTCCAATTATACTGTCTTTCATCATAGAAATAATTTTAACAAATTTTCAGGGGAAATCATGATTATAATCTATTCAGTGAGTCTTAAATATCTGAGATGAAACATATTGTTTGGAATGACACCCGAGTCTCAAATATGTGACATGAAACATATTGTTTGGAATGACACCCCAAAAATCTTATTCTGAACTAATGTTATGAACTATTGTTTAGTATGGGCCATAATGCCATATAGTGTTTTAGGCATGTGCTCCGCAGGCACTAGTCAGATAGGATGAACCAATTAATGGTTCCACCTAAGAGGTCTACTACCTATGTCAACCCTATCAATTTACCTCAACCATCTCAACTTTGATAATTTTTTAGAATAAATGGTTCTCTTTTCTAAAGCTGTTGCTTTTTCATGAGGGTATCTTCTAAGGTTTTGTCCATTCAGTTGATGACTAATATCTTGAATATGAAGAACGCATCCACTTTATCAGAGTCTTAAATCTATTTAAGTGGCTCAATCTAGCCAGTTCATAATTGGACCCATTAAACATGCTGCCTCCAAATTAGAGACACTGTGTTACATCTTGCATTTCAACTCGTTGTCTTCCAAGACATTTTTGATATTATATTATTAAAAAGGAATAAAGCTCGGCTACCTAGGTGCTGCAAATATGCATGCAAGCAATTCACTATTGTTCTCTCTCTCTCTCTCTCTCTTGGGGTGCGTGTGTGTAAACTTACCTCATTTCTTTCAGTAATTTTAAAATTCGATGCCTATCTTTATTATTGTAGTGGTTATTTGGCTCCTGAGTATGCGCTACGAGGCCAGTTGACGAGGAAAGCAGATATTTACAGTTTTGGTGTTCTCCTCTTGGAAATTGTCAGTGGGAGATGCAACACAAACAAGCGGTTACCTTTTGAAGAACAATGTCTTCTTGAAAGGGTGTGGTATTCTTGAACTTATAGTTTCGTTTCCCTGAATTTCTATGAATAAATTATGCTCTTGACTTTTCTGTAGAACAGATAAATAGAAAAGTGCTTCATATGGAACATGCACAGTAGGTCAGGAGTAACCCCTTGTGGAATGTAACCTATTCTTGGATTGTCACATTAGTATGACCATTGGAATATTTTAATGTAATAACAACATTTTCAGCAGCATTCTCTCGATGATGCTTCCAACAATCTTCCCATTTTCTTGGTAGCACCTGTTGTTGACTTGTGCAATGCACAGCATACGAACAGTGTATAGGATAAATATTGAAAACATGAAAACAATAAAGCATAATTAACAAAAAATAAATGAAACTCCAAAAGAAAGTACTCATCGACATCATCATATTTGTTGTAATCTTATTTGAATGGGATCTGGCACATGAATTTTCTTTCTTCGTTCTTTTATGTTTCAAGTCATTTCTCCTATTATATTTAACTTTTTAAAATCTTTTATAATAAATCCATCCCATGTTAGTTTTGGTCAACCTCTGTCTCTTATCATCTATGCAAACTAATCTTCCTTCGTTGTTTCAAACCATCTATAATCATTTGGGAGAAAGATTAAAAAATATATAAGGAGGATAATTATGGAAAGTATTAGAGAATTAGCAAAATAGTAATTTGATGGTGTAAAATCGATTTTGGAGGAAATATTGGAATTAACAAAAATAAAGGAAATATACAAATTTATGGAAAAAAGATGATAAAAACAAGTAAAAGTTAAAAATTTGAAGATGCTTCCCGAGTCTGCACCCATGTTAACCTTCTCTTGAATAGCATGTTCACTTAAATTTATAAAACATTTATATTTGTAAGATGGGTATGAAGCTGTTTTCTGAAATCAGAAGCATTTCAAATTTCATATGGACCGGAAGGAATTGAATCATAAATTTCACTTCTAGCCTTGTTGTCATTTGAGCTGAGTTCCTTATTATAATGTAAACTTTTTGTTTGCTAATAAAGTTATAATGAAGATGAGTTAGTTTAGTTGTTTTGTTATGTTGTCAGAATGTTGACTCTGGAGAATTATGTGCTCGTCCTGTTACTTATCATTGGAACAATCTTAGAGTTGACTACAAGTTTGTGAAAGTTGGTTGGTAGGTAATACTGGTTAAATGAAAATTAGCTTTTTACGTAAGGGGCAGTGGAACACATGCCTTACGAAACAAATTTCTTTACTGGAAGAAATGGCTAGAATACCAATTGACACAAGAAGTTTCATTATATTCGACCAAATTGCATTTTGTACTCCAATGTGTTATTAGAAGCCATCATTCCTTTGTTGTGGCCTATAATAATAAATTATATATCTTTTTGTGTCCTCTCTCTCTAAAAAAGTTTTATTGAAAACCTTGTTAAATAGCATATACATTTTGCAGATGTGGGAACTGCACAAGCAAGGAGAGCTGCTGGCGATGGTGGACATGTCATTGGAAGGGGATTTTGATGACAATGAGGCTTTAAGATTCTTGAAGATTGGTCTCCTTTGCACCCAAGAAATGGCAAAGCTCCGGCCGTCGATGTCTACTGTGGTGAAGATGCTTACAGGTGAGATGGATGTGGACAAGCAGAAGATATCAAGACCAGGCCTAATGTCTGATTTAATGGGTCTCAGAAAAAATAAGAATACATCGGACACATTATCTGGTAGCTCAGGCAAACAGGATAATATCTCATCACCCGAGAACACGACTGGGTCACGTGCTACTATGACCTTCACTTCAATATATGACCGAAGTGCTTGACTAGTCCCATGGTAAAATATCTATTTCTCTTTTTATCTTTGCAATTTTTCAATTAATAATTTAATTTACTTTGTGTGGGCGCGTCCGACATCCTATGAAATTTCATGATTGGCATCATTGTGTTCCGCAGAGAGGTTTCTCGAGCAAATCTATCATCTCTACTGGAGTGCAACACTCAAGCTGGTTGTGTAAGATCACTTCAATGTTTTTGTAAAATGAATTCATTTTTTCCCCATATCATTTGTTGTTCCAGCTGTCATTATTGTTAATTGTTGCATTCAAGATAACGGAATTGTGCAGAAAATGATCCCTTTACAGAATGGTACAATATAATTGACACTGGAAACTACCTGATTATATACGCATAGTTTATGCATGCAAAGCTTAATCATTACAAAATCACCTATGGATTTCATATCTCAAATGATTTTGAAGCTGGCTGACGTGCGCTATGAAGGAGAGTGTATTACTTTGCAAAGTTCAGTAAAGGAATAATTTTTCTGTTTAATAGAGTTTGAATTAATATAAAACATAGGAGGTCATGGAAAATTATCATCTATCCCTTTCAATTAATGACATATGTGTGTATTAGTATTCATCAATATTATATATTTTTCATTTTTTTTGGTGAAATAGATAGAAACAATCCAAAAACTAGGTACAAGTTGTTGCTCCCATCATCTGCTGCAAGAAGATGGCAGAGGCCATTGGGACCTATTGTCAAGGATTCAGACACAACCTGTAATAGTATGGTCTTCATTTGCTGGGTAGTCAGCAAAACTTGTTTCCCCTTGCATAATATGCTGCATTCTATATTCCCATGGCTTTTTGAGAAGCATTCTGTAATCCTCAATGATTCCCAAAAGGAGATATTTAACAGGGTTGCTTGCCCTTTTACTTTTTGGGTAATATTCACAATCTATTTATTTTTTTTGCACTGTTTAAAAGATATGTGCATATCTGTGTATAGTTCTTGATTTTCACATCCATCTGGCAATTATGTTATTCCTGAGAAACTGCAATGTCTGAAATTGAGAATCCTCTTTACCAAGTTGTGTTATTCCTGTTTGTTCAATTGAAATGGCCACTGTGTTTCATCTGTGATAATTGTATGGCATGTTTATCAATGTTATCCTGTAGCTCCTATTAGATATGAGGGTATCTTGATTTTGGGGTCTGGCTTTCCCTATGGAGGCTCCAACCAAGTAATAATGCATGCAGTTTTGGATGTAGCGCGTATCTTCTCTGTTATTGATCTGTATTGCGGTGATCTGTTTTGTCCATAGCCTTTGTATGTCGAATTGGTTTATACTTTGAACTGCTTTGTGTTCCTAGCTTGTTTGTTGGAGATGGCTAAAACAAACATTAGTATAAGATTAGATTTACTACCGTTTTGTAAAAATTCTGTATAATACCAAACTAAGATGAATTCACATTAATAGTAGCCAAAATGTACTTCATATTTCACTTTTTTCCCATTTGTTTACAGGATCATGCTTTAGATAGATGATTTTATATTTTGAAAGAAAAAAAAAAAAAACAATTTCATTTCTGAAGGTATAGCATAGAAAGCAAAATGTTGCAGGGTTGGGGGAACATGGCATCATAGAGGAGAAGGAAACTAGCAGTGGCCACTGAGGAGTGACAGTTGCCTTATATGCTGGTATCAGTACTCAAGTGAAAGTAAAACCTGTCCAAAAGAAAAGCACAAGAAAATAATTTTTTTCTTGATATATTATACACGCACGCACGCATATATATACTGTATATTCTATAGGAAAAAAAAAAAAATGTATTGTATAATATATAATATTGAAGTAATGTTTCACCCAGTTTATAAGGAACTGCCAATAAATTGATGTCTTGCTGGACCTAAAGATTTAAATTACATTGTGTATCAAAAGCAAAATCTGCTATATGATTTAAATTACATAGTGTATCACAGGGAGCAGAGAAAACAGTTCAGAAATTAGAATGCATCAAGGTTAAAACATGAATAAAATAATTCTTCTGCTTTTGGCTAAGCAAAGAAAAGGGAAAATCTAGTTTCTGATTCTGTAACATCTATACCATAATATCAGAAAGCAGAGCACTCTGTAACCAATGATGAAGCCCAACATCACAGCTAAATTGCTCCATTTCTGTGAATCCTTGAGATCTTGCTGCCTCAAGAACCCTTCACCATACAACTTGCAATCACCTCCTTCAACTTGTATACATCTTCTCCTCCCTTCACCCCCATATTCATTTATCATGAAACACTCAAATGGGTACTTGAACAAGCTCAAGTAATGCATGAAAATCCAGTAATTGGGAATGTTTGACGACGATATGAAGTACCCGGAAAACAGGAAGAAAGAACCCATCAACCCGGCAATCACTGATGTCCCCATGATGAAGTTTGGCACCAGAGCACTGAAACACGCAGTGAATGAATTCGACATCAAGACAACCATCCAAACCACCAGAGCAAAGTAGAGGTAGCCATCGAAATCGCGCCTCAGACCAACTAGCCAGTAAACTGGTGTGGTGTAGAGAAGACTAACCATCAATAGAAAAGGTAAGAAAACAAGGGTGTTTGCCATAACATAAGAAGATACTCTGTAAGCTCCTCTTGAGATCTCCCTCATTAGGATTCTTCTCTCTTGCAGGAATATGGGCAGGCCTTCGGTTGTGGAAGATAGCAAGAAGGTGAGGCTGAAAGCGAAGAACCCGGTCCGGGTTTGTAAAGCCACCTGCCCTTTATCATCACCAACATTCATGAAAATGGTTCCAAGGATTAATCCAGCTACTGTTGCTTGTATAATCCTCGTAGCGAAAAGTTGCTTAGTTCTGAATACATTTTTGCAGAATCTTTGACCTAGTACTAGGACCTCCTCCAATGGAGAATTTTTGTAGGAGACATGCTTGTCTTCAATTCTGTGATCTTCTTCATTGTTCTTGAGTAAAAACTGGTTGTTGAGAGTTTCTGAAGTTTGTATGATCAAGCTTCCTGTGACATCAATGGCGAATTCGAGCACATTGATGTGGGGAGGAAGGGAATGACCAGCAAACTTGAGCCTCTCTTCAAGAAGTTTCAAGGAACCATTATGAAGGACAAATCCATTGGAGAGCAGAACAAGCCGATCCAACAGCTCGAGGATCCGAAAACCGGGTTGATGAATGGTTAGCACAATTGTCTTAACTTGATGAACAGCCATTGATTTGAGCAATGACACCACATGAAGTGCTGATGCTGAATCCAACCCGGAAGTTGGTTCATCAATCAAAACAACATCCGGGTCATGGACTAATTCAACTCCAATCGAAACCCTACGCCTCTCCCCACCGGAAATGCCACCGTTGGATCCTTCCTCACCGATCCTTGAACCTGCCACCTGATCCAATCCGAGCTCCTGCATCAACACTCTTGCTCTCTTAGCAGCCTCTTTCAAATTCATCCCACCAGGTAGCCTCAGAAGAGCACTATAGATGAGTGTTTCTTCAACGGTTAGTAGTGGGAACAGAGCATCTTCTTGGGTGACATACCCTGATATTCTCCGAAAGGATTCACCGTCCATAGGCCGGTCATTAACGAGGACCTGACCGGACACTTTACCCGGTGATATTGTCCCTGCAAGAATGTCTAGCAATGTTGTTTTACCAGCCCCACTAGGGCCGGCAATCGCGGTGATCTCTCCGGGCTTAGCTTCACAATTCACATCCCTTAGAATGAACCTGGAAGCTTGTTTTGGTGTCTTGCCACAATAAAGCCAAAGCCAATTCAACTCATCAAACTGGCTCTGGAATGTGGAGCACAAATTTTTGGTTTCTATTCTATATGAAACTTTCCGGCCACTGGAACGCGGTGCTTTTACCGGCAATTCCATTGAGTGAGAGACAGAGGGGGGGATGTGAATGTGTGAGATATGAGATGAGAGAGATCAAGAAAAGGGGAGGAGGAGATGAGCTAACACACCAAACTTGCTATTTTGATACACGTTAAGTATGTAGCCAATGGACAGTGGCATGCATGGGCTTTGACAGTTTAGCATTGGGCTTGACTTAGGTTCACTATTATGTTTGTTTCTTGGTTCAAGAAAACAGAAGTAAAAGATTTTGCTTGTGAAGTTTTTCAGGTGAACTGCATGTTGACCTTGCAGGGTTGGTGTTAGTTGAATCATCATCATCTCTCTCTAACTGACAGCTCTGCAGATTTTAATATTGGGACTTTAAGTCGTCAAAAATTAATAAATTTTTCCATAATGTCTAATTTGACCAACACATTATATGAAATTTGCATTCAAAAGTTGTCCAATTTTCTAGTAATATCCCTTGCCTACCACATTACAGAGCCAATTCAACTCGACCCACCCTTGGAGCAGAAGTCATAATCCGTGATGGGAATTCTCCACAATTGCTTATTTTCATTTTACTTCGGGATGAATACAACGGTAAAAATTCGAATTGGGACATTTAAGGTCATGAGCTCGAGTATGAAATTAGTTGCCTCGGGTGAAGTATTCTCAAATGCTTTTAAACTTGGGTAAATTACACCGACACTCCTTGAGGTTGGGTCATATTCTACCTATATAAACATTTTGGTTTTATTTTTCATTTATATTTGAAAGAGTGATTTAGTATTTCATTTACACCCCAAATATTAAAAAATATCAATTTTTGGTAAGGTTAGACCATTGTTGAGGTGTTAAATGACTATACTACCCATTTGACCCATTGTTGACTTGAAAAAGGTTGTTTGAATATATATATATATATTTTTGACAAAATTACCCCCAACATACAGCTCCGTCACCATTACACGTTGCCACTGCCCAATCATACATCTCCATCGCCGCCATTTCCCCACCCTACACCTCCATCGCCGCCGCCCACCCAAAACCTCCATCATCACTGCCCACCCAACACCTCTATTACCATAGCTCCCACCCAAAACAAATCCCAAGGCCGCCAAACCCAACTAAAAGCCAATCCATCTCACTGTAACTTCCCAAACCAAGCTTACAGCTTGTCACTGCCAACAACCAATGCCATAACCGTCGTCGACCAAAAGCCCATCTCCTTTCGTCATCATCCCTTTACTTGAAGCAATCGTCCGAAGCGGAGCTCAGACACCGATCAATAAACTGATCAGGGAACAGAGGAAAATGGCGACGACAACGAAAGGGATGAAGACTACCAGACGGCAAAAAACGAATTGCCGCCACTGTCGCCGACCATGGATTTTGGAGATTGTAGCACCACCATCCTTATCTCCGGTACTTCTCGATCGCCAGAAACATCTCTTCAATTTCGAATCTCCAAAGAATCACGATCGTTGATCCCAACGCCAATACTATCGTCGCGAACGTAGCTAGCCGTAGATGTGGAACAGAGCATCGGAAACCATACGCTGTTGCCGCCGATCGTAGAACGATCATCGTCATTGCCACCATGTCGCAGATCGTCGTCGTTAATGCAAATCGTTGCCGCTGCCGCAGATCATCATCGTTGTTGCATATTGTTGTCACTGTCGCCACCACCGTCGGAAATTGTGTCGATAATCGTCAGATCGTTCTGTGGTGTGGTGATTGTTTGGAAGCTGTTTTGGAACTTTGACGGGGAGAAGGAGTGCGTGATTTGCTCTCAATGATTTTCATGATGAACAAGCTTCCTGGTTTCGCTGGTGGTGAGTTAAGAACCGACAGTGGAAGGGGAGGCGATGGTGATGTGCTGCGACGGCTGCCTATTTTGTTTCGTAGATAGATGGAATAGATAGAGAGAAGAGAGAGAGAATGAATGATTTAGAATATTAGTATTACATGGGGGTATTTTTGCCATTTTAGTTTGTAGAAATTTTGTATTAAATTGTATTTAAAAAGTGAGGGTAAATAGGTCAATTCACATGTGTCAGAGTTCAAAAAGTAATTTGGGGTGTAAGTGAAAGTTAAAACCAAAATTTTCATGTAGGTGAAATATGACCTAACCTGAGGGGGTGGTGTAATTTACCCTTTAAACTTTCTTCACTTAAACACTCAGGCATAGGTAATTTTTTTTAGGGTCAAGTGTAAAACTTTAACATGAATTTCTGGGTTAAGTACAAAAAAACCCTTAATATATAGGATTTGTGCAGAAATAGTTCTTACTTTTTTAAATTGTACATTTCAGTCCATAAAATTCAAAAAAGTGCAAATAAGCCACTGAGACCATTTTTTAGTCAAAATTGACATAAAATAAATAATAATAATAATAATAAAAGACATGACATTTTGTCTTCATTTGAAAAAACATATACTGCGCGCGCGCACACACACAAAATAACATAATTTCCTCTTAAAAGAATCCATATTAGACCATGCCGATGAGTGTGGGTAAGTCTTCGAGTTGAAGAAAGTAGGACCCACAATACCCTTTTGGTTCCCTGAAAACATAAAGTGAGCAAATGTATGCAATTTTGAAATTACAATGATTGTAATTTTAAAAAATAAAGAACAATGATCATCTTTGAAATTTATTATAATTAATGTATAAACCAAATGCATTATTTGTTATCAAATTATCAGTTAGTTTAACTTTACAGTGAGTAAAAAAAAAAAAAAATCCACTTTACTATAGTAATCAAGAGGAATAAAGTTATATTTTTAATATATCTTTAATTTAGTTCAGAATTCATTAGTAATTAATTTTTTTACAATTTTGTCATTACTTATTGAATATCTTAAATATATTTATTTTAAGGTTAATGGTCTTAATTGGATAATATTGAATTGTAACTATTAGTATAAATTTTATGTGAAAAAGAAAAATTCAAAAATAAAAGTTAATGGTCTTAAATTAATTGAAATTTTTAAAACTTTTAGGCGCGGTTTGGTCGATGAAAATTAGTAGTGGTTAAAATCTATATTTGTTTATCATGAATTTTTTACATTGCCTAGTTTTTTTTTAATATTATTTCATCCATATTAGAGAGGGTATTAATGTCTTTTTGTGCGAACAAGGGGGTAATTACACCAAATTGATAGTATATGGGATTTTTATACCACACAGGGACTGTTTTGCGCTACATCGATAGTAGAGGGGTTTTTTTGGGCTTAATCCAAGGGCGAAATAGGGTTTTTGAATTTATTTTATGTCAATTTTGACCAAAAAGTGGTCTGATGAGCTTATTTGCACCTTTTTTGAATTTTATGGATTGAAATGCATATTTTTAAAAAATAGGGACTATTTTTACATAAACCCTATATATCAGGGGTTTTTTTGCACTCACAAGTCAGGATGGCAAAATACCCATCCTGTCCCATTCCATTTAGAACGCATTATGGGAGTGGTTAAATAATTTTAAATCGTGGATGAGGTTAAGATTGAAAATCCATATGGTTATGGGGCGAGGATAGGGAAAGGTCACCTTCTCGGCAGGGCTGACTCAACCATAAAACAAATAAGGCGGCCGCCTTAGACCCCAGTTGGAAAAAGTGGCCCCATATTTTTCTTACTGTATTAATTATGTTTCCTTTAATATATTAATTACCAAATAATGCAATTTATATTATATTGATGAACACAAAAACACAAGTTGCGCTCCAATAAATAAAAAAAAATGAGGCCCCAAATTTTTGTTAATGTAATAATTATGTTTCATTCAATATATTAATTACCAAATAAATATAACTGATCAATACAGGTTTCTTTAAAATTGGAAAAGTTTTACGGAGTAATTTTTTAAATTATCTTGCATATCAATAACTATTCAACGTTATATTATTTTTTTGAACTCTCACGCGATTACAAAATAAAATCATTTTGAATAATTATTCTAGCATTATATTTATTTTGAACTCTCTCACACATCAATTGCCTACCGAACAAAACACTATCTCTATTACATGCCAATAATTGTCATTGTATTTCTTTTGGAACCTCACACATTAATTGCTTACAAAATTAAATTACTATTTCTAAAATTAAAAATCCAAATAATGTTTTAAGTTTCCTCGAATAAAAATTATTAATATTATATTCATATATTAAACATAAGAAAGCCTAATTTGAAATGTTGCTTTAGGTCTCAAATAATATCAAGCCACCCCTGCTGCTATGCTTGTCCCGGACTTTCGCTTATAGTGATAAATTATAATTTTGTCCTTATATTTTATTTTTATATTCGGGTATATTAGGTATTACATTCGTCTCATATTAGTTGTCAACTTAAAAAACTTTGACTCGTAATTTTTGTGAGTCAAAATTACCGAAGTAGACATCTAATATGACTCAAAAATCAAAGAATTATTGCCATGGTTGTAAAATTGTTTCCTTATTTACATTGGTAATACAATTGTGCATTACCTATGGCCGAACGTAGAACGGGATCAAAGATTGAGTCTGGCTTTGATACTTATTGTAACGGGTGGGTGCTTGTCCATTTACCCAAAAGTTCAAGTTGTTGGGTAGTGCTGCATACCCACTCATTTATACCCAATCACATTCTCATCTAGATTTGATGTGGGACAAATGGCCCCTTGTAACACCTAGTTGGCAGAGCGTACAACTTTCTGAGTGGGTATGTCTATGTTCGAGTCCCCCTTAGTTTGCCCAAAAAAAAAAAATTCATAACACAATTACAAAAGTACTTTACTAAACTCGTTCCCACCCCGCCTAGTCCCATTTAATAAACTATTTTGGACGGAGATAGAGTAGCTGCTAAACGAGGATGAGAATTGAATTGGGAATGGGGTTGCTCCCGTTGCTATTCCTACTCACAAGTTATTGTCATTGTAGTTTGTGAAAAATGATCCTCTAAATAATTCCTCTGAATCCATGCATGTCAATGGCTTGAAGCTGTTGCTTTGCTGATGGCCTGACCTTTGTGACACTCTCGTTGTTACTCGTCTCACTTAGTGGTTTCCGTTGTTTTTCTCAACAAATTTGGAGCCTGGTTATCATTTTTCTTATTTTTGTTTCAGGATTTTTATGCCTTTTTATGGCCTGCCTTTGTTATATCTGTATTGTTCTTTATGAATGTATTGTATAGATGCCGTAAGGCTGTTCTTTTATTGCCAGGTAAAAAAAAAAAAATGGCTTGAAACAATGGAATTTGTAGCTACTTTAGAAGATGTGCCCCAAATCCTCTGTTTTGCATAAATTGACTAGGCAATTTAAAAATGAACCGCACGTTGCCCCATGTTGGAATTGAATATGTACAGCAAAGGATCTGGACTCGTATACCCTAGCTCATGCTGAAATTTTGACACTATAATAAATAATTGGACAAAAAGGTGTTTCATGTGTTCCACGATTAACTTGGAAGTGTACCGAGGATTATAGTGAGATAAATTTTTTTTTTATAAAGCGGCTAAGCAAATTATATATATATATATAATCAATAAATTTACATTGTGGCCGAAGTTGGGCAAATAGAAGCCCAACAAGCATGGATTCAGAAATGTTTCCACAGTTTTAGAAGTTCTCAAAAAAAAGACTATTCAGAAGTTCTCAAAAAAACATAGTTTTCACAAGCTCATAAATTATCAAAATATAATTTAAATAATAATAAAAATAAAAAATAGTAGTAGTAGTTATAAAAATTATTAAAATAACAAAAAGAAATTACTTAGTTGCAAGATATGTGAATCACTTTTAGAACCCTGCGAATTAACAATAATAATAATGACAATAATAATAATAATACCAGTAATGGTGGAAGTAATAATAATAAAAAATAAAAATGATAACAAAAATAAATTGCTTGATGGATCAATATACGTATAAATAATATCTGTTAGCTCATAGATTATTAAAATAATAATTAATTAATTAATAATTATTATTATTTAAACTAATAACAAAAATAAATTGGTTGATTAATTATTCAATCGATCTATATGCATACAAATAGTTTATGAAAGCTCATAAATTATCAAAAAATAGTTCAAATAATAATAAGATCTAATAGTAATAGTAGTATTAGTGGTGGTGGTGGTAGCAATAATAATAATAATTTAAAATAATAACAAAAATAAATTGTAAAAGTGAAAAAAAAAAATCCTATTATTATTATTATTATTAGGCAAAAGTGCAAAAAACCCCTAAACTATCATGAAAGTGAAAAATAACCCTTGACTATATGCAAATAGGGGTATAATAGTCATTCAAAAGGGTAACTTGGGCATTATTTGAGAATACATAGGCCCGTAAATCAACAAATTCTAAAAAATGTGGTCCGGTGACCGGGACGGACTTATTTGCAACATTTTGTATAGTTGAGATTTTGATTTGCATCCCGAAATAGTCTAGGGAATTATTTTTTACTTTTTTGATAATTCAATTTTATTATTTATTTATTTATTTTTTTGGCACTTTTGCCTATTATATATAACTAACTGCAAATTATAATTCACTGAAATTTAATATTGAATTAATTTGTTTTTACAATTTCAAGTTTAATGTGTCGATTTTGCTGCTTTCTAGCTTAATATCAATTCATTGCTTTTCTCTTCTAAATTTATATTTCACCCTTATAAATTCCTTTTCTTTAGGCTACGTTTGATTAGATATAAATTGACAATGATAAGTGAATTTAAAAGTAAAAAATAAAAGAAAGAGATATAAATTAAAAAATAATAATTTTTTTTTATCATGTATTTGTTTAGTACGAATTTTTTTTTTAAAGAAAAATAAGAGAAATTACTATTTTATGATTTTGATAACATATAAGAAAGAGTACTATTGTACGTTCATAAAACATTCTCAATAAATGTATCTTTTTGTAAGGAAATATTACCAAAAAAAAAAATTATGTAAAGTAATTTTTTCTAGGCATTTTTCTTTTTATGCTAATCAAACTCTTAAATTATTTAAAAAAAAAAAAATCATTTCCTTTCTTACTGTTTGAGTCTAACCAAACGGAGCCTTGTTTTTATATATGGCTGGGATTTGAAATACACCGAAATTGCGGTCTTTCGTTCGTCGCAGGTAACAAACGTCCCTAGATGAGGAGATATTTCTGTTATTTCCGCAAATCACAAGGGCATTTCGTGAAACCCTACCATATAAACCCCTCAAAACCCTCATTTCATTTCCTCACACACTAGCCCTTCTCTCTCTATCCACCACTGGTATTAGGGTTTTGCAGAGCGAAACCAAAGAAATGGCGACTCGTCTTTTCACTCGCTCCATACTCACCACCAAACAAACAATCACTTCGGTCCTCTCTCGCTCCTACGCCTCTCTTTCTCTATCCACACCCCCATCCTCTCTCTCTGCTTCCTATATCCTCCGCCTCCGTCCTCTCGTCGCCGCCTCCGCTAGCTTCCGCCATCTCTCACCGTTGTCAGCTACGATCCGAGGCTTCTCGACTCGTCAGACGACGTCCTCTCTCAACGATCAGAACCCTAACTGGTCGAATCGTCCCCCGAAGGAGACGATACTGCTCGATGGTTGCGATTTCGAGCACTGGCTTATTGTTATGGAGAAGCCTGAGGGTGACCCCACCAGAGACGACATCATTGATAGTTATATCAAAACCCTAGCTCAAGTTATCGGAAGGTTTGGATTTAGTGTCTTTTTTTTCCCATTGGTTTGGAATTTTGAAATTGATTATCAGGTTTTTCTTTGCCCGTGTGTGTTTTATAAAAATGAAAAAAGGATGGAAACTGTTGAATCTTATTTTTTGCGGTGTCGATCTTTTAAATGCTCTCTTTTGTTGCGGTAAAGTTCTAGGAAATGTGAAAATGTTATGTTAGGCTTTTGTATTTGCTTTGATGTTTCTTTATACGTTCTTTTACTGAGAGAAATGAGGATAAACAAGTCAACTATATTTTCCCCTGTTAATAACAAGTTAACAAGTATGTGTGGTTTTGTTATTCCGTTCAAGTTTTGATTTACGTTCCTCCGTGCTGGTGTTGGTGGTGTTCTTTTTTAGATGGATTTGTTCTGCATTGTTAGAAATCAGTGGTGCAGGAATGACATTATTTCAACAAAGTCTTGTTCTCAAAGATGCTAACTGATGTAAAATATATAATATATGTATCTGTAAATATTTACCTGCTCACATTTTATGTCAATATAGTGGAGTCCTGATGAGTAGTGTTATTTAGTAATTTATATAATAAAGAGAACCTTTCCCCTTTATTTCTGAGAGGGGCAAACCGACTACTTGCAGAATTATGTTGCTAGATATGCATGGATTAGTACTTATGTGACCTTAAGTTTACCTGTGTGTATATTTCTTCTGTGGATTCATATCTTTGTTGTGGCAAATTCGCCCCCCCCCCCCCCCCCCCCCCCCTCCCCCCCAAAAAAAAACCCACACATATTTTGTGCCTTTTTTTTTTTTTTTCTCAAAGTGTAACTTGGATACCCTTTTTAAATTTTTGGCTTCAAGTACTCTCTGTCCCTGTTGTATTTTGCAGCGAGGAAGAAGCAAGGATGAAAATCTACTCGGTTTCGACAAAACACTACTGGGCATTTGGGGCTCTTGTATCTGAAGAACTTTCATACAAGATCAAAGGTGCTTCATCTACTAGTGTTTGGTATATGCTGTTATAAACGGTATGGTTCTAACTATGTGCCACTTTCTTTTTTTAATTTTATTTTTTATGCAGAATTGCCAAGGGTCAGGTGGGTGCTTCCTGATTCTTACTTGGATGTGAAGAATAAAGACTATGGAGGTACAAAATTGCATACTCAACTTAGAGGCTTATGGATATCACATAAATCTAAACCTATTTTGTTGTGTTTTGTGTACTAACGAGAGTAATTTGTTTGATTCTTCTCATAATGTGTGAATTGTTTCTCTATATGAACTTTTCAAACAAAGAAACAACACTTTTTTTACATCTTTGTTGATGATTTTGTTGAATTACTTTGACTTTTCTTGATTATTTTATCTGGATGAATTTATTTATTCAAATGCTTTGGGAAGTAAAATGTACTGATTAATTAGGCTTCCTAATGAATTCATAATTTTTTTTTCATAGATCCTATTGCCTAGTATATTCTCCTAGACATGCTTGTATGTCTAGTTGGCCTTTAGTCAAGTGAGTATATATATATATATATATATTGTTCTTGTTGACTAAACTTGTTTAACTTTTTGCTGAAGATTCGTGCAGAGATACTTCAACTTCACATTTTGCTCCCAGATTTTGATGCTCTTATGTAGAGAGTATTTGTTGGTGCTTTTTTTTTTTTTTTTTTTTTTTCCCTTTTTTTATCTTTCTTCTACTTTTCCAACCAGGATTTAAATCAAAATCCAACCCTACCCTTAACTATATGGTATTTATTAAAAAAAACATAGCTGAAATGAAAATCCAAAACATCTTTGAGAATCATCCTTGAGGAGTGTCAGTCCAGTGGGAATGCATTGTGTGTTCTCTTCATGAAATCTTTCTTCTTTTTAGCCCAAATACTTGTAAAGCGAGGGTTTCGAGATTGTGAGCAGCTAAAATGGGGCATGTGACTATAAATGATGCGCCCCATGTTGATCAACGTTGCAAATGCTGGATTCTGGTTGCAAGTTGACAATACCAACAATGCTTGCGACTGAATAAAGTGATGCATAAGTCATGATAAAAATAGATTGTTGCATGAGCTCTGAAATGGGCTACTTTATTGTATTTTTTGGAAAGTGCTTTTAACCAATTTGCTGATTTTTTTGTGATTATGATAAATTTGGTCCTTGCCAATCTTTTTGTGGAACTTATGAAGTTTTTCTTCTGTAGCCATAGATTCTGTGTGATGATAGTGTTTCTTTGGATGTATATTCTTTCTAAAGCTCTGATTTTGTGGAACTTAAGGTTGGTGGGATGGTGGTGTTATGGAATTTGAAACTAAATTTAAAGCCATTTCATACTCTATATATTGCAAAAAAGGGGTTATTTTGAAAACGAGAGGAATTTAATTGTCAAACTAATAATAGATGATAATGATGATGATATGATGATAAAAGAAATGAGGAATTCGGATGAAAATTTGTCATATCACATTAGGGATACTTTGAAAATGAAAAATCACTGTCATATCACACGTCCTCAACAGGCTGTGCATGAGCTACAACTAGGGCAAAAACAAAAAAAAAATGTTAGTGTATAATTCTTGTCCTCTCTTGGTTTCCTAGATTTTTATCTAGGAAAAAGAAATGCATCTTGGTTGAAGTCATGTGCCATACAATATTTCATAATATACTTGCCTTGTTTTTCTGTCGGGTGGCCTTCGGTTCCCATCTGTTGGGTTTTTCATAATTAAATTGGCTATGATATTCTCTGTAGTCTGGTCAAGTAATGGACAGTCGCATCTGTTTTGCGCCTTGTGGAACTGGTATTCTGCAAGCTGATTTTTCTGTCAAGTGAGACTCAGTTTCCATCTGTTTTGGGTTCTTCATGGTTTCCATCTGTCGGGTTCTTCATATTTAAGTCTGATATGATATTCAAAATTGTTTGCCCAAGTAATGGACATTGGCATTTGCTTAAAATGTATCACTGATTTGTGTGGCATCCTTTGGACCTGTTAGTTCTCAATCTGTTTTTCATTACTAGTTTGTCATCGGTGTCAAAGCATGCTCGACTGTTTGTTAATCTGTTTTGTTTTGCATGCTACAGGTGAACCTTTTATTAATGGGCAGGCTGTACCATATGACCCCAAGTACCATGAAGAGTGGGTGAGAAACAACACTCGGGCAAATGAAAGAAATAGGCGCAATGACAGACCTCGTAACTTTGATCGGTCAAGGAACTTCGAAAGAAGAAGAGATAATATGCAGAATCGGGGACCCAATATGGGAGGAGGGCCACCTGGTAACATGGGAGGCGCCCCCAATGCAGGAGGAGGGCCACCTGGTAACATGGGAGGAGTGCCACCAAATAACACGGGAGGAGGCGGCCCCAATATGCAACCCAATTACCAAGGAGGCGGCCCCAATATGCAACCCAATTACCAAGGAGGTGGCCCCAATAGGGGAGGAATGCCACCCAATTACCAAGGAGGTGGCCCCAATATGGGAGGAATGCCACCCAGTAACATGGGAGGAGCACCAAACATGGGAGGGCAGGGCAATAACATGGGAGGGCCACCCAACTGGGGTGGAATGCATCACAACAACACAGGTGGAGCGCCCAATAATGCACCAAATTACCAATACAACAATGGACCTGGCAATGAAGGCATGCCTTACCAAAGCAGGGAAATGCCTGGTCCTGGGCCAAACAGGGATTACCAGAATAGTTATGCTCCAAACATGGCTGGTGAAAACCCTCAACAGACTCAGAACATGCCCGGAAGAGATATGCCTCCACCACCAAACTATCGCTAGGACCACTGTTTGCTAAGGATGAAATTTCGTCTAGGACCACTGTTTGCTTAGGATGAAATTTCGTAATTCTAGGACTTATAAGTATTCGCTAATGACTTTCATAGTATGAATGTTCTTTTGGTTTGATTGACGGTTAAGAATTGTTGGATGTGCATATGAGCTGGCTTATGATTTTAATGTGGTAACTGTTTAAGTTACAGTGTCTTGCTTGTGGTTTGTATAAATAAATTTGCTATGCATGTTTATTAGTCTTTGTAATTAGATGAGTTTTTTACAGGTTTTATGGAGCCACGAGTTTGCTATTCATATGGTTTATGATTCTTACCATGAAACAGCGCTGAGATCTGATCTGATTTTTTACTATATGGTGCTTTCCCTTGTTTTCATATGGTTTATGATTCCTACCGTGAAACAGCGCTGAGATCTGATCTGATTTTTTACCATATGGTGCTATCCTTTGTTTTCAATGGTGTTATGATGAGATGTCTTGACTTCTGATTTTAGAAGTGAGACAAATATGATTCGCAAGAGGTGTATTGGGTAGGATGATTGTGCCTTTCCGTGGCCTCTTATCGAGGTGCGGTGAAGAAGTCTAGAGCAGTCATGTGGAGAGGTAGAATTACATTCATTTCTACTCTTCTTCCTCGTTATTTAAGGACTAAAGTAGAATTACATGCTTTTTACTGATCTTCCTCTGTTATTTAAGGACTTGCGCAGGAGTGTGTTTCATTTGATGACCAGAGGTGATATCCTGTGAATGATTTTGAAGAACAATGCTTGCCTTAGACCGTATAAGAAGGAACTTCTTTCTTATATTGAGGTGGTCTAATAAAACTTCAATATTTGTTAAAAATTTTAAGACAAAACAAAAGAATGATTACAGATAATAAAAATCCATTCCCTTATTCTCTCACATCAACTCTCCTTGGGTTTAGAAAAAGAAAGGAAGTCTATATATGTATGTATATATATATTTTTTCTGTGTGTTGAATCTTCTCTTAAATTAAGATTATTATTTAAAATAGTGAGATCAAATTTAAAGACTTCTTGCCATCAAACTTAAAGGACCAATGTACCATTGGGACCCTGATCTGATTAACCCATTCCTCTCGGATACACGAAAGAACTGGACAATTCTTCTCTCCAAAATTCCACCTCATCACTTCCCGACCGCCACGGCCCCCTCTTCGAGATCCTTTTGCAATTAATTTGCCCCAATTTTGCTTTCAAATGACTTTGTATTTTGAAATGGGTCTGATGTATACATGTATATATATCAACCGGCAATTGGTGGGTTAAATTTGATCTCACTATTTTAAACAATGATCTTAATTTAAGAAAAGATTCAATACACAGAAAAAATATAGAAGAGGGACACTTCTTTTCTTATCTATTAGGAGAGTTGGGGTGAGAGAGAGGGGATGGGTTTTTATTATCTGCAGTCATTCTTTTTTTTTTGTCTCAAAATTTTTAACACATTTTGAAATTTTATTAGGCCGCCTCAATATAAAAAGGAAGTTCCTTCCTATGCGGCCTAAGGCAAGCATTATTCGATTTTGAATGATGAAAATCATTTTTGGACAAGGCTTTGTTCAGATCTATATTAGCCTGTTCATAAACGTAAATAATATTGGCGAGCCACGTTGGTAGTTGTATTTACCTTGACAAGTTGGTTTTGAGGTGTTTTGGAACTTTGTACGTAATTTTGATATCGGGATCTGATTAGGAGTGAGGGCTTCATGTTGAGATTGTGAGAGGTAACAAAAGTATAATATGAGATTGTCGAGTTTAATTAATACTTGTGAAGGATAATTTTGTAATTTAATGTTTTTATAATGGCTCCACTTGTTTTCTCTTGTGTCTTGTTTTCTCGTGTATTGCACGGATGAAAATTTGTGAAGAAAGAGGTATTAACCCTCGTTGACAAATAATCATCAAGGAGTTACGCAAGTAACATCTCCAACTCAAGCAAGTGTTTTAAAAATTATAATTGTCAAAATTAAGGTGATCAGAGGGCACCCTTAAACGTTATGGAGTGAAAATCGTGACAATCTCTTTCACAAGATGCTCAAAATCAGAGTAACGGGTGTGTGTCACACTGAAAGGAGGGTATTATATTTTAAAGAAACATGACATAGTTCTCCACGTTGTCTTTAAGAAGATTGATAAGTTGTGCATTGATTTTTAAACGAAGTGTTCTTTACATTCCAAGTGGTCAATGTGTCATAACCATACATCTCTACAACCAGAAGAGGTAACCCGAACTTAGGGACAAAAGGATAAGTAGAGAAAATCTTATGAATTTGAGAAATCAAAGTACAGATGCTTTGTTTGAATACATGCGAGAAAAAAAATGAAAAATTGGAATCTTTTAACAAAGCACGAATCTGATGGCTCAAGTGAAGGCTTCAAAATTTCTTCCTTTTTTACTGAAAATAATATACAATCAAAGGAAGTGTAATGCTGATGGCGAGAAGCAAAAAATCACAGTTAGATAGGAATGCCCACCTTGCCTCTATTTCATCTTATATTTCCTGTTGCAGCAAATGGCAAGAATCTATGGTCGCTCTATTATCTCTCACTGGCAGAGCTTCCCTAGCCACGAATTCAGCTCTTCTATTCTTAGCAGCACGAATCTGATCTGCGAGTGAAACTTCTTGCTGTTTTTGTTCTCTATCTATAAACTCCAAATCGAATTTCTCCCAAGCTCGGTGATATTGACTGGTTACTTCACCATTTACGGATTTCTTTTTGTGAATCTGTTGACAACCAAAAATAATAATATTCAGCGAAACAGTAGAACACAACAAAATTACTGAAGATGCAAGATTTATGTGCATGTATAAATCACAATTATGTGCCAAAGCCAATGCCACCAATCCATGAAACGATATATACAGTGCAAAATTTCATGGCTAATTAGTCCACAATGGAAAAGGGGGAAAAAAAAGAAGATCACTTTTCTCTAAAAGAAAGAAATCTTATACAGAGCATCTCCTGTTGAAACCAGTCAATCAATAATTTCTGATTTTTCAGCATCATTCTATTCTTTTGATATTTTAATAAATCTACACATCATAAACAGTTCAGCATTAAAGGCTGATCCTGTCTCCTACTTTATCTTTTAAGCGAAAAGAAAGCACCCACCAAAGAAGTTGGTTACTTGTGGTCTGTGCTGTAGCACAAATTCAATAGTTCATGCGATGTTATATATTAGTTGCAATTCTATGAGCTTTTTACCTTTGTTAATCTCGCCTTGAGTTTTAACTCCTGGGAAACAGCAAACTCCTCTTTTTCTTCCTTTGATTTTTTATGCGTCTTTCTTTTTATTTCTTCTCTTACTTTTTCCTTCTGTTCCTGCTCCTTTTTCTTCTGAGCAAGCCTTGCCATCTTTTCAGCTTTTGCTTGTGCTGATCTCACTGCTCGAATCTTTGCCATTTCCTTTGCCTTCACCTTTTCTGCAGCCCACTGAAGCTGTTGGAGAGCTATCTCTTTTTTTATCTTGTCATAGCTGTCCCAATCTAGTTCTTGTTGGTCAACCCCACCTTTCTTAGCAGCCTCTGCAATATTTTCAGCCCATGATAGCAAGAATTTCTCTCTTGACCTTTTCCATTTCAAACGCCCTCCCCATAGCCGTCGGAGTGATGAGCGTATTCTTGCCACTGTTCTCTTGCTACAACAGAGAATCATGCATCAATTGCCAACCTTTAATCATAGTAAAACTTAAAAATCATGTTAATGTTGCCTCCAGTGAGTGAACCAGTCGTGCTATTCTGAAGAAAAATACAGTATAAGATTGAACGATTCAAAAGGTGATCTCGACATTTTTTTAAGGTAAACTATCCTCACCTCCCATGAGATTTGTGGTAGTCACCCTCGGATGAAAGTTAGAGTTGGAAACAGTAACGACCCAAGACAGTATTTTTTTTTTACTATATTACTTCCGCTGTCACTACTCATTTTTAACTTTATTGCTGATGTAAGCATAATAGGACAAATTTACCTAATTACCTCTCCACCACGATTAGCATTGCCGCTATTGCTGTCCCCACACAGTTTCTTCTCTCCACCACCACGGACACTACCGCCGGTGCCCGCACTCCTTTATTCTCTCCATTTTCTCTCCACGGCGTGTTTCTCTCTCTAGACCCCACCCACTTTTTTCTCTTTCTTCTCTTATCACCAGAACCACTCGCTTCGCCACTACCAATTCATCCCCACAGCACATTTCACAATCCCCTTTCAGCAGTTGCCCATACAACGAGGAGATGGGATATGGTGTTGAAGAATCGAATGCAAGGCTTCCATAATTGCTTATTATTGTTCTTTGAAGTCAAATGATAACCCTCTGGCAGATTTTCAAGGCACCATCTAATTGCTCATTTCTGGGATGGAGTGGTCTGGAATGTAGCCAATAATTTGCTTGGAAGCTTTTTATGCTTCAATGTTGATCTAGACTCGAGACTGGGGAAGCTCTCTGTTTATATTTTTTCATATATGTATGTATGATCCATAATAGATATATATAATGTGAGAATGAATTATATTTATATATACACCTCGTAAAATTTACAATTATAAATACATATAGTTATTTATTTACAAATCTTGTAAATTTTAACGTTTGCAAAATGAGTAAAGGTTGACTGGGCATCAACGTCACTGCAGCTAAATTCTTAATGGTTCTATTTTTTCTTCTAAATTCTTCATCTTGTTGGTAGCCACTAGCTGGAAATGCCGGTGTTGGTAGGATGGCTAAGACAGTTTCTAATGGGGGTCTAGAGGTGGTATTGATAACTTAAGAGAGAGATGCAGATAAAAGGAAGAGAATTGTAAAGAAGAGTTCCAGAGACAGAATCAAGAGAGAACCTAGGAGAGAGAAACACAGACCAAGAGAAGAGAATTGCAAAGGCAAGAGAGACCCCTAGAGAGTGCAAGAAAGCTTCAGAGAGAGGTTAGAGAGGAAAAGGGCACCTTCTTTGCTCCGACAATCTCAAATTCTAAAATTCCTCTATATCATCGAATATAGATGGATACATGATACCCAGAACCAGAATGTCGTAGAAAAATGGTGAATCGTGGTCTGACTAAAGCATTGAACAGTGGTGTTGCTGGATAACTGTGATGCCCATAGCTATGATGCCGAGCATCATCATTCTCCTTTTCTCTCTTTCATCTCCTTCACTGTCTCTCTCATCCGGAAAGCAGATAACCTAAATTGCCCATTTCTTCTTCTTGACGAGAGAGGAGAAAGGGGATGGTGGCGGAGGAAGGAGAAAGAACCAAGAGAGGAGAAAGGGGATGGTGGTGTAAATGCATATATTTATTCTGCAGGAAATGGGCAATTAGGAAATTTCTTTTGAACTATGTGTGTGTGTGAGTGTATAATATGTAATATGTATATCAGATTAGATATTTAATGGAATAAATGAATGAAACCACTGATATAAATAAATATATATATATATATATATTCCCACATATTTTTTTAAGGGAATAAATTGTTGAATATTAAACATAGGGTTAAATTCATAAGTTTAGAATGGTAAGCAGAAAAAAAAGAAGTAACATCCATTGGTTAAGGGGTATTTTAAAAATTGTTTAATGACAATAAAGGTTCTCTAATGGAGTGGAGTTGACTGTGATTTCATCAAATCTCATAGGAGGTTGATCTAACTTTTTTCAAAACTTATAATGATTACCCAAAAGTCACTCTTCTTGTATATTTAAGCTAACTAGCTAAGGGCAAATCTTGGAACCAACTTTAATGCTCCGTTTGGTTGGAGGGATTGAAAGGAGACGGGTAATGATGGATGAGGCATCCCGGGAAGCGAAGAAGTCTCCTCACTTTTTGTTTGGTTGAATGGATAGGATAATTGAAATGATGGATGGAGTAACACATTTTTTTTGTTTCATAGGTAGGAAGGGAAGGAGACTTTTATATAGTTTTTACCAATATACCCTCATTATGTAAACTTATAAAAAGTAAATATCCATTCTGAATTTCAATAGGATTTAACAATTGATTTAATAAATAATTGAAGGTTAAAATTGGTATTATATATTTGTAGGGTAGTTTTTCTTTCTTCCCTCCTTTCTTCCGCCCAATTTTGGACGAATAAAATAACATGGGCTAGGAGGGATGCTTCCTCTCTCTCTCCCCTTCCTTCCAACCAAACAAGGAAAGCTTCTTCTATCCCTCCTCTCTTCCATCCTTCCTTCCAACCAAACATAGCATAAGGAAGGTTCTACTGACCACGGGAGCTCGATATGGAAGTTGCTTTTGTGATCATGAGACCAATATATACTCTAAAGTCCGCATAGAGATTACTTTAGAAATAGTTAAAAGGTATATACCATGGAATAGAAGAAATATCCAAGAAACAACTCCCAGGCATCTTCTATTATGACTATATAAAATTAATATATTTGCTTTTCATGATGGAAATTTTAATGAAACTTGTGCTAGCTTCAGATTTTTTTCTTTTCCCTATTTCATGCAAGTGAATAAGTTCCCTAATGATGTGATATGCCATAATCAGTATTTGGTGATCAATATAGACCATTACTTTACATCAATCTTCCATGAAGTTGTAACCAATGACAGTGTGTTACTGTATTAAGTTCAATATGACCTATGCTTTGGAGTGGCTACTGTTCATTCAGTGGCAAAAAGTTTGAATCCTTGGTACAACCTATAATTTACTTAAGAGTAACTTCCATGAATATATGTCACTTCATGCAGAAAATGAATAATGAGGTAAAGTCAGAAAGTGAAGCCTCGATGTTAACTCATTTAGCATATAACCCTAACCTGTTCTTTAAGCAGCCTCCACATTGTGCAGAAAATGTGTGTCACCTATCCTATTCAGGTAATTGGTATTGCAGAAATTAATTACTTTTTGATGAATAATGAAGTCGAAGAATACCTATGAGCGCGGGGACATTCAGACATCTTCTTTCTAACCTGAAAGATTATAAGTGGAAAAAGTATTTAGATTAAAAAGAAGAAAATAATACTGACAAAGAATAATGATGCTAATATGTTATGTACTACTACTACCAATAATCAAATATGGAAGATGAATGTGAATGACAACTAGAAAAAGGCTTTGCTTTTGTTTCTCCCATGACAATAACAACATAAGCAAGCTCAAATTAGTAATGGGTCGAGAGACATTTAATGTGACAATGTACAAGGTGCAAAAATTTGCAAAAAAACAATAATGAAATGTATACGAGCTTTTAGCCTATTTTTTCAGAAATAAATGTGTCAAAAAGGAGAGCGGCGGGGGGGGGGGGGGGGGGGGGGGGGGGGGGGGGGGTGGGGGGGTTGCGGTTGGGATGGAAATCCTAAAATCCGATTGATTCTTACATGACTTCACCTTAGGGTCTCTCAAGGCTTCTTTTGTTCTCTGTCTGATTCGCTCACGAGTCTCTGCAAATATAATATGGTGAATTCAGAATTAACCAATCCTATTCATACCCTACTTCAAATACAGGATTAATATATTAAACAAAATTACCTGCACTATGTTTCCGGCCTTTGTTCCATGGCATTCTCCCTTTGTTTGCTAGTCCAATTTTTCTTCTTCTTTCACTTTCTTTGTAATCCTTGTCACTATAACTCTCTGCATAAATTGAATAATTATCTAATTGAATGCCCTCACTCTTGTTTTGCTCCTCGGGTGAATCACCACTAACTTCTTGTTCACAACATTCCCCATCATCATATTTCTCTCCTGTACTGATGCTGGTATGCAATGCTAAAAAAGAGCTTGATACTGTGAAGGAACTAATTAAGCCAAATGGTGGAGACATGTTCTTCACAACAGATACACGATAATTCAATTGCATTGTGTTCAGTTGAAATTGTGTCCGTTCCACCGCATAATCAAAAGGTGGCGATAAAAGGGTGTTGGGCATGCGATTGATAGGCAAATAAGTAACAGACAACCTCCTGATAAAAATTGAAATGTTTGAATTAGAATAACCGTTTATCATAAACAAGGAACTATCTTGATGAAGTCCGTTAAAGCATTCATCCATTTAATCTGTCCATGTGTATGGCACATGCTTATCAATACAGTGTTTCTGTCACCACTACAAAACATTTTTGATAGCAATCATAAATTAAACATTATGCAGACATGCCAACTCTACTGAATGAATGCCAATCAAATTTCCATTGTTTCACTCATCAAATGTGGACTTACTTAGCAATCTAAGTACAATTCATACATCAGTAAACCAACAAAAAACAGACAAAAATAATAATAATACTAATAATAACAATAATTAAAATTAAAATTAAACAGTAAATATCCAATACTGGGATCAGATTAAAAATCCTATTCACTTTGAAGACGTCCAAAATAAGTGATAAATAAAGGATGCTTCAAAATTCAAAGAAATGGTCAATTATGGTGCTAATCACAATATGGGTTCTCTCAAAAAGTGGGCTTAAACCGTCCTGCATTGTATCCGAGCTATGAATGCATACATTTCTCATCACACAATAGCAAGCAATGGACCAAATTAGCAAGTCCAAACAATTAAATCGAAATTTCAGTTGTATGACTATTTAAAATTTCAATTACGAAACAAGACCCAAATCCAAACTCACCCAGGAGAAGCAATTTTATACATATACATGTATAATTACGTGAGTTTGTGTAAAATATATATACACATATAGAGAGAGAGAGCTTACAGATGAGAAAATGGCATTGTACAGAAGGTGAAAAATGGTAGTAGAGTTTGCATGTAAACATTGAAGGGGAAGAAACAGAGGTTTCGACACCTACTTCTCTTGTGGGTAATGCGAGATGAATTGGGGGTGGGACTTCTTATGCACCAGACGTTAGTGATGGCGTGTGGGAACGTGAACTCACGCGCCCCTTTTTGGGCGTGATGATGTGTACTACTTTTTTGCGTTATTTTTTTAGGGTTATGTATCACTATTATTTTATTTTGAAAAATGTAAACATTATTATTTTGAGGGTGTAACTATGTTATTTTGGATAATTTTAGAGTTGATGTTTCTTAGGCTTTATGTTTTTTGTCTATATCAAAATAATTGTTTTGTTTTAGAAATATTTTGGGTAAAAATAAAAACTATATTTGGAAACGAATAGTTGTTTTGAAAAATTCAAAAAATTTTAATTAATTTCATCAATTTGGTGATATAAGTTTTGGCAAAAAAAAATTAATACGTTATGAACTATTCTAAATCAATATCAGTATTTTCTTAAGTCACGTAATTTTTCTCAACGGATATCGCTCTCACACTCCAAAAGCGTTTTTGCTCTCAGACTTTACGCGCGCTCAGGCTCAAATTCTTGCTATTTATGACTTAATTCTGCGGCTCTCACGCTCCTGAATTTGCTCTCACTCAAAGCGTTTTTGCTCTCAGACTTCACGCGCGCTCAGGCTCAAATTCTTGTTATTTATGACTTAATTCTGCGGCTCTCACGCTCCTGAATTTGCTCTCACTCTCGCTTTCATATTATGCGATTGAGGTCTTTCCAAATAGGACATGTGCTTAAATTTGGATGTTAATATCAGAAAAATAATATCATAAAACTTTTCAAACATGTCTTTAGAACAATGCTATAAATGAACTGATTTGTTTTCTGACTGTTCAAACTCAACTCAATTGGGATTTGTCCTACCTTTCTTTGTTTAATAAAATATCAAATCGAGCTTCAAGAAATTTTTTATTTTCGTTTATGAGATTAGTCAAGCTCAAACGTCTCTATTCAAGCTTGTGTTAGGAACACAAAGAAAAAGAATCCATTGTAAGACTTGTATTTGAACTCGCGAAATAATATACTAAATTTATAAATTTATGAAATATAAACTTAATTCGTGTCCATCTGCCTTTTCCAATCCAAGCCCATTCCATAAACCAGGTGCTTGAATGATCATGAAAGTCCAGGACAAAGTGACCATATTGCAAACCAAGTGTAATAACTTAATCATTGAGAAATTCAAGATAGTGCTAGTTTGTCACTTAAAAAATAATATTTAATAACTAAGAAGTAGAGGAAGTGCTTAGTTTGTCATTCAAAAAATAATTTTTAAAAATTTAGAAAACATAAAATTATTTTCAAACATGTTTTTGTTTTTGTTTTTCTGCTGAGTAGAAAAACAGTTCTCATCCAAATAGATTGTTGTATGGTTGTTAGGATGAAATTTCTTTTTTCTGTTTAAAAGGAAAAAAAAAAAAAAAATTTATTTTTTCTATTTTGGGCTCTTAATTTAAAGGGTAAAGTACAACCACATCCCTTGACGTTTGGCAAAAAGATACTCAGGAAAAAACTTATCTGTTTTTTTGGACAAAGACACCCCCTTTATATGAGAATTGACCAAATTACCTTTTGACAGTTTAAGAGACTTTTTTAACTTTCTAATTTAATAAATTGGACCAATTTACCTTCATGAACAATTTATGCATAAAAATAAAACTTTATATTGTTTACATTTTATTTATTTACTTTATAAATGTCCCAACTTCTAAAAAATATAGACGTCTAAAATAATTTTTTGATTCAATACATATATTTCAAATAGATTATATTTTGTTATTACTTCTTTTATTTTTCTTTTTTATTTTTAAATTAAGATGCTTAATTCTTAAAAAAAAAAAAAAACAAAGACATACATACAGTTAAGATAAAGTTATACTGGTACCATATTTTTTATTTTTAAGGAAAAAAGATTGGTTTAATTTTTTTTTAGATAAAAGAATTAAGCATCTTAATTTAAAAATAAAAAAGAAAATGAAAAAGAAAAAAAGTAATAACAAAATATAATTTATTTGAAATATATGTATCAAAAAATTATTTTAGACGTCTACATTTTTTAGAAGTTGGAACATTTATAAAGTAAATAACAAAAAAAAAAAAAAATAGTGAACAATATAAAGTTTTTTTTATGCATAAATTGTTTATGAGGGTAGATTGGTCAAACTTATTAAATTGTAAAGTTAAAAAAATTTCCTAAACAGTCAAAGGGTAATTTGATCAATTTTATATGTAAAAAAATGTCTTTATTAATTTTTAAATCTTCAAAAGGTATTTTTATTCAAGAAAAAAAAAAAAAAAAACTAAATTTTTTCTGAATATTTTTTTACCAAACCTGAAAGAGTGTAACTATACTCTAATTTAAAAATCGTTGCTGGACCTTGAAATATAGATCTATCCACACTATAGCGAGCACCAATCATATACACACACGATACTCTCCGGCTCGGGCATCTCTTCTCACTTGTCGACATCCAACTGGTAGTGGTAGCTATATATGCTCCCTCCTAGGGTTAGGGTTTTCTCAGTTCAGTCTTTGCAATCCTTGCTAACTCCCAATCTCCAATCTACAATGGACCCAATCAAGAAGCGAAAGATGGAAGAGAACGGCGTCGTTCTACCAGGCTCTGACTCCGGACCGATCAATCTCACGCTAGAGGATGCTCAGAAGATCATCGAGCCCTTCACTCGCGAACAGCTCCTCGAGATCGTCAAACACGCCTCTGTTCGACATCACGACGTCCTCGACGCCGTCCGATCCATCGCCAACCAAGACCCCGCTCAGCGCAAACTTTTCATCCGGGGTCTCGGATGGGACACCACAACCGAAAAGCTTCGCGCTCTCTTTGGCTCCTACGGCGATCTCGAAGAAGCCATCGTGATCCTCGATAAAGCCACCGGGAAAAGCAAAGGTTACGGCTTTGTCACGTTCAGGCACGTTGATGGGGCTTTACTAGCTTTGAAGGAGCCGAGCAAGAAAATTGATGGTCGGATGACGGTGACGCAGCTCGCCGCAGCGGGGATTACCCCCACGCCGAACCCGCAGCCTGTGGAGGACGTCTTGATGAGGAAGATTTATGTTGCGAATGTACCACAAGATATGCCGGGGGATAGGTTGTTGGCGCACTTTTTGTCGTACGGGGAGATTGAAGAAGGGCCTTTGGGGTTCGATAAGGCGACGGGGAAGTCGAAGGGTTATGCTTTGTTTGTGTACAAAACAGTGGAGGCGGCCAGGGCTTCTTTAGTTGATCCAATCAAGATGATTGATGGGCACAATTTGACTTGTAAGTTGGCCGATGGGAAGAAAGGAAAGCCCGGTGTGCCGGGGGTGCTAGGAGCTGGAGGAGTTCACGGATCAACTGCAGTTCCAGGAGAGGGTCATGGTGATGGAGTGGGGTTGCATGTGCCATCATCTATTCCGGGGTCGATACCGTCACACTATGGTGGTCCTGGTGGGCCAGGACTAGGAGGTATTTCTTCCTATTCTGGATATTCAGGTGGACTACAGGGGCCACCACCCCAGGGACATCATCATCTGAATTCATCTCTTGGTGGCGCTGTGGGATTGTCCTCCGTAGGTGGTGGTCCTGGGTTGTCCACTGTTGGTAGTCAAGCACCGTCTTCTTTGGCAGTTAGTGGTGGTTATGGCTCTGGATTAGGTGGTTCTTATGGTGTTTCGAGCTATGGTGGTCCCGGTTCAACTGGGTATGGTGGTCCCGGTTCAACTGGGTATGGCGGTCCGGGTTCAACTGGGTATGGCGGTCCTGGTTCAACTGGGTATGGCGGATTGGGTGGCGCTGGTGGTCATGTTTCATCATTTTATGGGTTGCCAGCAAGCTCAGTTGGGATGCCTACAGGAGGTTATCCTGAGAGTGCACACTACAGTTTGTCCTCGTCTGGGTATCAAAGCCATCACCATCAGCCAACAGGGGCATCGCCTGTGCCTAGAGTTCCGCACGGAGGAATGCTGAAGGGCATACCACCTTACTACTGAGGTATTTTTACTTATAATTCCATTATATTTTAATTAATCGTTTTTGCCTTGGATGCCTAGTTCAATTTGCTATGTTGTATAGTTGGTTTTCTCTTAATGTGGAACTGATAACAATCAGTTCCATGCATTCTTAGATGGTTATGAAGATAGAGTGGTTGATGCTGGCTATTCTGTTTCTCTTTTTGTGGACCTCTTTTGTTGTTTCTTTGAGATTGTGTATGATCCTAGTTGATTTGTGCATTTTGTGGTTGTTTTTTCTTGACATTATTGTTGTTTTGTGTTGTGTGCTTTTTGAGTGACTAGCATTGTGAGTGTTACTGTTTTGTTTACATTTGATTTAGAAAGTAATATCTGATACCCTGTTCTGGTGACTATTTTGTCATGGCCTGTTGCTTCTATGTTTACAGTCTAAAGATCATCATATCCTTAATAATTCTGTTAGCATAATCTGGTAAACTATATTAGCTGTTATTCTATAACTGCAAGACGATATTCATTCATTTATTCTATTTGTTGTGATGATGCAGCGTTTGTCGTTTTGAATGTTAAGTTTTTCATGAATAAATGCAGCTGCTTGTGCAAAATTTCAAGTGTGTTTTTGACATATGTCTGACCAGGATCATATTATTGATATATATATGGTGCTTATATTTGATGACATGTTTGAATTGGCCAAACAAGATACATGACTCGGTATATATTCAATCTTAGGTATATGAGCATGGGAATTTTGGTCTGGCTTAGGTTTAATTTGGACCTGGTTGTGTTAGTTAGTGGGGTTAACTGAAACATGCCTACAATATACCAAGTCAGATGCCAAGTAAAATCTCCCTATTGAATTATCTACTTCAACATATCAATTATTTGAAAACAGAGTAGTCTTCTTTCTTTTTGTGTTCCTTTGGTGGCCGTGATCTCTTGTCATTCAGCAATCGGTGCAACAAGATTATTCTGGAAATGAGGTCCTCATTGTTACTGTCTTCCAAATAAGATTGAATGAAATTTTCAATTGTTGTTCAGAGATCTATAACTTCAAAGTGGATGACACAAAACTATCAAATTTATTTATTTATTTTTTACATGTATATTCTTTTAAGAAAATGTTTGTATGCTTAGAATGACTAAATATTTTGTGGTAAACAATTGGTGCATATATGTAGTTAGGGAGTCTGATTAGGTAGGGGTTGGGGACTCAATTTAACCTCAGTTGAATACATATGATATGACTTGGATATGACTTTTAGGAAAGTGTTTGGATGCTTAGAGTGATTAAAGATTTAGTGGTAAGTTGGTAACCAATTGGTGCATGTGCTTAACAAGGGGGTGTAATTAAGTAGGGGTTGGGGAGTAAATTTGTCCTTGATTGAATATTGGTTGGATCCACGTAAAATTTAACTGATCATAGTCTGATTTTGCTCCTTGGACACCATGGCGGTGCAATCCCCTCCTGTAGAAGATTTGTTTCCTTCTAAACTACATCATGTGAAGGTCTTGAACTTGTAGTTGGTCATAATCCTGATATTTTGAACCTATAATTTTTTCCATTGCAACTCTGAAATGGTTAAATGGTTAAGACATTCAATATTATGCAGGCGTAAGTTGCACTAGTCTTCTAACATGATGTTTGATGTGTAGCTTTTGGAGGATCATGGTGGGTAATACCACAATGGCTAATTTTATGGAGGTCATAAAGGTTGGGTTAGATAGTGTAGTCAAGGATTGCGACATGGAGAGTGTGCTTTCTTTGCATTGCTGCATGAGGTTTGACATGGTGGGTAAGGAAGCCATGGTGGCTAATGCTTTGGAGTGGTAAAGAGTGGGTTATATAGTGAACTGCAACATGGAGGGATTGTTTTGCTTTGCATTGTTACGTGAGGTTAAGGATATTTTGAGCTGGCAGGTCTCCAAGAAAATTTCAAGGTTAGTTCCTATAGCCAGATTCTCTTATTTTACTAAGCCCTAGTTTGGTTGGGGAGAAATGGAAGGAAAAGAAAAGAAAAGAAAGTTAATGGAGGGAAATGGTATATTGTGTATGGTATAAATTTTTAAAAGAAAAGAAAGGAAATGGAGGGATACAAATTAGGCATTATGAGTAGGTTTTTTTTATCCTCCCAAAAATTGGAGGAAATGGAAGGAAAGGGTTACAAAGCCTAATGAAACTTTTTTAATACCAAATTTACTCTTATTCTGTAAAAGATAAAATCAAAATATCATGAGTCCTAGCTTCCTAGGGCATGCTTTTACTCTCTTTAACCTTTTCTTTGTTTCCAAATTATCACTTTTGCTTGAATGATGTTTAGCACAATCTTTATATTTGTCTTACCAATTCTTATATATATATTCGTCTTTTAAATGTGGAAGGGTATAGTGATAAATTGTTTAAGGTAGTTTCCTTTCCTTTCTTTTCCCAAACATGAGTAAGTGCTAAGACTTGCCATTTCCTTTCTTGTCCCTCATTAATCCACCTAACACGATAATAGGTTAACAAGATCCTTAATTTCTTTTCTCTTATAACTAATGTTATTATTTATTTTCTTTTCCCTCTTGTTGTATTGAACATAGCATAAGTCTGGTTGGGATGTTTTTTGGCAGACTCAAGCCTCCTTTGACACACACACACACACACACACACACATATCATCCTTGCCTTTATCCCATATGGATGGGGTCGCCCACATGAAATCTCTGTTTCCAATATTCCTATTATACATCATGTCTTCTCTTTGATTTAATTTTTTAAAATCGTGTTTAATTATTTCCTCTCACGTAAGGTTTGGTCGGCCTCTTTGTTACTGGGCAAACAGATCTGACTCAGGGTCTACAATGAATATGGACATACTGCCCAAGTCCACTTTTCCTAATTTTATCATTTATGGGTGCTATACCTAATGTATACCCTTCACACTTTCATTATTCATCTTATTTATTATAGTTACTTCTATAATCCAATGCATCATTCTAATTTCTGCTACTTGGAAGTCTGCTCCATACCATTTGATATATATTCTGCTCTTGTAGTCTCTGCAAGTAGTTGAGGAGCTCCCTATGGCATTTCTTTATGAACTATTCTCTTAGTTTTAAATAAAAACAGTGTGATTGTGTGGTGGAATAACTTGAAGAAAAAGAGAACAGGATGACTTCTTTTGTTTGTGAATGCACGTGATGGTTCCTTTGGAGGAGCTGAATTCTTGCGTGGTTTTGTGACTGGAGCGAAGCTGTTTTGAGTCAAATAGTTATTAATCTTCAGGCATGAGTCCTGCTGTTCAGTTGGTTTATGTTTTTGGCACCATTCTTTATTGACATGGCATTTCCAACCCATTTTTCATTACCAGCAATGATATTAAGGTTTTGTGCGCATGCATTGGTGTGTATTTTTCAAGATTGCGTTCCATACACATTAGGAATTCTCTTATTGTACTGTGTTGCCGTGTTCTGCAGATTGGACTCTTAAGCATTACCTTGTGGTAGTACCTTTTTTTTTTTTTTTTTTTTTTTTTTTTTTTTTTTTTTTTCAGTTTGTTTGTTATGTAAGCCATTGTAAATAGATGCAAGTCACTTCTATTTCATCTGTTTTGATTCCTCTATCGGCATTCTAATTTGATCGTTGGGTTTTTTTTCTTTTTCAATATGCAATATTGATGCCTCATACAATCCTTATGCAACGTAACTTCTGCTGATGTTCTTTCTATATGTTATGACATTGATGCTCTGAACAAATTTTGTTTCAATATTGAACTGTATGTTGTACACCTTAATGTTCTTTTACAGGGCAGAATATGTCTTCCGTCATGTGTTAGGTGGGTCTGTTGACCTTTAATATAAATTCTCTCTTTTTATTTAAATTTTAATTTGGTTTATGAAGTGTGAACTTTACGTGGTTCTGTCACCTTTTAACATGTAAATCTAAATGCGGCCCCCCCCCCCCCCCCCCCCCCCCCCCTCTGCGCTTCTGTTTTTGAATTTGTTCTCTCACTTTTGAAGTTTGAACTACATGTTTTTGGCTACACTGATTGCCTGGTAGTTTTTGTCTTTGGATGCTTGATCTGACTCTCTAATTAGGTTTTTGGATTTTGTAAATTATCTGGATCATACTTCTGATTTTAACTGATGGAAAATTATCTTAACATTCTGTCATGTCTTACAGTAGTGTAGCTAGAAGGCTCAGTATGTGATTTATTGTTCCATGTTTTGATTTTTTTCTTCTGGTCAGCACTAGCTCTCTTTTGCTTATTGGATGTGGAATGATGAATTGAGTTGTGAATGGATGTTTGATTCAGGTGTATGACAGCTTGTTGGCGCAGTTGCTTTTATTGGTACTGGTGATTTCCTGAATGCAGACAATTTGAACTCTGGTTTGATGAATTTGATTAGCTGAACTTTGGTTGCTTCTTCAGTTTATATGCCCCTTAAGATGTGGATTGTTGGTAGTTAAAAGTGACTGTTAGACAATTTTCTGTACCTTTATCAGGAAACAATGTGTTATCTTGGCTCGTTTATAATAAATACAATTTATCGTTTTAGTTAGTTGACAATATTTAGCCATCCTTCCCCGAAAAGTGTTTGATTTTTTATTCTGCTTCTAATCTTTTTACTTGCTTGATGTTCTTCCTTTATGATGGTTGTTGGTTCTCTTTAGTCATAATGAGTTCATGTGTTTAGGTTCTTGGACAAGACACATGACTATAGATTATTGGATACCTATGTGTATAGCTGTATCTTATGCGTGTGTATGTGTAAAATATTCCGAGCAAATGATGCAATAATTTGGGGGCAACTGGTGCAATATTTTGTTGCAGTGAATTTCGTCCCAAGGGTGTTTTATATACTGTGTGACTGAACAATTTAGGCTTTGTCTAGTTATCCGTCATGTCAAATTGTTGTTCAAGAACATCTTCAACTACTAGCCGCCCATATACGTATATGGGTTTTATAAGAGTTGTTTGACAAGTTTTATCCTTCTTTCTTTATGGAATTTTTTCATCAAAATTTGTTTGATTCACACTTTTCTTGGTAATAAGCTCTTCGTGCTACCTGAGAGTACCACATCACATGGGTTGGGTCCATATTACATATTTACTTTCTACCATGTAGCCCTGTCAATAGATCTCAGATATGGATTGAACATTCCCTGTGTCATGTCGCTTTTGGGGAGTAGGAATTTTTAAGGGGACATGTGGGACATGCCTTGTCTCCCTAAAAAATTACTAATTTGCCCTTATATTTAAGTTTGAAATTTTAAACTCCAAGGACATATATGGAAAGATGTAAAATAAATTGTTTGAAAAAGGAAAGTGGACAATTATTTTGGAACAGACCAAAAAGGAAAGCATGACGTTTTTTTTGGGACAGGGGGAGTATATAATATGTTATACATATAGAATTGCTCACTACTGAGCAAGAGACTTTCTCCACACCAAGTATTATGATTTATATAATCTAATGATCGTATCGTAAATCCACTTTCCTCTTTTGCTAATACAGCAAAACCACTTTTTTCCCAATTTAAATTTCCTAAAATATCATTACCAATTTCTTCTACACAAGACTTACTACAAAAAGAGTACTTACCAAAAAAAAAACAAAAGAGAATTGCTTTCTACCTTGTAGGCCTGTCATATCTCTCAGTCATATCGCAAATCCACTTCCCTCCTTTGCTAATACATCAAATCCCCCTTTCTCCCAATTTAAGTTTCCTAAACTAACATTACCAATATCTTCTACACAAGACTTGCTGCAAAAAGAGCACTTACGTCTTACCCAAAAAAAAAAATGAGAATTACTTTCTGCCTTGTAGGCCTGTCACTAGATCTTGGATTCAGATTGATGAACAAATCGGATATGGATTATGGTCAATCCTATCTAATATAATATAATATATACTATGTTATGTACATTGAGTTTATCTCTTGCTCATAGGTGAGCAAGAGACTCTCCACACCAATTATATTGACTGTTTGGATATGTCATATCGCAAATCCACTTGCTTCTTTGCTAATACAGCAAAACCACTTTTTTGCCAACTTAAGTTTCCTAAACTACACGAGACTTACTGAAAAAAAGAGTACTTACCAAAATAAAAAGGAGAATTACTTTCTGCCTTGTAGGTCTGTCAGAATTGATCTCTTGCTCATTGGTGAAAAAAAAAGAGAGAGAATAAAGGATCTGCCTTTTATGAAATCTTACTAGCCAATATATATATATATATATTTGGAGTTCATATGTAAAGGTGTCAAGGAGAATGAGATTGGAGAAGTAAACAAGCACACTGAAGTGTTACTGAGTAGGTATCATCAAACTAGCTCCCCTCTTGAACGCCTTTTATGAAATCTTACTTAGCAAAAAATATGTATATATTTGGAGTTCATATGTAAAGGTGTCAAGGAGAATGAGATTGGAGAAGTAAACAAGCACACTGAAGTATTGCTGAGAAGGTATCATCAAAATGTAGCATCTCAATAGTTCGTGGATATTTAGAAAATAAAATAAAAAACATAAAAAGATACATGAAAAATAAATCTAAAAAGTAACAATATTAACAACAAATTGTTACATAAATCCTCCAGTAAACTATGGCTGAACATTTACGTGGTTCAGCCATTTTAGTATTTTCAGTTTTTTTTTTTTAGTAAGTACTCTGGTCTTCCCCCGGTAAATCTATTGGTCACCGGGGACTTCAATTGATCCTTTATGGATCCTCTTTCATCAGTGGGTGGTGAGTTTACTTTCTAACCAGCTACCTCTTGGATTCGGAATTTGTTCTGACAGTTGCCATATGTGATGAGATCCTAATCGTCTTCCTCCCAGTGTTGTTTGCCAACAAAGTCTTGTGGAAGAAATTGGTAAATGTTAGTTTAAGAAACTTAAATCAGGAGAAAAGTGGATTTGTGATATGAGCGGTAGATTATATCATATGGTCACTATACTTGGTGTGGAGAAAGTCTCTTGCTCATCAGTGAACAAGAGATCAATTCTGGTTAGACATATATTATTTGATGTAGTACTTACATATTATCAAAATAATTTTTGTCGGTTCTTTCATTTTTTCTTTCATCTCTCCATTTTTTCTTAGTATTTAGTTTTTTTTCTTCAATAAAGAGTAGAAAATATAATTCTCTCTCTTTTTTGTCCACATTTACTTTTCTCTCTCTCTTCCCTTGTAATCATTATTTCTCTATCTCTTTTGACATTAATTTGTTTTAACAAAAGATACATCTGTAATGAATCGGGTTATGTGGTCAAATATCCCCTATAAATATCAAATTGGGTTTGGATTTGTTCATGAGTGATCCGTTGGGTTATTAGATTGGATCAAGAAGTTGTCTTATCTTATTTGGATTGGATCAAGCTTGACCGGCTATGAATCCAATCCATTTATAGGTCTACTGCCTTGTAGTGGCTCTTCACACATTTTTATTATATATCCTTGTCATTGTAAGTCTGCTGTTTTTCACGTTTGACTTGTCTTCTTCTTGAGTTGTATCTTTCCCATTCTCCCATTCACTCGTTATATTCGTATGTGCGATCTTGATACTGCCAAAGGAGTTTGTAGATCTGCTTGATGAATATCCAGTTGATATGCGTCCCTACATATTTAATGTGGGAATGCCTGTATAATTCAGACCGGACTGACCACAATGGGTGTTTTGAGCATATCATCTTTTACACCGTGCTTCTAATTTTTTTTTTCTTGTGTTGTTCCCATTTGTTGGATTATTCCTAGATTCTAGTTTGCGTTAGATTTGTTGAGTTGCATGCTGTGTTCCACTGTTTTCGGAAAACACCTTTATACTTCTATAAGCGGCAATATGCTTGTTGAGATGTAATTTCTGCCGTTGTTGTCATCCCAGTAGCTTGCCATATAGATATAAGCTACGTGGTGGTATCAGTTTATACTTGAATTCTAAGTAGCATGGACACGGATACGTTGACACGCCAAAATTTAAAAAAGTAGGATACGGGTACGGCTTGGACAACTGCTATATATGAATATATATTTTTATTTTTATACATGTATTGAGCAATGGTATTATAAAATTTTAATTCATTTTTAATTTTATACTAAGAGTTGTAATGATTTTTATATTATTCCACAACTTTGTCATAGTAGTGTTTTTATTTTAAATGAACAAATATCATTTAATGCTTCGCTTGTGATCATATGTGTATAATGTCAATTTTTCTTAAAGAAAAAAGTTGAACACTTTTGCATGTGTACTTATTATTTTCAAGATTACTAGGTAGCCTTGTGTTAGAAATGTTTGAAAGTGTCGGCCTAAGTGTCCACCAACAAGTGTCGGCTAAGTGTCCGGAAGTGTCGGGAAAGTGTCCAAAATAATAATATATATATATATTTTTATGGACACGTATATGAAGTGTTGGACACGTGTCTGACAAGACACAGGTAGGGCTTCTTCGTAGAAGTATCCTTGCTTCATACTTGGATTGGGATGGTAGCAAGTATAAATCTTTTCCCCAAGAAAAATCTATTTGTGTCCTTGCATAACTAATATGGGAATGCTTATCTGTATAATTCAGACTGGATTGACAAAGGTGGTGTTTTGGGCATGTCATCTTTTATACCATGCTGCTATTATTATTATTATTTTTTTGTGCTGTTTTTCCCATACTTGAATTGGGATGGTAGCAAGTAGAAATCTTTTCCTCGAAAAATCTATATTTTCATATAATTTTCATGTGCCTTCATTTTTTTTTCCTTTGCTCTTTTTTTTTTTTTTTCAATCAAGGGTGGGGGAGGGGTGAAGGTTTGGTTTGTTTAACCTTCATTGGACCTTGGTTTGTTTAACCTTCATTGGACCTTACTGTTTTGATTCCATCTGCTGTCTGAATGTGCTGATTTATTGCATTATAATGTTTCTTGAAACTTTCCAGTATTCTTTTTTGCTTCAATAATGGTGTCAAATGCAAGATTTGTTGGGGGGTGGTTGGTGGTAATGCAACACTGGAGATTAGCTTCTTAATTCATTGTTCTGGTTTCATCTTCGGGTGATGGAATCACAAATTTCTGCTATTAGAGGCCAACATTCTCTCAAGTCCTGAATCACTCCTCCCACACACACAGCTATGCTCAAAAACATTGTTTTATAATTTGAGGCCAACAGTGATGAAAGTGCCATTTGTTTCATAGATTGTTTAAAGGGCTGGAATGGGTTTCCTCTATTATTTGTCCTGCTTGTCAGACTTTCAACCAAGTCTTTATTCCACATTTGCAGCTTGGCTTGCTAATTTAGTGATATCCATGCATGGTGGATTATCCTGATTACGGGCAATTCATGGGATTAAAGTTTCTGATTGTAAACACTTGCTATACATTATAATTACTGAAAAATCACATCAAAATACTTTCTTTCTGTTGTCTCTCTATCTTTATTTATATTTTTATATTGATAGGAGCTGGATACTTGCTTGAGAAAATCATGGCAGGATCCATTTTTTATTTTTTAAGGTGGTAGTTGTCATTTCATGTGTTGTGAAGTAAAATTGAGTCAAGAAAGTTAACTTTTGGGATCCTTTGACAAGGACAGAATGAATAGGGGGAAAATTGAACGTTAGTAAAAGCAGCTGCACTTTTTTTTTTTTTTTTTAGCGCCTTTTATCTCTAGAGGAACTTAATTTCATGCATATTATTTTCTTTGGCAGTATGTTGTAGGACATGCAGGATGCTAGATAAGTTTTTTGATAATAAGTTGGATGATTCAAGAATAATTTGCATTCAGTTGTCGATGTACAGTCTAATTGCTGTTGAACATGTCAAGTGTGCATTCACCACTTGGAAATATTGCTTAGGTCTTTAACTGCTTTGTTTATATCCTGGGAATTATGAAATTTGTTTAAATAATTTGAAGGTGGTAACCAGAAGTGATTATTACTTGAGTTAATATTCTCTGAATAAGTTGAAGATGCCGTTGGTAGTTTGGACTCTTGGGTTTCTGTGGAGTTGGGGGGTCAAGCTGGGTTTATTGTGCATCAAAGTTGGTATAGGTTTGAATCAGGTATCCAGATAATTAGTACTGCTGTCCCAAAGATGGTACCCATTCCAGGAGGATATAAAGCACACTGTTCTCTTTCATATCTGAACTGTGTGTAACTGTGTGGTCGATAGCTGGGATTTTATCTGTCTCAAGAACTGGGGGACTTGCTATAGCTGCAGGTAGATGGGGGTGACCCCGGGTTCATAAATGCACCTTCAGTGCAAGACCTAACAAAAATGCCGCTTAGTTTCCGCATGTTTGCAATGGAAAGATGGTGGGGAGTGAAAAGCAGCATCAATCTGCAGCCTTAAAATTACTGCCTGATAACACAGGTGGTCTGCCGGCTCCTTTTTTGAAATGGATCAACGGACTGTCTGGTTGGTGAAATTCAAGTCATATTAGCTCCAGCAGGATCCAGTATGGTATTTTGCATCTAGCAAGTTACACTTGCTGCAAGTAAATCTGTAAATGTGGTGGTCTATTTTTCTCTCTCGTGACCACAAACTCGAGTGCCAAAGGATAGAGGCATTTGTAAGTTGCTTTGGAATTTTTTGGATATCATTTTATGTTTTGAAGAAATTTTGGTAGAAAGTGGGAATTGTTGTTAATTGTCACCTAATATTGTAAGTATCGTCTTTGTTCAAACCTTGGGCCATGACTGAACAATGTGAAACGAAGAAAAAGATACGAGTAGAATTTGTTGTTCTAAGAGATTGTTCAGTCTACGTAACTCATAGCCTTCTGGTAAAGACGCCAACGTCAAATAAAATACTAATGTCATTCTTTGAATCTACGGTTAAAATGCATGCACGTGGGCACTATAAAAAATATTTTTATTTTTTTGGTGTTTTTTGTTGTAAAATATCCGGATTTGACTTCAACCTTAATTTAGACTGTAAATGTAAAAATAAAAAATATATATTTAACCGAAATGACATAAAAATTACCTTAGGGTTTTCGTTTGTTTGATGATTTAACATTTGACAATTTTTTTCATCAATGGATTTTTGTTCTCGCCATTTAAATTTTCACTAAAATTCAGATTTAAATTGAAGTTACATAAAATAGGAGTGAGCGAATTTAAGGGCAGGAGCGTGAGAGTGACAGAATTAAGTAGAATTTGAGCCGTAACATGCATGGAGTGTGAGAACGAAGAATTGTATAAAATAAGAGTGAGCGAATTTAAGGGCAGGAGCGTGAGAGTGACAGAATTAAGTAGAATTTGAGCCGTAACATGCATGGAGTGTGAGAACGAAGAATTGTGTGACTTAAATTCAAGTATATTTTATCAATTACTTTTAAAAAAGAAAATGGAAAAAAAAAACATGTAACATAATAAATGTTAGAATTATTATTATTTTGTTGCTCCTATTACAAAAATTGCACTCAATGTGCTGCATGCAAGCATGATTTAAGATTTTATATATGTATTTTTCACTGTTAGCAATAAATCGAAATAGCATGAAACTCCCTCACCCATCAATTCAGGGCTTGTTTGGCTGGTTTCAAAACGGGCTTCTAAACTCGAAAAGTCCTTTTGTCAATAATAAAGAGCGTTTGATAAAATTTCTGAAAATGAACTTCTAAAAAGTCTCACTAGTTTAGAAGTCTGATTAACCAAAGCCAATAAAACATCATTCCTAATCGACTTCCTGCAAGGTACATACTTTTCTAAGTAATAAATATAAAATTCATATATTGTCTATTATTTAACCTATTTTTATTTCTATTTCTGAATTCCATTGCAAACTGTTCTCTTTCTCTTTCTGTATCATCTTCTTTGTTTGTTCTCTATCCAAAAATTAAAAAATTAAAAAATTTTGAACAAAATTTCACAAATCTTCACTAAAAAAAAAATATTGTTGAAAAATGATTCAACAAAAGAAGAATAAAGACATTAAGGAGTTGCAGAAAAAACTACTATTGACTCCTATTTAAATTCAAAGTCGGAAGAGTTTCAAGATTTGTCCAAAATTCAATCTTATATATATATATATATATAATATACCCACAATATATATATATGTATATATAAAATACTTTTTTTGAAGGCTACCATTCCACAATTAAAGTAATTTATATCTATAAATAAAAATAAAAATGGGATATTTTTGTTGCCATGTCTCTCTTTCATTTTATATTTTTTTTGTTTTCTTTTTCCATGATTTCTTTCAACTTCTATTAAGGAAAAAATAAAAAAAAAACTTATATCATGTAGATTGAGTAAATTTGTGTACCTTGATCATCACTATGTCAATTAATTGTTACTACATCACAGGCAATTTCACTCCATCACTTCAATTATGATTTTTTTTTTTCCCTTCACTGTCTTTATACGGATTTGGATTATCTAAGTTAAATCTTGTCTAAGAAGTTAAATCTTGTCTAAGTTATGTGGACATTTAAAATTTATTTATTATTTGTGTTAAACCACGCTAACTAATTTTAAAAAAGTTTGAAAACTGCACTGTTTTGAGATAAGAAAAATTTACCAAAGTTTGAAAATTATACCGTTTTGAAATAAAGAAAATTCACCACGTTAAAATCGTTCTATCTCCCTCATCTTTTCCAAAAAAAGTTCGCTCCCTCTCTCTCCTCTTGCTCATTCCCACTATTGGGGAATATTTTATGCCAAAAATAAATATTTTTTTTCCACGATTTTTGGTGACTAAAATTTTTGGTTCACTCTCTTTTTCTGAAATCTAAATTGCAAAATTTCTCTTTTTTTTAAATCTCTTTTTTTGAAATATAAATCGCAAAATTCTTCTTTTTAAAGAAAAAAAAAATTAAACTCTTTTCTTGAAATCTAAATTACAAAATTCCTCTCTTTTATTGAAATATAAATTGCAAAATTCTGCTTTTAAAAGAAAAAAAAAATTTAACTCCTTTCTTGAAATCTAAATTACAAAATTTCTCTTTTTTGAAATTTAAACTGCAAAATCTATTACAGAGCGATCTTTTTCGGAAAAGATGAGAGAGAGAGCGATCTTTTTTGGAAAAGATGAGAGAGAGAGAACGAAGTTAATTTAATACAAGCAGTAGATAGATTTTAAATGTTACGTGTCAATCTGCAGAGAATTCAAATTAAGATAACTTAAAGAAAATTATAGTTAAAAAAGAATAAAAAAATTCATTTACAAAACAAAATTTTTGTTTTAAATTCTTTTCATCAAAATACATTCTCCAGCCAATTCAACTCAATGGAAGGAATTTTATAAACTGAAAGCTCCCCAAAGAGTGCCTTAGTTTTTGGATTTCTTAATTTAGATTCTTAGATATTGGTTCAATTCGAATTAATTTTTTTTTTCAAAAAAAAAAAAAAAAAAAAAGTCCAGTGTGAAAAATTCGGTAGAGTTGGGGTTTGACTCGGATTTTGTTGCATCCGAAAAGAAAAACTTTCGAGAGAGAGAGATAGAGAGAGAGGAGAGAGACTAATAGGAGGCACTCCTCCACCTAGAGAGTCCAAAACCCACAACCACTCTTCTTTTCAGTAATCTTAAGAACGCTTCTTTCCTCTCATTTCTCTCTCTTCGCCTCTCGCTCTCCTTTCATCAAACGCCAACAAAAGCACAAGAGTTGTAGAAGAGAATGAAGGGAACGATGTTGAGATCCATGGAAGCATCTCTGAGATGGAGGAGAAGCCTCTCTGCGTCATCCACCACTCACTTGTTACGCCGTGGTTACACATCTGAGTCGTCCCCCGATCGGAAGGTCACAGTCTTGGGCGCTGCCGGCGGGATAGGTCAGCCACTTGCACTACTCATGAAGCTCAACCCTCTCGTCTCCAATCTTGCCCTCTACGATATCGCCGGCACTCCTGGTGTCGCCGCCGACGTCGGCCACATCAACACCAGATCTCAGGTATTTTCTCATTTGGGTTTCTCCTTCCTAGGGGTTTGATACATTACTACTCTTTTTACTGTTGTATTGATCACGTTCTATTGATTCAACTTCAGTACGTTGTTATTTGTTTCTCTCCCTCTCTAGGTCTTGATCTAACTTTAGTTTACTCACTTTGATCGATTGTGTATTTGAATTATTGTATACATAACTTTTATAATATAATTTTTGTGTATATATGTTGGTTATAGGTCGCCGGATACATGGGCGAGGACCAGCTAGGGCAGGCATTGGAGGGATCTGATATTGTAATCATTCCAGCCGGTGTGCCAAGGAAGCCCGGTATGACTCGTGATGATCTCTTCAACATCAATGCTGGCATTGTTAAGTCTCTGTGCACTGCGATTGCCAAGTACTGCCCCAATGTGAGTGCCCTTTTTTTGTTTAAACATTCTAGTTACTGAACGGGTTAATTTGAGTGTGTAGCATATTTGTTTCACTCATTTTGGATATGGGTTCATGTAGGCACTTGTTAATATGATTAGCAATCCTGTGAATTCAACTGTCCCAATTGCTGCTGAGATCTTCAAGAAAGCAGGGACTTACGATGAGAAGAAGTTGTTTGGTGTAACCACACTTGATGTGGTTAGGGCTAAGACTTTCTATGCTGGGAAGGCAAATGTCCCAGTCGCGGGTATGCCTCATTGCCTGCTTGCAGAACATTAGTTGTTAGTTTTTTCCTTTCGGGAAAAAAGTCTAAGATTTTTCATTGCAGAAAGTTTAATTCATTGACTTGAATTTTCTGTTTCATTGTTCCAGGGGTTAATGTACCTGTTGTTGGTGGGCACGCTGGCATAACCATTCTCCCACTTTTTTCACAAGTACTGCATTGTTTCTTCAGTATCAATCTGTTTATGAAATATCACATGCTTATCTTTTTCTTTTAACAATTGTATACTGATCATTTTCGGTGCATACTTTTTACATTGGTTTCTATGTTTGATTATTTATAGGCTACACCAAAAGCCAATCTATCTGACGAAGAAATTGAGGCTCTCACCAAGAGAACTCAAGATGGAGGGACAGAAGTGGTGGAAGCAAAGGCTGGGAAGGGTTCCGCAACTCTCTCAATGGCGTAAGTGTCAACTGATATTCTGACTTGACAATTTTTTTTTTCCTAAACGTGATTGTATTAAACCAAACATCATCAAAACGATACAAGACAACTAGAAGGCATACCCTCATCATACAATTACCTCACTATTACTTATCAAAAAAAAAAAAAAAAAAAAAAATTGTTACTTAGGCCCTTTTCCAGAAGCCAGAAAGAACGAAAAATAACAAGCAAAAGGAACTAGCCCCATCTAAACTAGTCACAATACAACACCCCAACCCAATAAAATTCCAAATTTCTCCAAGATTGCAGGGATCCTTCTCTTGTACTAAATCAGGAAGAAAGCATGGCCACAATAGAAAACTAAAGTTCCAATTAGCCATCACATGTATATCAATGAGATGGACACCCCCAATTTCGAACACTTCCCAGCAAAACATTCTAGCCACCTGAGCAGCTGAAGGAGCTTCATCTTGATGTAAATCAGATGTCTACTCCTCCAAATTCCCCATATAGCAAATGTAAAAAGGTATCCTACAGATTTTGTTCCTCTTTGTATGTGGACAAATTGATTCTGTGATCTGATTTGAGTCCAATTCCAATGGAAAGTGTCAAATATCCGTTCCCATACCATAGAAGCAAAGGAACAGCCAAAAGAAAAGTGTTCCACAGTATCCCCATCCCTGAAACAGTTATGACAGATTGGGTAACACAGATTCCCCTCAATTGCAAATCAGTCAATAAAGGTATTTCGTTCTGAAGTACAAGACAAGTAGTCAGACATGCTGCAGGCCTCCTTTGATTCCAGCAGAGCTTGTGCCATTCTTTTTTACTGTGTCCACCCCACCCTGGCTCCAAACAATTTTATCTGATTCTTGATGCAACTTGCAGGACGAGATTTGGAATGTTCTGTGTACAGTATTATGTTTTCCTGCTACTATTTTGACAAACGGTATTCATGTCATTTTTACATTGACTTGTATAACTATGGTCTCAAATATTGATCATAATAGTAGTGTGCTAAGACTTCTTTTTTTACATGCAAGTTATATTCATGAAAAGAGAACTTCTAAGCATGTTGAATATGCAACAGACATTGGTGCTCGGTGTGCATATGTTAAACATGGCCAGCTCAATTTTTTCATGTACAGCTACTGGCAGTTTGCTAGTGAAATAATCTTTAGTATGTAGAGTGGGGTAATCCATCTGATTTTTGTACGAAATGCCTGATTTTTATTTATTTATTTTGAGATCCTCATGTCTCTCTCTCTCTTTCTCTCTCACTCATTCACATGCTCGCGCGCGCGCACACACCCTGAACTTCAGTTAGAACTCCTTGAGTTTTTATTCCCAGTAGGAGTTGCAGGGTATTGAAGGAAGCTATTTCTGACTGATGCTGGATTTCCTGCAGCTATGCTGGAGCCATTTTTGCAGATGCTTGCTTGAAGGGTCTGAACGGGGTTCCAGAAGTAGTAGAATGTTCATTTGTGCAGTCAAGTGTCACTGAACTACCTTTCTTTGCTTCTAAGGTAAAACCTTAATTTCAGTGATAATATGTACACTTCTTTATCTATGTTGATTAGAGTAATTAATTAATTACATTTTATTTATCTCTTTTGTGATCAATTGATTTTAATTTTTTTCTCTCGATAATTTGGCTGAAGTAATTGTGGTTCTGTTTTGTATTCATATGGTTATAACAAGTTCGCAAACTTCGTCAGTAAACTTGAACTTCGTTTGTTACAAAACCACCATTAAGAATCCTTTTTTTCCAAAAAATATGTACGCTTCTTTATCTATGTTAATCAGAGTAATTAATTAATTACATTTTATTTATCTCTTTTGTGATCAATTAATTTTAATTATGTTCTCTCGATAATTTGGCTGAAGTAATTGTGGCTGTGTTTTGTATTCATATGGTTATAACAAGTTCACAAACTTCGCGAACTTGAACTTCGTTTGTTACCAAACCACCATTAAGAATCCTTGTTTTCCAAAAAATTTCTTTCTGGAACTTCAATTCAATTCTTCAAGCTGCATTTCGTTAAGACTTGTTAGATAATGTTTTGGCTTAAAATCTTTACTTATTATCGGGTTAATATTATCAATCTGATTGCACATTGGATGAACATTCACTAATTGGTAATGAAATCCCCTCTATGGACATTATTTGAAGAAATAACCCTTTATTATTAGTGTGTTCTATCATCAACTACTTCAAGTGAATCATTTCCTATTAGGTTTTATATAATTTTTACACCTGTTTGGTTTTCTTCTTGCTTTACAGTCTTTAGGAAATAAGGGAAAAGAGTATAGTTGTTACTTGAAGGTATTGACTATGTGAAGGCTGAACTGGCATAATGAGAAGTATTTCGAGGAAATGAAAGAATAACGGCATAATTTTAACACCAATTTGTATTGATATTTTTATGCTCTTCCATGTCTCGAACCAATTTGAAGAAGAATCCGTTTCCATAAAAAATAAGGAAAAATAGAGTTGTTAGCTAAAGTTATTGACATCAGAATGTGGATGCTGAAATACTACAATGGATCAAGGAAATTAAAGAAAATGAAGAGCGGTTGTTTTTTGGAGTGTGGATGATGCTTGATAGTAAAGCTGTGATATGTATTTGTTGCGTTGATGCTATTTTATCTATGACACTAATTTGAACACTGATGCATGTCCATATCTAATTTGTTTTATATTGCACAGAGCATGTGCAGGCATACTATTTTCTAAAGAGCACATCTCTTTCTTCGTTATTTTACAATGCATTTTATGCCACATTTGTAATGTTTCGTATTCTGCCTTTATCTTCATAAGCTTTGTTGTACAAACAGAAATGTATATCTTTTGTTTTTCATTGTCTTCCATTCCTGATTTTAATCACGGTACAACTATGTTATGGAGTGTTCTGGTATTGTTGGCTGGTAAATGTTCTGAAGTAGTTGCTAAATCCGTGCCTGCAGGTGAGGCTTGGGAAGAATGGCGTGGAGGAAGTTCTGGGGTTGGGCCCGCTTTCAGATTATGAGAAACAAGGATTGGAAAACCTCAAGCCAGAGCTGAAAGCATCTATCGAGAAAGGAATCAAGTTTGCCAATCAGAGTTAAACCTTTTTGTTGGCTGATGCGGTGGCATCTGTTCCCTTTATGAAGAACCCATCACAATTTTGCATTTTATTTACCAATGTTGTATGCTAAGTTCCAGTTAGAATAGCTGAAATTAGAGTGAGTACTCTAATAATAAATATCTGGTGAGGTCTTTTAAGGACCGGTATATTTATAAGCCACCTGTATTACGAACTAATTTTGTTATTGAACTCCCACAATTGCCCTCCTATCCAAATAAAAACTCCCAAAGTTGTCCTTCACACATGGACTATTTCGTGGCTATTGTTTGAGAGTATATTTTGGGTTAAATACCTTTTTCGTTATTTTGAATAGTCCAAATAGAGAATGAAGAATGCTTCCCTGGTGTATCATTCACCATATATGATAATGTGATTCACCGTATATGATAATGTGACGTAATAATCGATACTAGGTGTGAGATTTAGCCACACCTCTCCGTTACAAAATGTGACGAAGTTCAACCTTTACTTTGGTTTAAAAAAGGAAATTGAGAGACTGCTGATAGCCCAATGCACACACATAAACGTGACAAAGTTCAACCTTTACTTTGGTTAAAAAATGGAAATTGGAAGACTGCCGATAGCCCAACGCGCACACACAAACGTGACAAAACATTGCTCATAAGTGTGAGATTCAGAGAGACCCTCAATTGATTTGAGGCAACAAAATGTGACGAGATTCAACCTATACTTTGGCTAAAAAAAGGAAATTGAGAGACTGCTGATAGCCCAACGCACACGCATAAATAAAAAATCCTTCGCTAACTTATTGTGATTTTGCTTCAACAGTAAGTGACATTTTACAATATACAATTCCATCTGGTTTAGCTAGTCTTATAAAAATGAAAACAACTGCTAAAATTGAAACTTTATCCCCTAGCTCAATGACCTAGACTCTTCTATTACTAGTCTCCTTTCTTTGAGTTGAATAGTAACTATGCGCAATGTTATAAAATAAAAACCTAGCACAATTTCTCATAACTGAAATTGGTAGCAATTCTTGGCAATTTACATTTGCTACACCCAAAAAAATAAACTCTCATCACCATGCTATCCAATCGATATCATACACAATCTTCTTAAAAAAAGTAACCGCCTTCAAATGCAGATCAACAAGTTCAAGTCATGGCAAGAATAAGAGTTCTCTGACCTACACTTCCAAATGTTCTAGTAAAGGCATCCCATTCTGCAACTAAACTGCTAAACCCCTTGGACACTTCCGGACACCTCCGCTAATAGGCAGAAGCAGACAGCACTCTAAAAATCATTAGGCTGATGTCAGTGTGAATTTGACAGATCTGCTGCCAGAAAAAAATTTACCACAACTATAAGTATGAGAATCAGGCTAACCAGTGGCTAGAAAAATGAAAATATAAAAGTCACACACCCAAAATCAATCCATACAATGTGAACACAATATAGGATGTATCAAAATAAAAATGTGCTTGATGCATTTCCCAACTCAAAACACCCTCATCTCAATTCACTTCTTACTTGGATGATTCAAAATCACAGATCATTAAGAGAAGCGGAAAACAATGAATATAACATGGACCTATGTCTTCAAAGTTTGTCTTAAAGACGAGAATATGCTCTGTAGATTGTTATACTATACTTGGTTTTCCCCCGATCTCGAGATGAATATACGTCTGGTGCATTTTCCTACATGAGTTGTATCATATATATAAAACAAGTGGAAATAATGCCGCCACAAGAATAGCATTACAGTTATCAGTTTTGTAGTAGTTTACATCAAGCAAGAGTCGTAGGCAACTATACTCATAGCAAACTTGTTACACACAAGATTCAAATCTCCATATAATCTGTTTAATCTTCCATTATGCATTCTATGATGCAAAATGTAGTACCTCAGTGTTCAAGCAGTTCTAGAAACCTCTAATTAACTCAGAGTAGGGCAGGAATGACCATAACTTTGCGGATATGAGGTATAAAGCAGAGATTCATACCACTCGAGCAGCATCTAAAACAGAAAATCAAAACCAAGGCTTTGTACAGGATGGACTTTTAACATTGAATAATAAAAAAGAAAAACAATAGCAACTCTATATCCACCGCTGATTTTGATGCATTCACTAGCGCACTCTTTCATATCATTTGGTTGTCTGCAGATAAATTTAGGGTAAAGTAGGAGCTCCCTTATGATCAAATCACCCACATTTACATGGTAAAATAAGACATCTGGTTATAGAACACTGATTTAGTAAAAGAAATGGCAGCAATAATGACCCTTATCAAATTTAAATTTCCAAAATTACTTATTGAAAAAATAATTTGCCAAATTATCATCAACAAATTTAAAATTAGTCAATCCATATACGGATGCAAACAGACTTGCAGAAATGGACAGTTAACTATTGCCGAGGTAATACAACTTTGTAAAGTTGATCAAGAAATACTAACCAGGATTAGTTTAACTAAGGAAGATACAAATAAAGACCTTTCAACCTCAAGGAACCTAGTCCCACTCGGACTTTATAGGCATGGATACTTGAATGGCTTTATTCTTGTAGGCACTTCATGCTTTTCAGAAAAAGTAAAAATGGCAATATAAGGCTTTCATCAGATCAGTCTTCTAATCTGTAAGAGCAATTGTCACAAGGCTTCATAATTCATACAGAAACTGATGTAAGTTAGAGCTTTGAGTTGTCTAATACAATTTTACTCCATATTTGTGGTCAACCAATGCACTAAGTTCTAAACTATTTTTTAGATTTGATGACTTCTGTATTATTTTACTACTCCCTCCATCCCGAAATATATGTCCATCTTTCCTTCTTGGGATGTCCCAAAATACATGTCCCTTTCCAAAAATAGATGTACTTTTTTTCATCACATTCCCAAACTACCCCTTTTCCATTTACTTGTTTTAGTTGTTTAGCACCTTACAAGGTTAAAAATGGAACTTCACTCATTATCAAGTACACTTCCATAAAAAGTTGGAATCCCAATACATCCCAACTATTTTGGGACGGAGGGAGTATATTTTTTATTTTTTTTACAAAACATGTAAAGACTAAGTAATCATGAAGTGACTCCCTACAGACACTTTTGGTCACTGCAAAGTATTATCGTGCTAAAATAGCCATTTCTCTGAGGATACATTACCCTTACCTCCCCCCACTAGATAGTGTAAATCGCAGAAACCTCCTCCAAGTTTCAAAAAATTACACTTACCTCCCCTGTGAGTAACAGACATTAATGTCTGTTAACGGAGTATGAGAATTTAAAATATTGACCTTACTAAAAAAATAGTTTTAAATTAAAATAAAAAGCTGTCATGGGGGTTCAAGTCATGCTATTCTTTATTCAGACTCTATCTATCATCATTTGCCTGCGAGACAAATCCTCTTCATAACAAAAAACTTGAGACTCTGGTTGTGTTTCGCTAAAGCCATCATAAATGCCAGGATTTAGATCTTCAAAAGGATTGCGAATGTCGTCCTTTTTATCAGTCCTGTTTATCCAATGCTTAGACAACCCAAAATCATAGTTTAATAAACCAGTATATATATATATATATATATATATATATTAAGAGTCAGAGTATATAGCTTAGACAACCCAAAACCATAGTTTAATAAACCAGTATAAAGAGTCAGTATATAGTTTATATATAAGGGAGAGTGGACTGATCTTTGTGTCGGCAGCCGGCAGTGGCTTCCGGTTGCAGTAGAGAAAGAGAGAGACGATCGGTTAGTGTGGAAAAAGAGATATTTAGAGAGAATGAAAAGGTAAAGGAGAGTTATCATCCCAAGAATATCCACCAAGTAATTAAGGTTTTGGTATAAAAAGATTCCAAACCCACATGAGAAACTTGGTCGAGTTCATGTTTATACTAAACCCAAAAGCTTCCATTCATTTGTCCCGTTAAAACCCCCCAAAGCCATGATGGAGAAGAAGATAGATTCTAATTTGGGTAATAAATCCTCACCCATAGGTTGACGCAGTAGTTAGCTAGTTTCTCGATCACACATTAGAGCAATGGACAATCACAACCGTGTACTAGAGATTAATTAAAGATATACTTGGTCCATTTACCAGTTTAGTAATATGTCACGACCCACCATGCTGTGTAAATATTGTCCACTTTGCACTCTCTGTGCTCACAATTTTCAAAACGCATCTATATATTTAGGAGGTATCCACATATAAGTGCTAACAATCTCTCCCACCCAAGTGATGTGAAGCGTCACAATATTCAGGTTGTTGGCACTTAATATATTTATGGATGTCACCTAACTTTGCAGACGCTTCTGAAAACTGTGAGTACAGAAAGTGTGCAAAGCAAACAACATCTACACAATGGGGTGGGTTGTGACATATGATATCAGAGCCAATCCCAGCCAGAAATGATGGGATCGTGCACAAGCCCATGAGGGTAAAGCAAGCAAGGATGTTGGGTCCAAAGTAGGCCTGCAAATGAACCGCTGTTCATGAATAGCTCGGGCTCATTCAGTAAGTAAACGAGCTGAGCTTGAGCTCAATTTCTTGGCCCATTTAATAAACGAGCCGAGCACAAGCAATGTTGGGCTTGGCTTGTATAGGCTTGTGAACAAGCTCGTTAATCAAAGGCCTATATGTATTTTCATTTTATGATTAAACGGTTTATCCCATACAATATATTAGTTTCGCCCAACTTGCATCCTGTCATTAGTAAGGCCCAAGGAGTGATAATTCACTAACCCATCATCAAATAAGATTCCATCTCACGTATTAATCCATCTTAACCATTGGTTTTGGTAATGGTAAGAGATAAGAATAAACCCTATAACTAGAAGACCACAAAATCATCTTCACAACTCCACCGCATAATACTGCCGGAAGCCCTCCACAAGCAACACAACTCACTCTCTCTATCTCTTTGTTGATCGGATCAACTCCAACGCATAATCCGCTAACATCCCTCCACAAACCACACAACTCTCTCTCTCTCTCTCAAACATATTTCAAGGTGGAGATATAGTGGAAACTTTGTAAGATCTAATTTTATCTTAAATTTTGTTTTTTTTTTTTTTTTTTTTTTGGTATTTCTTCTTCTTAGAGATTGAGATGTGATCCCATGAAAGAGAAGATGTTGAGTTCAAGCAAATGCGCTCAGGTTCTTTGCCACCTTCTATGGGATACTGTCTAATTGTGGATATTAGCAGAAATATGCTCTCTGATGACATCTCTAATTGTGTGTCGCCGAGCTCGAGCTTGGCCTAGCCAAGCTCGCCCGAGCCTGAGCAACCCAAAGCTCGTCTCAGCTCGGTTCGTTTGCAAACTTAGTCCCAGGAGAGGGGGTGATGGTCACTTTGCTTGGGAGGGAGAGGTTGTAGGCACTTATGTGTGTGGATGCCTCCTAACTTAATAGACGCGTTTAGAAAACTATGAACACAGAGACTGTGCAAAGGGGACAATATCTACACAGCGGGGTGGGTCATGACAAGTAATATATTTGGCTTATCTCGGTCTAAATTTGGTAAATCTTGCTTTCACTGGTCAAAGTTTTCATTGGCTATTGTTGTAGCTGGGTCTCCTTCCCATCAAATTGAGAAAGTGTGTGTGTGTGTGTGTGTGTGTGTGTGAGTGTATATTAGGATATTACTCGGTTTCTTTGGGTCTATATTGGGTTCTAAAAGCTTGCTTTCGCTGGACAAAGTTTTCTTGCTTTCGCTGGACAAAGTTTTCATTGGCTATTGTTGTATCTAGGTCTCCTTCCCATCAAATTGAGTGTGTAATATATATGATGTTCATATATATATATATATATTCAAAGATGAAGCACAATGTATTACATATGTGATGGGTTGAATTAAAAAATTTAGAGTGCTTTAGAAAGAGGAAGAGTTTTAGAGAGACTGAGTTTTAGATAGAAAGGACATTTAAGAGAATTAGAAGTTAGCGAGAGGATAAAAGTGCCTTCAAAAACACAAACATTTCAAGGGCAAAATCACCAATTTAAGCTTGAATTTTGGCCACATCAGCATTGACCATGTTTAACTGTTAGAAAGATTGATGGTAGGGGTCTGTTTGTTACAAAGGTCTTTACTAGAGGGGAGGCGAGTGAGATTTTCCAAAACTTAGAGGAGGTTTCACTAATTTACCCTATCTAAAGGGGAGGTTAGAAATATTGACCTTTCTCTGGACACACAATGCAGTTGGTGGTATATGATAAGAAAAATTAAACTGACCTCGCCTAAGATTTAACCATATTACACGTAGCTCTCTTGTGTTGGTCTATATCACACTTACCTCCCTTGAGGTTTGTATATTGATAACACAGACCTCCCCTCCGTTGATGACCGTTAATGGTCAGCACGGTCAGTGGGTCACAATGAAAAAAGCTGATGTAAGCAAGTTTTCATGTTTACAGTTCCAAAAGTGCCCTTGAAGAAGTTGTGAAAACAAAATTAACTCACTCAACTCTAATTATCTCTCTATATTCTCCACACTAATTTTATTTTACTGTTGCCATTCTTCTTCAGAAGTCCTCATTTGGCTCAACAGGACTCAATTAGAGCATTGTTAGAAGCTTTCTCACTCCATTATGCCATTCTCTCTCCACAAAGCACTGTCTCTTCAAGCTTTCTCTCTCTAAGAACCATTCTCTCTCCATTGTTTTCATTAACCTGTTCGATTGGGTGAATATACTAATTTAAGGTTACAATAAAAGACTGATTAAGGTGCTAGACCATTTGAATTGAGAATTGGGGCCAGAAGCTATCTTTACACATGCAAATTCATATGATATTGTCATGGGAATTGTAAGAAATTGTTTTCAGTATGGTAATTAAGCTTAGAACTCTTAATTAAGTTGTAATTTTTGCAGTACAGCTGCACTACACATACATATATGTATATATAATATGATCAGATCAACTATCTAAGTTTTGAGAATGTTGGTGCTCCATGATGTGTGGGATTTTTCCCCCTCTATTTGTCTATTTTAAAGGAAGTACAGCAAATGCAAGCTTTGTTCGGTTCAACAATTGATCAAAATATGTGTTTTGAAATACAAATCACCCCACAGAAGTGGCTAATATCATTATTGCAAAAAAATAAATAAAAATAAATGAAATTATTGAACTGTGATCAAAGTGCTAGCTTCCCCAATCAACATCCATAAGCTTTACGACTATAATTAATTCCTAGAGATCAATGCTGAAAAATAAAGTTTTGGAATGAATCAAAACCTAATCAAAGAAGAGATGGAACCCTAGTTTAGAGAAGATGAAGCATGCGCGAGCGCGCGAGAGAGAGAGAGAGAGAGAGAGAGAATGGTAATAATTTTGATCGGATTGGTAAAAAGTTAGAAATAACCGAAAGTAAATTAGATCTTTTCAACTTCCATAGTTTATGTAATAAAATACAATAAAACGATAGGGGCATATATGTAATTTCACTTGATCGGTAGTTATCCATCTCACAGCTCTGACAAGGGAGGTCAGTGTAATTTGGACTAACACATGGGAAGTTCGTGAATATGATCAAACTCCAGGAGAGGTGAGTGTAATTTTCCTTATTAACATATTATCAAGGCAACTGGTGTGTTACCAACGTTACCAACTAGAAAAATAATTAGGTGGCAGGAGAGTAAAGAGAGTTGGAACAAGAAAGTGATCTAGGCTGCATATATATTTACACGCAAGCATGTACATGATGTACATCATAAAAGAGAATCTAGAACTCAGTGACGGAGCGTAGGCTCGGAAGGGAGGGGGGGCACGTGCCCCCTTGTCCTGGCCTGGCCCCTCCCCGCCCAATATATATATGTGCATAATTTTATGTACAAAAATGCCCACCCCCCCCCCCCCCCCCCCCAAACCAAAATTTTAATTTTCTATAAAAACTCTAATTTTTTTTTTTTTATTTTCTCTTTTACTATTCATATTCCTTTGATTCTCTTAAAAAAAAAAAAAAAAAGAAGTTACATTCCCCTTCTTCAATATTCTCTCATTTTTCTTTTCTGTTTCTTCTTTTTGATTTTTCTTCTTAAAATTCTTCTTTGTGCACTCATGCATGATGTGCGTATTATAACCTTTTTTTTTTTCTCTTCTTATTTTCTGTAATTTTATGAATTCAATGCTTGTATTTTATATTTTTGAATTTTTCTTTAATGTAGTTTTTTGCGAATGATGACATTCTATTTATTTGAATCTTGATTAATACACTGTTACTGTATTTTATATTTTTGAATTTTTCTTTAATGTAGTTTTTTGCGAATGATGACATACTATTTATTTGAATCTTGATTAATACACTGTTACTGCAATTCTATTTTTTAGATTACTGTCTTGTTGCAGTGCCAGTGTTATTTGTCTTGTTAGTTGGGATAAAAATATATATAGTTTATCAATATGCCTCTCCTGAAACACTTTGTTGCTGTTTCCATTGAGGCTATCACGCATTGCAAAATCGATTGAGGCTAATTAAATCAATGAAAAACAGAGGGAGCTGCCCAATGTGGTACTGAGGTTTCATGTAATTGGTTAAAAGGGGAGTGTGAATATCGCCTCCATTTTTTTTCTCGTTTGCCTTTTGATTTGAACAATCTATATTTAGTTAGATATATATATATATATATATATATATATATATATATATATATATATATATATATCAAGTACACTGCGGCCTGAAATCAAATCCTGGCTTCATCAATGCCACAACTGATTAAACAAAACATACTACTTAGTTAATCTAATCATTCTACAAGCTTAATTAAAACAACAGATTCTGGACTTCATAAATCCGCAAAAAAATCCTCTGGTGCAAATCATGACACCTACACCATATCAAGGAGCGACCAACATAACATGCATCCCAAATGAAACAGACAGGATGAGTTTCAAAAATAATTCAAATGTCACGAGTTGGCTATTAATAAGAAAAAGAAGCATGAAATGGAAGAGATTGTCCTGCAGTCTTTTTACCTTGGGACTAAATTTCAAGTGTGTATGGTACAAAGTATGTGCCAAGTTTTATCGAAAAAGAGTGCAGTGAAGTGGAGAGTAAATCTTTTAATTCTAACATCCACTAGGTCTTTACACTGATTTCTTCATATAGGTATCCAATTTTAAGCCTCTGAAAATACGATTCAGAGTTATTGCAATGACACAAATGGCAATTTATCAAGCCACCTATTCCATTCAAAACTCTAATAGCTTTATGAAACAATCATAAACCCCAATAATCTCTACGCTATATCATTACCATCATCCTTACTTTGGTTCCATCAGAATGGTGTTGGCCCCATGAATTCTCTTCTTCCAACTCTCTTTGCAAAAAAGTTTAAGCTAACATCTCTTTTTATTAGTTCATATCACTTTGGCCCCATGTATATGTCATACTAAACAAGCTGTTTTCTCTTATTTTATCACTAATAGGTTTAACTCTTATTGTATCTCTAACATGTTTAATTATTAATCATCTCTCTTCTAGTTGCTCATATCAGATATGTTAACAACCACATTTCGGCTACATGAATTCTTGTTCTTGTTTCCTTTTAGTGTCTAGCATTCTAACTCTACATAAAATAACTGATTTAATAACAATTGCGTAATTTGACACCGCTAGCATGTTTCCTTTTACCCAATTTGTTCCAATCCAACTTTGTTACATCGTTATCTACCTCCACCATTACTATTTTTACAAGTATTTTTTATTTATTTAATAAGATTGTATTACAATATTTTTCACAAGTATTATCATTGTTATTATTATTACTATTATTTTTTGGTAGGTAAGAGAGCGCGCACTCAATTCTCTCTCTCTCTCTCTCTCATACACACATACAGACATACACACACACACTTGCCCCAATGGGTCATCCTTCCTTGTGGAAGGAAGAGGAGATACCACTTGAGCTAGAGCCTTGCTGGTCAATGTCAATCGTTTTGCATTATTGATCTTAAATACCAAAAATGGTTATTTTTAGTCATCCTTTAACATTGAATTGTTATCATTCTTTGCATCTTTGGTGAATTTATATTCCATATATTTTGTTTTTGTTCTACTAATTTTAAAACCCTTTACTATAATGCAATTCTATATTTCCAATTTTATTGCTAGAGTTTCCTTAGAATTGTCGACCAAAACTATGTCGTCTGGTACAAGGAGTGTTTCTTGATATAACTTTAGTTATTTCATCTAACTAAACAATCATGCACTTAGAGCTGATCCTTGGTAAAAACCTACTTTTATTGCAAATCATTAGTTTCACCAATTACAATTTGAACTCTAGTCCTTGTGTCACTATGCATTCCTTGGAGAAAAGAAATATATATCATGTTCGAAATGTGTGCTATATGGTCTTCATTTATGTGCATGGTATAAAAGCAACTGAACAGCAGACTAATAACGCTGGCAAAACCACTAAATCTTCTGCATAATTTTTTTAACATATTATGAGTTTTTTTTTTTTTTTTTTTTTTTTTTTTTTTTTTTTCTGATAAGTAACATATTATGTAGTTTGAAAAGCAAGAATAGTATGGATCATATAAGAAGACAAGAAACAGATAACATCACTTCTCCAAAAAAAAAACACAAAAGCTTCCTACCTTAAATCATCCATTCAAGTCCTAGGTGAATGCCCCGCATCTGATCCATATCCAGAAGAACTATCACTATCAGAATCTGCAAGTAGAGTAAATTGTTAAATGCATCCACATTCAACAAGAAAGCATCAATGTTGCAACTACCATGCATTTACTATATGATATAGGTCAACCAACATAGCCTACCACTTGAAGAGGAACCAGAATCACTGCTAGAACTGCTTGAACTACTTGACCTACTTGCATTATCCCCTTGCCTCTCTCCCTGAACAGGAGAAGTAGCATTCTTTTCATCTGCATAAAAATCAACAGATTTGAATACAACAGTGCATACTGAATTGGATGCAAATCAGATAAGCAAGTGAATCTAAGACAAAACGCCACAAATGCCCATTTTAAAAACCTTCACCTGTTCTAGTTTCTTTTGGTGCTTCCACATGAGCCGATGCTGGGTTCTGAAATAACAATTAAATGAATAATGCACTAGCCAAAAGCAATTCCATGCAGGAACATATACATAAACTACAATTCAAAGTCTTACCACTGCGGGGAAAGCTTGGCTAGCTGCTGCTCTTGCTTGGAGAGCAAGTTCAGCTTTTCTCTTATTCTTACTCAAACGCTTTTTGTAATTGGTCACAAACCTATCAAGTTCCCAAAGTGTTTCTGTATCAACACTGTCAATGTCCACTTCAATCTCGTCATCATGTTGGCAAACTGCTGAATTACTCTTCTTAATGATCTCGACAATGTTGTCCAGCTTTTCTGAGGGTAAACTTTGAAGGTTTGTGCTGAGCCTCTGCTTCTCCTCATAAGTCATGTCCCTTTTGTTGGGGTCCTTTGCTTTGGGTTTTTTTGGAACTGGTGTCCTACCTACCGAAGCAATATTTGAAGTTTTCGGTCTTGAATCTACAGAGACTGTCATCGAATCTGATCTGTCCAAACTTCTTATTTCTGGAGCAGATGGGAAAGGAAGAGGAGCCTTCCCAAAAATGGGAGTAGACAAACCAACACCATGAACCATTTCATACCTCCAATCAAGATTATACTCCGCCTCTATAACTGCCCACTTCTCTTCGAAAAATTCCGACATCTGTTCTGCCATAATGTGAACATCCTGCCCCTTTGGATTATAGGTCATGGCATTTCGGAATATAAGTCTTACGTCCTCTGCAAATGCCCTCGGAGACTTGTACCAATTCTTGGCTAGTTTGCTCTTAACTGTACCCATATCCATTGGATTCTTGATTATATCATGATAGTCATGGAGTCCAAGTGACTTGGCATCAACCGGCTTATTAAACACCCAAGCATGCTTGTGCTTCATCAACTTTCCGAGCAAATTGCTACAGCTCTTGAATGCTTGATTCATATACTTATCCATTCCAAATCTGTATCCCATCTCACCACCATGCTTCTTCCCACCGTTTGATTTCAACTTCTTGTTGCTTTCAGCAGGAGGTAACCTTTCTTTTCCAAGAAGGAATTCTGAGTTTCGGTAATATTGATTTGCTTTCGGAGTTCTTTTCTCTTTCTCAACGAATTCACCAACCCCATTATTGTTCTCCATCACTGGAACACTTAGCTGCCTGAAAGGCCTTGAATTATGAAGACCAACAGAACCCACCTCAGAATTCACTCTCACTAAGCCTCCCCTGTTCATCACATCATTTGCCGAATACTGTGACTGGCTGTAACCACCACCACCACCAGCAGCAGCAGCAGCAGCAGAAGCAGAATTTACAGTTAGCTGAACCTCCTTGGCTTCAAGCTTCTTCTTTAAACTCCTCACCTGATCAAGCTCACTCACAAGCTTCCTCCTAAGCTCCCGAATTTCATCCTTCGATCCCGCTGCTGCTAAATTAATCCTAACCCGATTGTCAACTTTTGTAACAACCGCTTTAATCACCCCATTTCTATTAGGTGGTTCACAACCATTTACAGCAGCAACTTGGGACGTAGGATTGTGGTTCGAGGAATCATCAGAGGGGGCATCTAATCGTGACACAGTTTGTTGCTGCTGCTGCGACGAATTAGCCTCTTCGGTAGCTAGGGTTTGCGAAGATTGTTGAGGAACGTTGTTGTTGGTAGTGGTGTTATTGGCGTTGTTGTTGTTGTTGCTGGTAGTGGTGTTATTGGCGTTGTTGTCATCGTTGTCGTTGTTGTTCTTATTGGGTGCATCATCAGGGGCAGTGACGGTGGTGATGGCATTGCTGGTCGGGGCGGCGGCGGTGCTGCTGTTGTTGGTGTTGGTGTTGTTATTCTTGAGGCCCTTGTTGTGAATCTTCCTCGTATATACCTTGTTACCATCTCCCCATCTCTGCTTTTCTCTTGAATCGTCGGCACCTAATGTCCCCGAAGCCATACATGAAACCTCAGTGCCACACTCTACAAAAAAAAAACCCTAGACTTTTCGATCTTCTCAAAAACCCAAGCTTTTTCCTCTATCACCGAAACCGAATCGGTGACAAACTAGGGCTCCAATCATTAATTGAAAAGAGAAAAAAAAAAATTTTAAATAAAAATTCACGAAATAGGGAACCCTAATTCGATCTGCTTAATTGAAAAGAGAAAAAGAAAGAAAGAAAGAAAGAAAATAAAGAAAAAGCGCTACAGGTTAGGGGTTATAGAAATTGAATTTGCGCCGAACTAGGGTTTTGGATTGTGAAAGATAGTCAAGAGCCTGACCTTGGCAATCGATCTGTGCGAAAGGAAGACGAAAAAGATTAGGGTTTCAATTTTGGAAGAGAAACCCTAAAAAGGACACCCCTATACAAAAGGTATTCGATCCGAACTCCTCTCTTTTTCTCACTCCTCTTCAAACTCTCTCTCTCTCTCTCTCTCTCTCTCTCCCCTCTTCAAAGTTCAAACAAATCTCTCTCTGCCCTTTCTGTTTTGTTTACTCTACAAGGTCGAATAGAAAAACACATGCACTCGTGCGAGATTGGTCTAAAGGCGGTTGGATGACGTGTCATGTGTACCCAAACCTAGGTTGGGCCACAACGTGAGCACTGACTTTCTCTCAATCTATGCTCTGTTCTCACTTGGCAGGTTGTTGGATTAGCAGTCAACGTGTTAAGATGACATCAAAATTCCATTTTTTTTTATTCATATAATTATAAATAAATCAATAGTTTGAAATTTAGAGATGGGATGTTTGTTATTTTTATTTTTTTAAATTTTAAATTTTTTTAATTAATACATAATATATTTTAGATTGCATTGAATTCTTTTTTTTTTTTTTTTAATATAATTACAAAATTACTCTATCAAATATTCAAAGTGTCTCATATTGTGTCTAAAATATAACATATGATGTGTAAATTTTTTTTAACTCAAGTAATCTGTGAAGATACCCTGCTACGTCACCGGTATATAAAATTCTTATTTATTTGTCAACATATTTCATTTCTCTTCTCTCTTTCTCGTTCCATTAAAGAATCAATCTTATAGTAAAAAGATTTATAAAAGTTATTGTTGTGTATTCATCAACATATTTAATTTCTCCTCTCTCTTTCTCATTCTACTAAGGAATTTTATATTAAATAAGTTTGTAAAAATTATGTAGGTCTTAGCATGATAGGTAGAGCTAAAATTAAATAATTCAAATTTTTTGTATAAATTTATCATGACATATCATATTTACATAAATAAATATAGATATATATATATATATATATGCACAATAGTGGGAGATTTTCTTAAAAATACTTTTAGTTGTATTTGACACACACACACACACACACACACACACACACGTGTACAAGTCGTATTCATATATTAAAAAAGTGTCCGACTATTCTATATTGTCAAGACACTTTAAGAGAAATATATGTGCTTCCTAACTTGGCCCGGCCTTTTACAATTATTACTTCATCACTTTACATTACTTTACATTTTTAGTTAAGCTTTGAATCAAATATCAGCTTCTTATTTAAAGGATTGAAGTAAAAATAGACTCCAAATACTTATCTCACACTTATTACTTATTAGTCTTTTTACAATCATTGGTTAAGCAGTAGTTTTTACATTATTGGTTAAGTTCGTTCTTTAGTTTTATGTTGAGAGAATACAAGACAACATATAAATTACGTGGTTTAGTAAAATTAAAATCCATGCCTAAGTTCTACTCATTTTTTGGGCTTAAATTCGTTTAGACCTCTCATGATTTGTCGACACTTCAAAGACACCCTCCCTCACATTTGTATAATTTCAATTAGACCCAGTCAGATCTTGTCGGCCAACTTTGTTTGTTGAGAAAATGAAATGATTGATCTACCTTCATTGTCGTTTTCCTCATAACCAAACAATCCCTCTGGAACATATATGTCGTTTTCACTCTCATATTCTTCTCCTACAAGCCTCTCTCGACTCTTTCCACATGCACACAGAGATATATACATACTTGGGGCATTTGATCCTTTTGAGACTGCATATTATATATACATTATAAACATACAGAAAATAAATAAATAATTTAAGTGTTCTGTTGACGAGTACTAGTGCGAAAAATTGAATTTGAAACTTCATTGCTCAGTTTTATGGTTTTATATCATCTGCCATCACATTAGAGTCCTACAGTTAAAAGCTTGATCTTTCATTACACTATCCAATCAATTATTTATTTGGTTTAGATCTCTCTCTCTCTCTCTCACACACACACACACACATATAAAAGAGTCAAAGAAAAATAATATAGATTCTTTTCACCACAACCTTCTGATACTGTTGGTTGCAAACCTGCAATGGTGATTTGGATTTGAAAGGGCCTATCTTTTCATGTCTATTGACACTTATAGTTGGCTTATGTCCGGACCGTTTATTTATATCTTCCCGTGTTTCTTTGTCTTTGTCAGGAAGTGATCAATGAGATTTCAATTAAAAACTCAGTGTGTATATGTGTGTGTGAGAAAGAATTTCGGTTAAGAATTTGTACAGGACAACGAGTGTTCCAACATAGTAGACTCAGAGTCTCGGCTAATGAAAGGAAGATTAGCACCGAGATTGAAACATATCAAACTCACATTAAAACTTAAGAAAAACATATACAAACAAGTAATGTGTGTATGTTTATATATGTTTAGATATATATGTATCTCAAATTAACCAACCTTAAACTTTATGAAAACAAATTCGACAAGCATTGTATGCATGTGTGTGTATTTATTTATATGCACGAGTGCGTTACCATTGGAGTAGTGAGTGAAGAATGCACGAGTGTTACCATTGGAGTAGTGAGTGAAGAACGAAAGAAAAGGATCAGTGAGGGTTGAAGGATTGGGACTTGCAGAGGTGTATGAATTGCTTCAATTGGGTCATCTTTTCTGCATCCATATTGATGTCAAATTAATAGTTAATAGTGTGACACCCCCTAATTTTCATTAATAAACTCGCCAAACTTGTATACAAAAATTAGAAGACATCAACACCTGATAATAAACAAGCACAAAATACAATATGCCAAGAAAGAAATAATGGTGGGAGAAATAACTGCCAATAAATAAATCTTTAAATCCGATCCATAAATCATTTAGGAAAAAAAAAAAAAAATGCGATCCATAAATCCCATTTATTACAACTCGGAATCCCGTAAATCAGGGACCCCTAAATCCAAAATCAAAAAAATATTATTCATAATTCATAGAAGTCTAGAAAGAGTAATAATAAAACCCTATTATGAAATAAACTGAAAAGAGTGAATTACCACAAGAAGTTATGGAAAGCTGGAGCTTCAACTCTATGGCTGAAACTGTCTGGAACCTGAAATGTCAACAAAGTGTGGGTTAATCCCACGAGCAAGTTCTCTCTACTATAGTCCAAGAAAGAACCAAAAACCCCTCTTCTCAAACGAAACCTACACAATAACGAATATAACCCCCGACTCATTACCTATAAATACGTGATCAGCAAATACATGCATAAGAAAATAAGCAACTCAACCATGTTTGCAACCAAATCACGTTCCCAACAATTCAACCATGCCTTAGCAAATCAACCATACCAATAGGTATTTGTGAGACTGCATTAATAGTCAGTACACAATGATTCCATAACACATTCCACATTCCACATTCATAATATCATAGTTATCATTTAAAGCACAAATAACATGAAATTAAATAAACCACTCCTGTTATTGATTTCGGTGCAGCACTAAGGTTCTCGCGAATAATTAGAAAGGTCAAGCCTGGGGTCCGGGGGGCGGCGCCCCAAAGACTAGAAAACACCCAATAATTGTTATGTCAAATCTCAACGTTCTAAGAATTCTATCGAATTTTAGAATGCGAAATCAGTTCCAAAATTCAGTGATCATTTTTATAAAACACGATTCTACCCATTACTTAACAATTCCAAAAACTCCCGAAAATAACAAAAAAATGATGCATTGCTACAAATACACGTAAAACTGGAAACATCCCTCCTCTAATATGCATAAATGAATTAAAGTATGCAAACTAGCGATACAAACATATAAAACAGTTTCAAAGCAGATTATCAATATTAGAAACATGGTAACCAAAATATTACTAATCGAATTATTATTATTTCATGCAGTTCAGAATAACAAAGCGTGATCAGGTTTGATTTCTAAGTTTCAGAATCGAATCATAGTTTATATCAGTGCATAGAAGTGTGTGTGTGTGTGTATATATATATATATTGTTTCACAGAGCTGAAACGCTTATAGGTCCAAAGGGGAAAAGAAGAAAGGTACTTGTCTTGCGAGTTTAGGGCAGCACCACGAATCCTCAAGCCTCCAGCCTAGGGTTACAGGCCTCTTTCGGTTTCTCCTCCATGAACCACCTCTACAAACCAGAACGTATAAAATCTAGGATTCTGTTTCTCTTCTCTTTCTATCTATCTCTCTCGCTAGTCTGTATCATCCCTTTAACTAACATAGTAGTAAACCATCAAAATAAGTCCACATCGAGTTCAAGGCTAGTCTATATATTCCCCATGAATAAGCCCAAATAAAACACAGTCCAAACAAAACAACCACATAATTATATAATTTAAATCCAATTTAAAATATATAAAATATTAATAATCCCATTTATAAATTCATTAAGAATATGGGGTATTACAAATACTTAATTTATGAGATAGATGAAAATAACTACACAAGTATAAGGGGCATTCTAGGTATTATGAAATAATTTTTTGATAATGTCAGCAAAAACCATCTCTGACCATCTTTGACAGTGACAGGAAGGGGGAAACTGATGTGTGTAAAAAAAGTAAGGCGCCTTAATACAACTGTCGAGGCTCGATGAGACCTAGGTTTGATTGAATTTATGCAAATGTGTGTGTGTGTGTGTGTGTGTGGTGGGGGAGGGGGGTCTTTAATTTTGAACTATTGACAAACCGCAAGGGGTCTAAATGAATTTAACCTAAAATGTTATAATATGAACAATGAATGGTATTTACAATGTAGAGCTCTCTATGCTTTCTTTCTTGCTTTTGACCGTCTTGAACGCTACCATTTATCTAGGGTTGATACAATACCTAGTATTTATATGGAATCACTATTGGGTTAGGAAAGCTCCAATAAGGAAATTTTTTCCAAGTTTCTTAATGACGTGTACGTGATCAAATTCTATGTGACCTGCAATCGATCCAAAAACTCCCTGATTTTGATCTAAAAATTTACTCAGTTGCGGTCGATCAAGCTTCGATTGTGGCCAACACTACTTACTATGATCGAACCAACACAAGCCGCTTGAGCTCGACCCCTGATTGGGGTCTGCGTAGCAACAATATAAATTAAGCTTGTGATTCAGGCTCCACAACCTTAACAATCTAAAAAATTGAGAATAAATAGACTTCAAATTTAGACAGACTAGAGGATTGGTAACCATTGTTTACATTCCTCCCTATCTAAACTATAATCTCAAACAAAACACTTGATATTATATTTTTTCACATTATTACATCCTATATCTAGTTGCTACATGAGAAAGAGTGTGTGATATGGGTGACAAGAATTAATGTTTATTGGAGCATCAAGCATGACTAAAAATGATGGATTTTCACACTATACTTAGTTTCTATATGAGAGAGCTTCGCAGCCAACCTTTTGGTTCCAAGTCTTTAAGGGCAGTTTGGTTTGAAATGGAAGGAAAAGAAATGAAATGAAATGGAATGGAGGGATTTTTTTTTTTTTTTGGTGGGTATAAAATTTTGGAAGAAAAAGAAAGAGAATGAAAAGATTTGGAGGGATACATTAAAGTTTGATAAGTTAGTTTTGTTATCCTCCCATTTTTGGGAAGAAATAAAACGAAAGGTTAGTATTTTTAATGAAACTTTGTTAATGTCAAATTTGTCCTTATTCTTATACGTAATAAAAGACAAAATCCATGAAAAAAGGTGTGGTAGTTAATTCATTGAAATAGTTTCATTTCCTTTCTTCCCATACATGATTACAATCATTTCTTTTTCTTTTCATTCATTAATCAACCGAACACCATAAGTGGTTAACAAATAACACTATCCTCTTCTTTCATTTTTATTTTATTTTAATTTTCTCTCGTAACTAATGTCATCCTTCTTTTCTTTTCTACTGCACCAAACATAGCCTAATTTATCACTATTGCGGTCCTTGCGAACTAGTCTAGTAATATCTAAGTAAACCCTTCACACCAAGGGTCATAAAGGAGCTTTAATTTAGCACCATTCTGTGATGAGGAAAGGGTAAAGTCATCTAAATCTCCATAATTGAATGTAACGGTAAACTAATACTCTTCATGGAAAAGAAAATTATGTGAAACATTTACATAGTCTTATCTTAATAGGTATTGTAAAAAAATTAATTGTTTAGAAATTACTATTGGTTCATTATAATAAACACTTGTGTAAGTATACATACAGAAGGAGCCTCTAGAGCTTGAAATTCCCACAGCCTTGTTCGTGGAGCTGGCGTAAAATCCTTCAATAGAGACATCCAGCCAGGCTTATCATCAAGCATGTCATTGGCAATGGTATGGATACCAACTTCTGGTTAGACAATTGGACTCCAGCAGGGACTCTCAGTCTTCGATTTCCATCCATCCTCCTCTCAAACTTGGGAACTAAAGATAATTTACTCGTGGGTAAATTCATAGTCAACAATTCATGGGCATTCCCCCCATCTCTTTCCAATGCAATCCCAGAACTTCTTGCTCTCCCTCAACCTTGCTCAGTCCCATTCAGCCTCAAACACACCATTCTCCATCTCGCAGACAATGGGGATCAAATTGCTTGGTTCAACCTCGTATGGTGCTCTCCCACAATCCCAAGGATGAAATTCAGCATGTGGATGGCCGTACAAAGCAGACTACCAACCCTTGAAAACATAGCAATGTCTCATCATGAGAACATATGCGCACTATGCAAGAATGAACCTGAATCCCACTCCCACCTCTTTTTCAGATGCGTCTTCTCCTCTCCACTGTGGAAATTCATACAAGATAGATGTAAATTTTACAAACCATTCTACTCTTAGGAGGATATGATTATGTGGATTAGTCAAAGATGGAGGGGAAGCTCTCCGACCAACATGCTTCGGAAGATCTGTCTTTCAACTATGGTTTATCATATCTGGGAAGAACGCAATAACCGAGTTTTCAAAGAGAAAGCAGCTTCGCAGAGATTGGTGTTGGCCAAAGTGTGCAATACAATCACAAACCTTCTCCAACTGCGCTGCCTCAAGGATTGTGATACCTCCAAATCTATTTTGCAGGCTTGGAATTTATCGCCGGATTGCTGTCGCCCCCCTCCGAGACCGCCGGACTAGCTAGTGGAAGGAAATTCACATTGCCGATTTAGGGCTATGTCACCGGATTGAAAGCTTGACACCTTCCTTTAACGGATATTTCATTAGTTTGTTAAACGAAGTTATTAGGCTTGTTTTTGGATTGGGCTTATATGCCTCTGTTGTTCGGCCATTGGCCGCCTCTTGTTGCCTTATTTGGGCCTGTTTGCCTTCACGGACTGCTTTGGGCCAAAGGCCTTTGTACATTTTACCCTTATTTTAATACATTGTTTAATCTTTCAAAAAAAAAAAAAAAGGTTATAAATGAGCAAGAAAAAAATCCTTGGTCATTTTTAGATTTATAAGTTATTTTTGTGTTTATATATATATATATATATATATATAACAATGATTAGATCCGTTTTTTTTTCTTTTGAAAGTCATTTTAGGCTGAATGAAGGGCCAAGTAATTGTCAGAGTCCTCTCCCCATCCACAAACCCAATTTAGATGAAGGTGAGATTTGAATCATTTGATCCTAAGAGTGAGCGTTGGCGTTGGTGTAACAGGTAGCTCAATTGTGTTTTAGACGTAACAGGATCAAAATCAAAAACAATTGGTAGCTCAATTGTGTTTTAGATTTAACAGGATCAAAATCAAAAACAATTTTTAATATGTGAATGTAAGATTGTGTACATGTGACTTTTTTCAAACTTTACAATAACCGAAAGTAAAGAGTCAAGAATTTAGTCAATAATATGATTAAAAAACAATTGAGGTAAAATAATAAATAAGAAAGGAAGGATCTTTTCTTAATTTTGATTCTAAAATATTTTGCTGGACCTGCTGGAGGAGAAAGAATTCTAAATTTTGAATTTTTTTGGGCAAATGAGGTAGAAATTGAGTGGTCATTTAAAAGGTTTTTTTAAGGTATTTTGTGAATTTTGTAAGAGTTCAGATAGGTCACTTTTATAATTATAAATAATTTTATATAGATAATACATATAATAAAAGAATTCATTAATAAAGAAGAGTCTTTTCTGAATTTTAATTATTAAAAAATTGGTAGACTCAGTGCATTGGGTTAGGGTTTGCTACAGAATCTTACAAGTAAATAAATGAGCTGGTAGTACTAATCGCTACAAAGTAAAGATTCCAACAAAGTTAAACTTTGACTAAATTCAATCTAATTGAAATTTATATATTAATATTCATCACTATATAGGTTTGAAACTAATCGAATAAGAAAACTTACATTAATTAGGTGGTTTTAAATTGTAGCCAAGAGTTGACAAAACTAAAGAAATCCACGTGCAGTTCATAAGCTCGAGGAGATCCGGCAACAATGGGTTCTAGCATTAATATCAGAATTCAGAAGCAATATATTATATACCCATACAACACACAAGTCTATATATATCAATATGATAGTCAATCTTTATAAAGCAGTACTTAAGTGAGAATCAACTTAAAACTCTCTTCATACTTAAGAAAATGGGCTTCAAACACCAACCTTGCAAAACATCTTCTTCTTTGAAGTTCTTTACCATGAGGTCTTCAACCATCCTCACTATAAGTCTCTTCTTTGCCTCCTCTGTTTACTTCTTTTCGCCGGTTTGGCACTTACCAGAGCCACCGAACCATTGGGCTGAAAAATCCCATTTTCGCGGCAATCTTCTTGATGCTAAATTCCCATGGAACAAACTTTGTTTTGGGCCATCCTTTGACAAGCTCAAGCTTGCTGTCTTCTCCAAGACATGGCCTATTGGTGCAGCACCGGGTGGCATGGAGCGACATGCTCTGACTTTGTACAATGCTCTTGCTGCCAAGGGGCATGAAATTCATGTCTTCACCGCGCCTTCTGATAGAAGGCCTCACCAAGACATTCATGAAGGCAACCTTCATGTTCACTTTGTACCAAATGACCATGGCTCAGTCAATTGCTCTCTGGCATTCGACATATTCAACAAAGAAAACATGGCTGGTGCATTTGATTATGTGCACACTGAGAGTGTTTCGCTGCCTCATTGGCGTGCCAAAATGGTGCCTAAAGTGGCTGTGACTTGGCATGGGATTTGGTATGAGATTATGCATTCAAAGTTAATCCAGGAGCTTCTTTTTAACCCAAATGAGCAATTTCCAGGCCCCATGACAGAGCTTCAAGAAGCAATGCCACGACTGCTCGATGAAATCAGATTCTTCACAAGCTACACGCATCATATATGTATAAGCAATAGTGCAGGTGAAATTTTAGTCAACATCTACCAGCTTCCTCAAAAAAATGTCCATGTCATACTCAATGGGGTGGATGACAAGTTTGTACATGAACCCCAAGCCGGTGCACAATTTCGTAGGAAACACAAGGTGCCTACAAATGTGAGCCTGGTGATGGGAGTTGCAGGGAGATTGGTTAGGGATAAGGGACACCCTCTTCTCTATGAGGCCTTTTCGTTGATCGCTAAGCACCATCCTGGTGTATTTTTACTTGTTGCAGGTTCAGGTCCTTGGGGCAGAAGGTATGCTGAATTAGGGGCAAATGTGAAGGTTTTAGGTGCATTGGAGCCTTCTGAGCTGTCTGAGTTTTACAATGCACTCGATGTGTTTGTGAACCCAACACTGAGGCCTCAAGGGCTTGATCTTACATTAATTGAAGCAATGCACTGTGGGAAGCCAGTTTTGACACCGTGCTATCCAAGCATAACTGGAACTGTAGTTTTGAATGAAGGGTTCGGTTACACATTTTCACCGAATGTGAAGTCTTTGGTTGAAGCCTTAGAGTTGGTAATAAGAGATGGGGCACAAGTGTTGCAGAGGAAAGGTATGCTTTGCAAGGACTACACGCTTTCGCTGTTTAGTGCAACTAGAATGGCCTCAGCATATGAGAGGTTCTTCCTCTGCATGAAGAACACTAGATACTGTCAGTACCCTCTTCCAACAGACTGTTAAAGGTTCATTTGATCTGAAATTGTGGTATTTAGCTTTAGTGCATGAAAATTGAACACATTATTGAATTGTAGTTACTTCAGAATTCAGATATTCTTCTTCCACTCTCTAGGAAATGTTCTTTTAATTGAGTTCCATTGGAAACTGCTGTTTTATGCTTCCTGTAGAAGATTTATGAGAAGTAACTTCATTAGCTATGTTCGGTAGCATAGAATTGGTGCCTTAAAATTAGAATCGGGTTAAAATTAGTCGATCATATTTCTTTTAAATTTTTATGCGTCTGCTGGATTAGCAAACAGAATAACAATGGTCCAATTAAGTGTACTTTCTAAGTCCATTTGATTTGACAACTAATTAAGTTCTTTGGTCAAAATAGAGCCAATGGAAATTCTATCATACTTTACTGGAAACCCTAATCTCTATCTTGATAAGAAAGGAAATTGAAGCAAGAACTTAATAATGAGGACATAAATTTCTCTGCTTTTAATGGAAGTGGTCTTACCAACATATGAATGCATCACTAAAAGGATATTGTATTCTATGTAGCAAATCATATAAACCCTCAAAAAGAGTCCTATATATATATATATATATATATATATATATATCATGCTTAATTTACAAGAGAGTAGTTTTGCTCAACCATACCACCCATGTTGGTGTAAGTCTAGGACATTTCTTGTGATTTATAAAGGTGTTGAGGATCCGGTCCTCGTTGTGTGACGGCATCATTGCTCCCCCTCCAATTATAGTATTTTCTGTCAAAAAGTTCTAAATTTTGTATATCAAATCTTAATTTGCACAAGGTAAAACCGCTTTGAGTCCAGGAGAAAGATGATAACCAAAAGTCATTACAGAAAACGATCACCGAGGGTGTTGTGAAAAGAAAAAAAAACTCAGATTTTTCGTTGTTCACTTGAAATCTAAATTATTCACAGAATTACAGAGATTTCACTATGATAAAAAAAACAAGACAGAATTAGGAGATATATACCAAGTGAAAAAGTCCAAAAAATTCAGATAGGGGAAAGTCCCCCAACCCCCATCTTATGGGCAGAGGGCCGATACCCCTGCAAGGTTGGGCTATATAACATTTTCAGGCTTAGCACTTTCTATCAGAGGGCTTACTAACAGATAAATTATCATACATACATACATATATATATAAATATATATATGCACATTTACATACATATATATATATAGTAGCACAATGCTAAGCTATACTACTAGACTTAACTAGTTTTGCTCTTCAGGACTAGGATTCGTAATTTAAGTAGCTAGCTAAGAAACTTGACATAGTTACAAGAGGGAGCCAATTAATAGCTAATAGTATGACTAGGGACCTATATATATATACACACACAACACACAACTCACACACAGAGTGGCAGGACATTGTTTTTGGAGGATGCGGATGCAATTTTAAACTCAAAACATATTGGATTATCGTCTAAGCAGATAACTGAGACAGAAGATGATACTTTGTCTTCTCTGTATAATGGAGTTTTCTGCTTTCTCAAGTCATCTCCATTACCTTAAAACCATGAATCACAAAAACACGTACGCGCATTATGTTTTCTATTCATCATAATTGGAGTAGTACAGTTGGTGCATCATTCTCTCACTCACCAACTATGAATCAATTGGACTGCGATTTTTGGGTTAATTTTATATCTAGTCATCAATTTGATTTCTCTTTTGTTTTTGTCTCCATCTTAAACTAGTATAAGTCTATATATATTATTTTCAAATAGTTCTCTCTTGTGTGTTTGTGCCTTTTCAGTGTCCAAACCGCCACCAACGACGGATATGCCGACATAGGATCTTCAGAATTATCCTTTTGCATGTTAGTGCCATCTTTTTTTGTATTCTTGAATAACTTTTAATTTGTAACGTAGTTGTTTTTATTTTTTATATTTCAAGTTTATTTAAATGTTTTTGTCGTGATACCAAAGTCTAAAAGTCGAATTACCTAATGCCTAAAGTTGAGAATTACAGTACTTAGCAATATTTCATTGTTGGAAGAATAGTCAAAATTTTCTATTAATTTGTCAACGTTTTGATTTAGCAACTAAGGAACTTGATCTTAAAATGTTGGTATCTTCTTTATGACAGGTGAGAAGTCACTGTCATGGGTAGTCGGCTTGATATGTGAAGAAGCCATCGGTTATGTGCATCAAGAACATGTTTTTTATTTGAAAAATGTTGGAGGGTCGGATTTACACCTGCCGACTATCTCATCGTTATTTATTTATTTTTGAATATTTTATGTGAAGATAATATTATTGGAATTAAATTTCTCCCTTTCTCCAATAACAATATATAGAAGAGTGATATGAAAATTGAAAGTATTGACCTTTCAAACAATATGATATTATCTGTTGGGTAGGTACTTTAATAGTGTAATTTGAGCACCAAAGTCTGGGGGTGCACACGGTTCGGTTTGAACCGGGTTTAAGAATTTTTCGAAACCAAACCAACTCTATCGGATTCATAAAATTTGAAACCAAACTGGACTATTTGACTAAAGGAACTAAACCAAACCAAATCGTGAAAAACCGGTTTGTTTCGGTACGGTTTCACGGTTCTTTTTTTTTTTGGTTTACAGAAGTATTCATATTATCCACATGCACAACAATAAACCAAGTTACCTAATTCAACAACAAACGATCAACCACAATTCAATTCAGCCACTAAAAAATATATATTATTTAATAAATTGATAAGACATAAGATAATTAAGAGTGGACCATATGATTGATAGTTGCTATAAACTTCTGAGTCATTTAGATTGTAAGATTATATTATGTATACTCTATAATTTAACATATATATATAACATAGCGGTTATATATATATATATAACATAGCGGTTCGGTTCGGCCTAATGATCTCAAACCATGATCAAACGGTATCTTTACGATTTCACAAATTTAAAACCATGACCGAACCAAACTATTAGAAAACCAAACCAAAATGTCCGGGCCGATTTTGAATTTCCGGTTTGATTGGATTTTTGTGCACCCTTACCGAAGCCCACTAATAATGTGATAGATAGATGAAGTAGACTCGGGGATTGTCCTTGGCAGTAAAAAGTGTTGGATGTTAAATTTTGTTAATAAATGCATAGGCTCGAGCCTGGACATCTGCTTCCTTGGTGGTAGGCTTGATATCTAAAGAAGTCATCCGCGATATATGCATTAAGGCCCTGGTTTTAAGAATTCTCCCCAATCACCACATATGATAGTTAGTGGAAAGACTGAAAAAAAACCAGTATTGAATGAAGACACCGCATATGTTAGAAAATACTACATATGCTTAAAGTAAATTTATATGCCCGCGATCTTAAGGGTTGGTCTAGTTGAAAAATAATACCTTAAGAAATATCAGCTCTCATGATCAATTTCTCTTAATTATAAATAATTTTTTAGAAGATATACCCGTAAACATAGTCCGAGTTTTACCTGATTCGTGTGGGGTCACCTAGCACGAGTCTCGTTGACTAGTCGGGAGCAAAGTCCCGAACACCCCATCTTGAGTTTATTATAGTGCATTTTTGTAGTTCAGAGACGGATCAGGAAATTTTGTGATTTCTTTAGAATTTTATACAGATTCTTTGTTTCTCATATGTCACAGCGTTCCTCTGCACTTCCCTCATTGACTTTATATATATATATATATATATATATATATATATATATATATAATAACAATGGATCTTTTCCTTTGTTAATTTGTACTGTCAATGTTTGATTAAGAAAGCAAGGAAATCCCATGTGATTCGGCCATTGTTTCTGGAAGCTTTTAGCTAAAATATTTATATGATCAGTGCATTGAATGATCTCCACCATTTATATAATATGATCAATTACGGGGAACCACTTACGGAATTGCTAATTAGAAAAATGTTGGGACAGACTTTATAACTATATAAATACACACACGCATGCACAAGCACCCCCCATTAATTAATAGAAAAACTTTTTCTAGGTAATTTTCTTTCGCATCTCTGCATGTAATCGAGGTCCTCCTGATAGCGTAACACACACCACATTGTATAAGAAGTTCGTGAAGTTCGTCAATGTAATATAATTGTTACATAAACAATATAAAAATATATAATGGGACACGTATAGAATGAAATGGCACGAAGAGATAGAACATAGCAAACGTTTATTATTAACCAAATGGTCAGCACTTTATTACATGCATGCATTCTTAAAATCCAAAAACAAGTACTGTTACAAAATGCCTTCTCCATCCGAATCAATCGTCGTCCGGGCCATACTGGATTTTCCTGACGACCAACTAGTGGTGTCTAGGGTCAGGTCCTCCAGGACTCAGACGGTTGGGTACATAATGACTTTCAAGATCAGTTATATTTTTCGTCCCAAGACGCGCCTTAAACATTTCTTGGGCACTTTGAATCAATGCCCTTTTGGCCGATTTCAAAAATGGATCAGGAGAGCGAGTTTCAGAGCTCGAAAATGAAAGCAAAACCAGGAGAAGGCAGAACCAGATCCTCAACCCAACCATTCTATAGCGACTAGCTTATGGTAGCTATATAATGCTTGGAAAAAATAAAACTAAGTAGTGTAGAGAGTTTGAGGTATAATGGGGGATATATATAGGCCTCCATTGACAGACAAGTCAAATAGGGACAACAATTACATTCAACACAAAGATCTTCCACTTTCGTAATTAAGTGGGTGCGTGTGTGTATATTCTGTATATATATATATGGCTGTGCATCAAAGTCCAATTAAGTGGCATACTTCTGATCAAAATTTTAGTTGACTTAATTCAGGAGTGTGTGGATACTTAATTCTATATGAATCAGTACAAAAGGTTCTCTCATCCATGGGGCCAATTTTTTTGCGGCCTTCGTGGTTTTCACTTTGTGTGTTTTATGTATGGAGAGCCAATGCATATCTAGATATGTGGTTCACATCATATCCAGTGAAAAGCAAAAAAAAAAAAAAAAAAAAAAAAAAAACCAA